TAATATTGTAAAATTATCTTTACAAGAAGTTTAAAAATCAGGAGGGGTTGGAAGCCAAGTGGATGGTGAGAAAGATATCTGTGGAGCATGGAATAGCATCCACACTTGGTTTGAAGTGCCCTCTATTTGAAGTCTGTCATGAGCGGAGCTGGCTAGACCCGGGGGTCAGACTAGATGGCCTGGGAGAACCCTTCTGACTCGCTCTGTTTCTATGTTTCTAAGTCTGATAGAAAGACAGCAGTCTGAACAAGGCCTATTGGTCATCTGGTCAGTCTTTCTACACTATTGTTCTTTCTAAATTTACATCTATCTACATTACCATAAGTAATTTTATGCAAATTGGTGCACCATTTTGTCATCCTTACTTGGTGGCCAACCTCAGTGGCCAACCTGCATGTTCACAACAACTCAGGCTTTTAAAAAGTAATCCTGGCTGTTGACATGTGAACCAGGTTATAGTCTGGCATGAACACCATTTCATCATGTAGGCTCTGGCTGAAAGGAATTTGTGGCATTGTGGGGTGGTTCCATCCCAGCCAGTATGCTGAATCTGACTATATTCTAAATGTAGGAGCTTATTTACCTAGAAAGCCCAGCCTTTGGCCCAAAGGTTTTAGGGTGTGTCTCACAATTTTTTTTTACCAATGCTGAAGCATTCAATAGACATTTCTGTTTCTTTTCGTTGAAACAAAATGAGGAATCAATCTTAGAACTGAGCCACACCTTCACAAAACTGTGTCAGTCTCACAGGTAGATCCATAGACATGTCAGCTCTGAAATAATTATGTGGGCTTTTTCATACATGACTGAAAAGCACCATTGATTCTCTTTCCTGGTGCTTGGTGCCTATGTGTGTAAAGGGTTGTTCCTTTATACAGGATAGTAAAAAGGGCTATTTTTAAATGTTATATATGCCTAACCCACTATCTCCAACACCCCTCTAACCTCCCCCCAACTTAGGTAAAGGAGCATTGTTTGGTGATTAATCACCTGCTTTGCACACAAAAGCTTCCATTAAATCCCAATATCCACAGTTACGGCTGGGAAAGGCTCCCAGTCAAATGGGAGTTAGGATGCTCTATGATGCCCCCATTCTTTGCAGTGCCACTCTGGGTTTTAGGCAGCCTTTAGGCAAAATACTTTCAGTGCCCACCTGCCCTCCACCAGCTTACTATAGTCACCAGCTGCTGATGCTGCTCATCTTCTTTTGCACTGCTGCTTCTACTAGCATGCTGGATACGTAGAAAGCCAGGGAGCAAGGAGGCAGAGGCATCTGCTGTTCCTCCATCCACCACCACTCTCGTCTCAGTGCTAGAGCAGGAGGCAAGTGAACAAGCAGCTTGCAAGGGGGAAGAGGAGGAGAAAGTGCAGAGGATGCTTGCCAGTGGGCATCTGTTTCGGTGTGGACCCTCAGTAGGTGCCCAGTCATGCCTATCCTTGATGCCAGACCTGACCTTGCCTCATTCGTGGGAATTTGCAGAATGTGCATATCTAGATCCTGTCTTCAACGTGGAACCCTCCTGTATTTTCCCAGTTTTCCTCCATTTCTTTCCTTTACCAGACATAATCCACTGAGAAAGAAAATATGAAATGACTGCACAATGGCTTCTCAATGGTAGCCATCGAAGCCTTCTACCCACTTCTGCCTCCATGTAGATAAGGTAGCCTTATAATAAGTGAGATGCTTATTGGGAATTATAAAATCAATAATGGTTCATAAGCATCACTAAGAGAGACTTGCCCATAACTATTAATGTACAGCTGCAGGAGAGTTTTAGTTGTTGTGTTCTGAGAGTTCTAGATTGGACGTGGCAATTGTGGGGTCTTTCATAGAAAGCTTGGTGGAACTCCAGTCAGGAAAGCAGACAAGAACTTTATTGTCCCTTTTAAGCAAGGCAGCATGGCAAAGGAGACCCATCATTCCACCCAGCCTCAGCTAAGTCCAGTGATCAAGCTATATCAATTGAGTATCCCCACAAAGCCCAACAGGCCTGGCCATTGTGTTCTACGAACTGAGTGTCCTTGAACATCACCCAGAATTCAGTGCAATGTCCAGGCAAATTGATGAGGACAAGATTATCTGTATGTAGAACCTGGGAAAAAAATCATTGGTGTAGGTAGGTGAGCTGGCAATATTACGTTTGGGGTAATATATGGTCTGATCTTTGCAGGGAGTCCAAAGTATCCATTTATTTAAATATGGGATAAACACCTCTCGTCTTCTTTGAGAAAGGGTTGGGAGCAGCAGCAAGGAATAAACGCAGCATTGTCTGTTCAGCTCAGGGTACATTTACAGAAGTTGCTTGTTCATGTGTGTGGGGGATTAAAGATGCTAATGGCTGGTTACTTGGAAATGTTGGGTAAAGCCTTGCTCATGTCTGCAAAGAGAAGGCTGCAAGGAGAGAGTCAACATGACCTGAAAATCCCTAGCTAGTGAGGGGCTGGCTGATGTTCAATTAAATGAGCAAGTACAAAACAAACACTGAATGTATAGGTTAGGGCCCTCCCCAATCCATGGCTTCAAGCCTTCTGGAGCCTGAGATGCCTGCAGATGATGGGAGCTGTAGTCAGAAATATTTAGATGACAGCAGGTTGGGAAAAGCAGATTCAAACTGATTCATATTGAAATCGTATGTGTGTTTACTGAGAAGTAAACCTCACCAGATTTGCCTTCTCCTTTTCTAGGAGGCTTAGAGAAATGAATAGAGAATAAATTTCTAATAGTGATTAGCCTCCATGTAAGTGAAGGCACTGTACCTCTGAAGAACAAATGTTGCAGACTCAGTGAGAGGAGGCCAGTGCCTACATCCCCTGTTGATAAAATGTTCCAGGAGTATCTGGTTGGCCACTGTTAAGAAATCAACATTATGTACTGCATAGCTCTTGGTGTGATCCAATAGGGTTTTTATGTTTCTAGGCAGGTAAGCAGGTACAACTTGAGAATATCTGAACTTCAGAATTTGCTCCTTTATGTAAATGGCTTCTGATTTTTCTACAAGAAATAAAGGGCACAATCCCTTAGATATTCCCATGTCCTACTGCTTCTAGCCTCAGTTGGACATTGTGCTATGGAGAGGCAACACAGCATGGTAAGTAGTGTGTTGGATTTGAACAAATGAGGTTCAAATCTCTCCTCAGCCATTACACTCACTAAACAGCTTTACCAAAACATTATCTGGTAGTCTAACCTACCCCACAGGCATTTTGAGGATAACCTCAAATAAGCCAGCCATGCTGAGCTCTTTGATGGAAGTTTGAGATGAAGTTGTAGTAACATGAGACTCCACTACTTAAAAAACTTCCTTCTTTAACTTTTATCAAGGTAAAAGTCATTCCAGGCATTGCTCTTTCTGCCAGTAGTTTGGTATCATCCACATATCTGAAATGAGTTGTTTCTTCTGCCAATTTACACTCCTTCATCTGATTCTAATCCTGCTTTATTATATGTTCTATGCACAGATTAAAGAGATAGAAGATAAAATACATCTTTGTCTGACATGTTTGCATGGGAGATTAATGCAATAGCCCTATGATTGCTGCACTCTTCTGCTTGTCCATTCTTGGGGATTGGAATATATATCAAACATTTCCAGTCAGTGTTTTGTTTTGCATATTAGTTAACATGTTTTCGGTAGGTATTGGACTGATTCATTTTCTGCAGGTTGGAATAGTTCTATTCATTTTCTATCTACTCCAGGGGCTTTATTCTTTGCCAGTGTTTTTAGAGCAACTTTCACTTCGCTTTCTAATACTGCAGGCTGTATCTTCATAGGATTCCGTTCAAAAAAGCCTGTCATCATTTCATCTCTTCTGTACAGTTCTTCTGTGCAGTTTTTTTACTTTCTCTTTATTTTCTCCTGGTCAGATAGTATGTTCCCTGAGACATAGGGCATGGAAAAAATAGAGAAGTTGCTGTGTCATCAGTAAAGGTTTGATTGGGGTGGCTCCTTCAGGCTGTTGCGATTTCCATGTTTTTCAGTAACAGCAGCCCACCACCATGCACTTCACAAAATTCTAGCTCAAGGATTATGAAGAAAAGATTAATAGCAGTTAATGCTATATTTGTTATATGCACCTTTTTATAAGTGCTTTTACTTTTGTCCAGCAAGCATGTAAGTTCTGGTAACTCCTCCAAAGGGATTTTTGTAGAACTGGAGAAGTTGTAGAAAATGGCAATGAAAATGATCAGTAGGTTGGAACAATTCCATTATGAGGAAAGAAGGCTTTTAAACTTAGAAGGAAGGTAAGTGAGACATGATAACATTGCAGAAAATTATGTATGGAGTGGAAAAAGTGGCCAGGGAGAACTCATTCATAATGGTGAATGAGGCTGATTTGCCATATATTACCTCCACTATTAGCAGTCTCTCCAAGCCACTTGAGGATACTATTCCACTTGGGTTCTACTAATGAGTTTCACACACCCATCTGCCTGGTTACCATGGGGACATAGTGCTAGATGAGACAAGCCATGAGGCTACACAACTCTTCATATGAACATTATGATCTGGCATTTTTTTGGAAAATATGTATTTGGGAAAAGAACTTGACCAGCTACTGCCCCCTACCAACAAAACTAGATACATCTGTGTACTTGGGACAAACTTGTCTCATTAAGAATTGAGCAAGTGGTTGGTTTTCTTATTTCTTCTTATTTTGGAATAGTACTGACAATACACAGAACTGACAATATAAAAGCACCCCCCACCCCAGTAAAATTCTTCCTCTGGAACCTGTAGTACAGTTTACTTATGTCTTCCAATTTATTCTGCCAAACAATTCCCCATGCCCAGTAGAATGCTTCCATATAACCAGTAGAATAGAACCCCTAAAGTTCAATCTGGACACAAGATACATTGTCCTGGATCTTACAGAGGAGTGATGAGGAAAGAACTTGACATGGAGTTGCTGTTTGGGACTGCAGCCTTGTATATTTTTGATACCATATTGTGCTGCCTTTAGATCATAAGAGAAAGGATGTGTGGAAACACTATAGCAAATCAGGCTTAGAGTTTATTCTTATCTTAAAACAGCTGGGTTTATTTAAGAATAACACATTACAAAAAAAAACTTTTAGGTTTTCAAATCATTACTTGCAGCAAAAACATAGAAAAAATATGACCAAAGAGACTAGTATAAAAACACATACAGACAGATCAAAAAAGGTACAAACTTCTCTAGGAATCACATGACTCAGGAAAGGGCAATGGGAAATTTGTACAAAACTATTGTTTACAGGTCCAGAATATATAAAATGTTCCCTATTTGATGGCAAAAAATACAGAAGGACATTTTTTTCCTTAGAATTAAAAAAGGTACATCAAGAGGTATGCCTAGCATGTGAACTTGGTAAGCAGTCAACCATCTTTTACACCTCACTTCCAATCACACCCCACTTTTGTGGGATGACAGCAGGTACACATATCAAACAAAGAGTCTGCACAGTGTCCATTTATAAGTGGAGCTTGCTGTGAGCTCCCACTAAAGTAAATGAGTTGTACAGAAATCATACACAGCGGACTGTAAGCATGGAACAACAGCAACAGAGATTTTCTGTGTGGCCTGAGAGCAGAGACCTTCTCATGTTGAATTAAAACCTGGACTAGTCAGTGTGACTTGTTGCATCCTGTCTCTGTAAAATATCTGCCTACTTGTAAGTGGAAAGCTGTGGCTGCTGCTGGCAACCCATCTTAGAAACTGAGCAGACTCCAATTATCAGCCTTCCTCAACTTGGCATCATGTAGGTGTCTTGGATGCTGACTCACATAATCTTTGACCATTGGTCATGCTGGCTGGGGCTAATGGGAGTTTCAGCCAAAAAATTTGGAAGATATCATGTTGGGGAAGACTGTTCTGCATACCATTTTGCATCACCAACACCACCTGCATAAAAAGCAGAGTTTCGGGAGGACAGAATATCTATTAAGGAAGCCCTTCATTCTGTTACGAATGAACTGAAATGGGAAACTTGAGGGAAAAGGTGGAAGCCAGGATTCCAATTCATATGTAAGAGATAGAACACAGGAGAAGAGCTGAAAAACCTAACAGACACTTGTTCACTGCTGCATCATTGGGAAAGGCTTATAAATATATATATATATTTATATTTTTATATATATGATATAAAAACAGTTTACCAATAATTAAAAAAGCATTAAAGTAGTAATATTGTACCTAAATTCTACAAATAACTCAATGATCAATAACTGCTCCATCTTCTGATAAATATCCAATCAACTTATAGCTGCTTAGTTTGCTTACAAATCCTATCATGTATCAAGGGTGCAAAGTGAGAGCTTCCTCTTGCCTGGATTTCCTCAGATTCTGTTAATGGGCCAAGGGAAAGATGCTGGCTTCAATAGGGCCTGTCCCCAGGCATGTCAGAACAATGAGCTGACCCTCAGAAATACCTTGCAGTCTGCCGCTCTACTGTTCCTCTCTGTATCTGACTCCATCCACACAGTCTGCCTACAAGAGACTGTTGTGGAGGAGGGACCAAGAAGGGCCAAGATGCTTCTGTCAACCAATGTCTCAACTGTCTAATGCAAGGATGGGAAGCAGGTTGCCCTGCAGATTCTGTTGGACTGCAACTCTCATTGTCCACATTGGCTTTACTGGCTTGTGCTGATGAGAGCTGCAGCACAACATCTAGAGTGCTACATGTTTTGTACCAATGTTCTAATGGATAAATGGATGGCCCTAGAAGTTTAGTTAGAATTAACGAAGTAGTCAGTGTAAGACAGTGGATTTTGAGTGAAAGGAGTCTTCTACCTGACCATCAATGAAAAGTAGTTGGTTCATCTTCCATTTACCATTCTTTACTACAGACCTGAAGACAAGATCAATACTATGGTAGCAAACTGCTTTGTATGTGCTGGTGTCTATTTGAAGTTCCATTCTCAAGCAATTCCATTTCCAGTAATAATTTAAGAATAAAGGACAATGAAACATGAGTGCTGTGGGAAACATCTGTGGTACCTGCAGCAAGTTGTAGAAATACGCAGACAGATCTGGCAAACCTGAGTCTATCAGCTTTCTCCAGACATGTATACATGCATGTTTTATTTCCAGAGTTGATGCATTTGTTGCAGCAGACCATCTGCAGCCATTATAGCATGCAGCACTGAGTTTACTGTGAAGTTATTTTTTTTTCCTCCAGGCTATGGCATATACAGTGCAACAATTCAAATGCTTTTGTTCCATACCCTGCTGCTGAAGGTCTCAAATTGCTTGCACATGTCAGTTATTTTGAAAAGGGCAGACAGACTGAAAAAAAAGAGAAAATTTCTTGAAGATGAAAATTCCTGTCTCTGAAAGTCACTTGTAAAAAATAGGCTTTCAAAATACAAAATGGCAAGTGTGCTTTTGAAAGGGTTCCACAGCACACCAATCCATGGTTTGAAGCCAGAAAATGTATTGTACAGTCTTGTAAGCTTCAGTGGAAAACCCATGCAGTCCTTACTGGAGATGGCTGAGAAGGGCAAAAGGCCTGGTGTGCATTTTCTAAAGGGTCCTGCATTTGGCATGAAATCACAACAGCTTGCGATGGAGGATCTCCCAGACCATCCGCTTTCGGAAATAAGGCATGTGTTGCTTTAATGACAAAAAAAGACAAGGGCATCAGCAAGCCTTAAAATGATACGCATGTAATAGCTTTTAATACACAGTAACATTACTCAGTCACAAAGCCAGGGTCAGTACCTAGCCTTGGACTATTTATAAGATCAGTTATTTTTGAAATTTTGATCTGGCAACCCTGGCTGAAGTATAAATGCTCAGTCCCCATGAACTAGAGAGATATGTAATCAATAGCATAGTTTTTCTGCAGCATACTACTGGACTGTTCATGGTGAAAGGGGTTATGAAGAAAGGAAAATGCACATGACATTGGGAGTCAGCAGCCTATAGGCCAAAACATCTGGACCAGGACCACAACTCTCATCAGCCCTACCCAGCATAGACAATGGTGAAGGATAATGGCAGTTGTAGGTCAAATGGTCTGTCCCTGAATTTAATGGACAGGTAGTCAATAGTTAACACAGCAAGACTTTTACAGTGCGAGATTACAAGGACCATGTTCAAAAGTTAAGAAAAAGAATAGTCACCTTGCATCTATAAAATCAGCTGCTGGCTTTTTATGTAGGCTTTGCTGAAGGAAATACATTAGCTGCATATGGCACTTTTTCCTCAGTATTGGCCAAGCATTTTCTCCTCAATATGAATGCCCAAGTTTAAAGATCTTGTGCAGAATCACAACTAGTTAGTCCCACTTCTTGCAGCACAACTATATCAGATCCTCCTGGTTTTGCTTGAAACATCTTTTGAAAACTAGAAAGTTAGAAGCTGACTTGTACAAAATAAGCAAGTATTTGAAAAATTATTTACTTTGAATCTTTTCTTCTGGCTACACAATTTGGGTTCCTTTCATTAAGAATTGACTTGTTTTTGGTGCCATGCTAATTGAGGTCTGAAGGCATCATTATGATAATCTAGGACACCATTTTGCGAATACAGTGCCAGGAGACGAACCTACCTGGGTGAAGTTGATTGGTTTGTCTTTGGTAATGCTGTCAGCGTATTTACAGGCAAACATCCCACAGTCACTGCCATTCATCTGCTGAGGGATCTCCTTTAAGAAACAAACAAACCCATTCCTCTCTATTTGGTTAGCAAAAGCCTCATGGCTGCTTTATCAAAAAATGTACTATTAACTGCACGGACCCTCCATGAAAGAATAGAATGGGAACGTATGAATCAGCATAATTTTAGCCAAGATGGAGACAAAGATTACAAAACCTGAGAACAAGGAAATGGTAGAATCGGAGCATACTGCAGGCTCCAAACATATACTGAGGCTTTTGAATACCTGAAACAATTATCAGTTCCAAAAGATATCACAGCCATCTGTGGTTGAAAATATCTTTTCCTTGCCCATACACTGGGCACTTAACCCCTATTTTCTTTGCCCAGAGGATAAGGCAAGGAGAGAGTTGGGAGGACCTCTTTGTCAGCTGGGGTCTGTAATAACCATGGGAAAAGTAGGTTGCTACAGGTATTCAAATGCTTCTGTAGAAACAGAGCCTGAAATCACAAGCAACTTTGTAAGCCACACTTAAGACATGTTTTTTCCTATCCACGCATTTATATGATTCTCCTATTTTCTCACTGTACATATATAATTTTTCTTAAAAATCTGCAAAGAGCTATGCACAATCATGGACTGAGAAAACGGGTGGTTTCTCATCTGCAGACCTTTGATTAGAAAAGCACATATAGACATACAGATCATGATTAATTGTATCAGCATCCCTGTAGGCCAGCCATATAGGGCCAACATACCTGGCTTTTTTTACTTAGCAGCGTCCAACCATTGGTATCAAATTCCCTTTTCTTTTTATCCAGGCTTTCCTGCTTTAGGTACTGCCTACAAAGGTTGGGGGTGGGGGGGATGAGAAAGAATATGTTTAAGCAAGGAAGCAAACAAGATCACCACAATTAATTGAGAAAGTACTTTGAATTTCAGGATTGTAACTCAGTAATAAGCTACAGTCTTCTCAAACAGACCTATAACAGAAGGTCACAACTATAAAAATGCCAGCAGACCTGATTAAAGGGAGAAAGCACAAGCAAGAGCTGCTCCCTTAGATAAAAAGCCCACAAATTGAACATCAGCCAACAAATTAAGCCCCATGTTGTGTCCCAAGCACACTGCTATCCTTACATAATTTTGGACTTCCTTCATTTCTAACGCAATTACCATATTTGTGTAGCTGGTTCCCAACTAAGTAAATCAGAGAAGAGACTGAAGCTTTCCAGTGCTAAATACATGGCAACGTGCTACCTCAAAATCCCTTCAGTGCAGGCATGTGAAGGCTTCACACACTGGCCATATGCTGTATGGATCAATGAAAGAATCAGCCCATAGATTTTGCTAGCTTCAACACACACTACTTTCTCTCTCTATCTTACATATTTATTGCTTTGAGGCCATCTTACTATCTATTTCTAGTACATTTATTGTCTTGATGCCATCTTACTATCTATTTCTAGTACATTTAGCTAGGATTGTTCAAACCATTCTTCCATTTCACCAAGTATTATCAACTGTATTTGCCTCTGGATCTTGCATCTTAACAAGAATCTTGCATCTTAACAAGAAACAAAAATTAAGAAAGAATCTACAAGGTTCAACTTCAATCGATGTAAGGAGTCAAACCACACTGTGGATAAACTGTGCTATGTTCTGAATAAATGTCACAAAATAGTAGGCACACACACTATCAGCGCTGAAAAACTTCACATATTCAGCTTTCCAAGCACTTGCTACAATCTACAGTCTTTCTGGAATCCATTATTCCTAGCACTTCATCTAGAATGCCATGCTACCATAGGAAAAAAGTAACAGATGGTACAGCTATATACTTATGCTTCTGTTATTGAGCTAGGTCAGAAAGTGCAAAGTAACATATTCAGCCCTGCATACCTCAGTGCCAATGCAATTCTTTCAGGTACTAATTTACATGGGTTCTTTGCCCTTCTTGGTAGCCAGTTCAAATTACTACTCACTCATTACTATATTGCATTTTACTTGCAAAGCAAAACTGTCCCAATCAATTTTTTAAAAATGCTTTCCGCCTGCTGGATTAAGGATTAAGGTCCTATTTGTAGCTGTGAATCACTTCTGATCAATCAGATTCCATTTGATCCAATTCTAACCCATCTAAACTGTATACCACACATACAAACTAAGTAATGTTCCAATGTCACTCCATCACAAAGCCAAGATTCATACCAAGCCTTGGACTGTTTTATAAAAAGGCCAGTTATTTTTGAAGTTTTGATCTGCATTTATTTCTCTTAATATGTATATACTGCCCCAGTCCCATAGACTCTGGTACCAGGATTACGTGGTAACATCTTTGAAAAAACAAACTAAGCTGTATTAATTATATTCTATATAGTTCTTGCAATACCTAATGTGGTGTTGCCCTTTCCAACCTTCATATATGGAATATGGATATCAGGATACTTCTGAACAGCAATTTCACAAGTGAAATCTATGTATGTTAAAATATTTTCTCTTTTTTAGTGGAACCTTCTTTTTTTCTAGTAAAGCTTGTACTATGGTAACTGTGACTAACACTTCAGTCACAAGTATAGTAAGAACTCATATTTTATTGTTTTTCTGAAGAACGATGTTCTCAACACAGCAGCAACCCCACTCCTTCCACCATGTTATATGGAAAGCAACTTCTGAAACAGAGTAGCCTCAAAAACAGGATTTCATATGCCATAGGGGCCTGCAGTTTAAAAAAAATCTATCAAATTTGCAGAATGTGTTTGACTATTCTACAGTAGTTCTTTGGGATCCTGTCCTATGTTTCTAATGAGGTATGTTTAATTGAAATGAGAGGCAGCTCTTCAAATTATATTTGAGATGATTTAGAAAGCAGGAGAGAGAACATAGGTAAACTTTATTTTAACATTCTTGCTATTCACCAGATATTTTGAAAAGTGTTAGAGTTCCAGTTCTCAGAATGTTCCTCAGGTTTCCTAGTAGAGATGTCTGTCTCAAAATGGAGCAGCACAAATGAATATAGTAATTTGCCTGACAGAAGATCATTTCATTAATATGAAAACCTAGAAGCACCTCCTAAACACTAAATTTATATCTAGGAGCATTTTCCACTGAACACGCAGGACACAGCAGTAAATAAGTATTTTAAATATTACAAGGACAATACTGTCTACTTGCCAAAGCATTGCAGTGCTCTCTGTAAAAGTTATCCCTGCATTTCCCCCAATTTTGATCTTCCTAGACTTACAAGGAGCAACAGCACAATGTGTATACAGCTTTGTAGTAGCTCCCAAGTAATGTGAAACTATGATTAACATGGAGAAACTCTTTCATGAAAAAAGAGGAAGGAGGAGTGATTCTACCAGGATGCTGCTAATATGCCAACAACAGTTTGCTGGCAGCCAATATTATGTCTTAATCATCAATACCACCCCCGCTGATGCAGCTTCAGCATTTTCTCTCTTTAGAATAAATAGATTAGCCTATTCATTTCTGAAAATGACAAAACTAAGACTGTCATACTTCAAATACATCACAAGAAAGCAAAACTCACTGGAGAAGACAATCATGTTAGGGAAAGTTGAATGCAGAAGACAAAAGGGAAGACCAAATATGAGATGAATTTAATCCATAAAGGAAGCCACAACCTTGAACTTACAAGAACTAGAATGGACATGGAGGGCTTTCATTCACAGAATTGCCAGAAGTTGGAGATGACTTGATGGCATGTAACAAAAATACCTCATCTTGGTTCTTAACACTAGTATACCTTTGAACAGGCAGCAAGCATGTGTCATAATAGAAAATTTTATGAGAATCTGAAGCTCCCATAGTCAGATCACTGGTTCATCTATCCCAATATTGTCTGTATAACCTGGCAGCAGCTGCCCAAAGCCTTAAGCAGAGAAAGATCTTTCTCAGCTCAGCTACCTAAAATCCTTAAATAATTATTAGTAAATCTGTTTTGACTTTGTAAAAAGTGTTCCATTAAAACAGGATAAATATATATTTTAAGAATTAAAATCAGTCACAAGAGATTTATGGCAGCCCATAAATCTCACCCTTTTCTAAAAAGGGACAACCCAATCATTTAAAACTCACCAAAAATCAGGAAGCTCTAAAGATTGAAAGCATGAAAGGGTCACTAACCATGAATAGGACCTCCGTCCCCTCTTCCCGGTGTGATCCTCCCACTGCATTCAACCAATTAAAGCCTCCTGAAAGGAAATAGAGAGGGAAAAGCAATTACAGGAAGGGCAGCAGTCAGTTGGAAGCAGAGTCCCTTTCCCATTATTGTACCTGTGACAATACTCATCTGACTGTAACTGTAAGGTTCTCACTATGCTGCCATCTCATGGGCTGGAGCATGTGTGTAGAGAGACAAGTCTGGATCTAATCAGTCTTCCTTAAGTCTAATCTGTATATATCAGGTCTCATTTGGAGATCTACCAATATGAACAGGCTCAAGCAGCAGAAAAGCTACAACACCCACAGTAAAATTATTCCAGTGGCCACTTATCAAAAATTCCAACAGACAAAAAACTTAACCTATAAATAGATCAAGTACTGAGCTATTCAGCTTCCCACCAATATGGCAGAAGTAGCCTTCACTTAATCTTGGCTGCTTACTACAAACAGCAGCTACTTCCAAGCAAGATTTAGTAGCCTTTTGCTATGACTAATCTTCCCTGAAGCTCTCACTGATTAGCTTCATGGGGTTCTAATATTACAAAAACATTTCTTTATTCACTTTCTCCATACCATGCATTAATTTTGTACACCTTTATCAAGTCTTTTTTCTCTAAGCTTTTCTCTAACAGCCCCAGATGTTGTAACCTTTCCTCAGCCCCCAGAGCATTCAAGTTGACCATTTGGTTTCTGTGCTTTTCCAACTCTACAGTATCCTTTTTAGGTGCAGTAATGAGAATTGAGAACAATATTCCAAGTGTGGTTACACTATAGATTTTGTGTCAGGGGAACATAAGCCACCTTTCTAATATAATGGGCCTTCGGATTTCAAGTTGTAATTTAGAAAACTGCAGACTATGGTACAAAGAAAATCTTATCCATGTTAGCCCTTCACTATTTCTGTAATGAAAAAAAAAACCTTACTGGCTAGCATGTATAAGGACAACTCCCAATTATCCCCATTTCTAGAGAAGAATATACATGTTCTGTGTTCTTATCTAAAGTAAATGCAGTGAATTTCCAATACTGTAGTTTAGAATGACTCTGCATGTAGGCACCCCCTCTGCCATTCAAAATCAGAATGTAAAATTCCACCTAAAATCTTAGAGAAGATCAGGATGCCAGTGCTTGAAGAAGTGCCCTGTGTCACTTCCTCAATGAGCAGCCAGGAGAGATACACTAACATACTTTTTTATTAATTAGAGGACATATATTTAGAATTTGGGCCACAGCTTCAGATAAGTTTAATCTGCTATCGTGTTGTGTGAAGGGGGTATTCCTGTCCAAGTACCATGCAGTGCAAATATAAGAACAGGCAAGCAAAAGGAAAATCTTGCAAAAAATGTTGATAGGACAGCCTGAAAGAGCCATCTTACAGGTTGCAGGTGGATAGGGACTGTCACATTTTCAGCATTGCCCTTCTTTTCCCTCCATATGGAGGTTTTTCCTTTTTTTCTCACTGACACCAATTAGAGGGAAATTAGCTATACTCCGGGACTGGAGTAGGTCTTTGTCCCTGCTTTATATGTTGGGAGATCATGAAACAGGATCCTGAAGTCCTGCAGCCTTCCCCAACACTACCCTTGTCTTGTTCCTGACCCATATGCCAGAGCAACAACAGCAAAGAAGCTTTCTACTGGTGCATCAGGGAGACCTCTACCCACACACCTCTCCCTAACCCTCAGCTGCCCTCCCAAGAATAGAGGAGTGCTCTTTCAGTCCTTGAAACGTGTTCGCTATTACTATATGCTTAGATTGTGTTCGTAAGCTGCCTTCCAATGGCAAGAGGGCGTACAATTTAAGCAAGTAAATATATACAGTGTAATTGGTTGTCATGTCATGCACTGAAAACAGATCCAGGATTTACAGTACTGAATACTGAATTTTTACTTAACAGTAAATTCAAATCTGAAAGTCCCATTACAATTGATGAGGTTTACTCTAAGGAAATTGGATATAGGATTATGGTCTAAATGACCATTTGCTGTTAACAGCCAATTAAAGTCAAAAACAAAAACAATAGAATCCAACATATGCTATCGATGGAGCTAACAATACTTTTCCGAATTCATTAATTGTATTTTACAGTGGTGAAATAGTATTAATTGCTAAAACTGTTCATTCTGTCATTTTCCAATTACTTGCTAAATAAAATGGAAATATTACACAAAGCTTCCTGTAGCCTGAGTTTTTATAGTTATTAATCCAGTTTACTTACAGATTGGAACTATTTCTATACACTGTACTTATGTTTAGTCATATTCCTCAGCAAATGGAAATGCTGCAGCTTCTCTGCCAAGTGGGAACATATTACAACAGTTTTGAAGAAGCTGTCAATAAGCTCTCATTCAAGGTGCTCAGACACTTGTAAAACCTGACACTACTTGGACAGCTGGTAGAATACCTTTGGCCTGCCCAGATGTTAAGATCAAATGGAGATGCCTACACATCACTGCATCTTCCTGAAGGGATTTTATAATGAAAAGCAGACAAGTGCATACATTTTCTTGAACATATACACGTTTTTAATCGCATTGTAATATGTGGTTTTAACAAACTTAAAGTTTACCTGTGAATGAATCTAAATTTTGTACCAGCCTGTCACACCCCAGTTAGCATTCAAGGCAGTAGCACTTCGTGCAGTGTTTGAGAGGCTAATTTTACTAGAGATACTGAAAAGTGTACAGACATGTATGGAAATCCTGATAAAAGAAGCCATCAACATGTTAAACACTTTTATAATTTAATTATACTAAAACACCTGATTAATATTCCTGAATCACTGGCAATAAATGTTTAACAACATTCTGATATACAACTGATATTCCTCCTAATTCCACCTCCTGCTGCCCTGTCTTTTGATGGTACATAAATTATTATCTGGTATATACATTTTAGGACAAACTATAAGAAGGATTCAGCACTTTTGCTCAATGTCAATACTTTGATCTTAATGCTAAACTTTTGCATTGCGCAGAGGAGCTTTTGGTCACATTCTGCACATGCCCAGTCTTAGGAGAAGGAGGCAACTTATATGTAAGCTGGGTTTGCCAGAAATGGCAATACAGTCTATTGAAATAAACAGTAAGGTCCATCAGCAATGAAGGATTTGAAAATCAGACTATGGTGCAATACTAAATACAATGCTCAAGAGTAAATCTCAATTGCTGTGTATATAGTTAGAAATGTATTTTCTTTAAAGCACTAAAATGCTATTCCTGCACAATATTTATCTCTGCAAGGTATACAATGCAACGAAAAAAGCAACAAGTTATAGCTGAATCCAGTACTTGCTCTATATGTCCTTGCTGCCTCAGTCTATTCATACCAAGGATATAGGGTAATGTGTTCTTAGGATTCCTTGACTCTTTTTAAAGAAAGTTTCTTGCTCTGGCAACAGCTGGGACTCTTCAGATAGCTAATCAATATGTTCCTTCTTTCTATATGACAGTGCCCTTATCAAGATTTGTAGACTGATCGTGCTTTCTAAATGGGAAAAAAAGCCATGAAATGCTCGACTACCTTAAGAGTGTTATGCTCAGAGCTGCAATTTGACACTTCTTGTTCAGAGGAGAGCCCAAAATGAGGCCTGATCCTGCACATTTAAAAGTCAGCCTCAAATGACATATTCGCAAATACTCCCCCATTTACTAGCTAATCTATGTCATCTCTTTTTGTGATTTCTCTGAATTGTTGTGCTGTTACAGCTTTGGTTTTGTTTCTTTTTGTTACAGCATGAACAATTGTTAGGAAAAAATATTTTAAATAAATTAACCAACCAACAAATGTGTGCATTTAGGATGGGTTCCCAGCTCTGACCTCAGAGCCAGTTTCCAAGGTCAGACCACAAACTCGGGTGAAATATCCAGTGGCCACTGTCTAGCAACCACAGGACTACACTGTTATTAGTTTACTGAGGAATACTGCATTTTTGGCAAATGGAAGCGCATCCCCAACATCAGAGAAGAACAGGATTCTGGAAACTACTTTTGACTTTTTCTGGATCTTCAAGACTACCAGCTGGAGACAGGCGCAAAACAGTAGCTAGCAGATGGTAAACATACACCATGCAGAATTAAGGAGTAGTATGCCCCTGAGCACATAGATTAGACCAAAAATTTTTTCCCAGTTTTAGAACTGAGCTGGTAGTCTGTCCACAGCAATCTATTTCTGGTTTGTTCACATATACGTACAACACATATACTTCCTTAATTTCAACAGGTGAATTTAAGATAGTAGTGAAGAAGCAGCCTTTCTTTTTGATGTTGTTAAACCGGGGCGGGGGGGGGGGGGACCCTTTGTGCCAACTGCAAATACTCCAGAGATCTTGGGTAGATTTACCAGCAGATCATCAGTAGACCACTAGTAGATCCTGATGTACTCCCTATCCACCTCCATCCTAAATTCATTCTCATCTGGACTCAAAGTTTATTGCACAACAGCATCTCAGAACACTTTGCTGAAGCCAACACACAATAGGCATCAGCTGGGTTACTCCTATCTCAGATGAATGACAGTTAAAACTAGTAAAGTCATTTCCAAGAAATGGCAGTAACATCTGCCTCTTCTTGCACTGGAGAATGTTTGCTTTAGTTATTTTGTCTTAGAAACAACCTTGGAAATTAAGCTATTTCTACATGCCACAATAGCAGCATTTTGTTCTGAAGATTGCCCTCTATCTACCCTGAGCTCTCTCTTTTTTTTCTTCACCCTTGACTCAAGAAATCTTGAATAAGTTGGGATACTCACAAAAGTATCTTGCAAGCGTCGTTATCATTTCCACCCATGGAATCATAGTAGATTATGGTTTTTTTCCTGAAGTCAATCACCTAAATAAGATCAAATATTTCATTAAGACTTTGACACATGCTTACTCACAACCATACACTTTCTAGCATGCATTCCAAACCTCAAGCCTTGCTTTCTGTAGAAGAGAAACCACTTGAAAATAATGGTGAAAGTAGATCTTTGGCAAAGTTCTAGCAAAGATCTGTGAAGACTTCCCTTCAGGAGCAGCATATTCAGCCACATATATGCAGCTGAATAGAGTTAATGATGTTTGCAGAAGCATGGTGAGCCTGTGGCAATTGTTAAGGCAGCCATGGCACTGCTAACCTCCTTTTGCCATTAGGGTTTAACTATATAAATGTTAGGTCATGAGTGTGACCTGGCTTGGGTAACACAACAAGCCACGCTTTCTTGCTATCAGAGGTCAGTTGTCCCGTTGTGCAGACAGGGACTGCTTTGCCAAAGGTGGCTTGATTTTTCAAATAAGCTACCATGCAGTGCCTGCAAGCTGTTCTAGGTTGCTGTCACCCATGACAAACTGCTATGGAGGCCTAACACTGTTGAGCCCCTACAACCAACAAGCTGCTTGGTGAGAGCAACAAAAATTCCTTGCTGGTCTTGACAAGGAGCTGCCAGGCGAGGGCTGCTGTCAGGAACTTTTCCCTGCCTGTGGCAGCATGGAGCACCCATCCTGGCTGGTGGCTCAAGAGCAGACCTCTCCAGCCACTCGCAAGGATGGCCAGAAACCACTCCTACTTGACAAAGAGTATGGAGGAGCAGACATCATTACCAGCAGCTGGAAAGGTCAACGCTCAATCTGCTGACAAGGAGCCAGCAAACCTGTTTTTGAGATGGCACCAAGCAGATTGAGCACCCTGCCTCTTGCATAGGAGGTCCAATCTCAGCAAAGAGATAGGAGGAGATGGGAATGTTCGAGCTACTTGGCAGCCAAGGATGGGCACCACCAACTGCATCCCAAGTGTATCTCCTACCTGCAAGTAGCCCTCTCAGACAGAAGGCAGGAGCTGACAGTCTACTCAGAGCTGCTTCCCTGTCCTTGATGCAGTGCTGCTGATGTGTGAATCAGGCATTCCTTCCTCCTGTTCCCTCTGGAGCAGGAGTGGGGAGTGACCAATCAGCTCCCTATCCTTCCTGCAATGATTCAGGGTACAGAGACTAAGGGAACAATTTGTTTTTAATTCCTCTTTGTCTCAGTAGCACAAACATGGCCCCTGCCTTGAAGAATGATGGGCCTTTTGGCTGGGCAACATGCAGGGAGCTTCCCATTGCAAGCGCTTGCAGATGGAACTCACTGTGCTAGGAGAAACTCTGACAGCCACTGCCAGAGAGGAGACCCATTCCTCCTCACACCTGTTCCCTAGGATATTGCCTGGGGAAAGGAGGGGCAAAGAGGTGGCAGAGCACCCATGATGAGCTCAACAGTCTGTCAGGCTTGTCAAGGATATGTCACAAAATAACCAGCCCACTGTGGCTTATTGCCAGGGTGGGCAGTTGTGACATACAGACCACGTCCACATGAGACAAGAGAGGAGACATTTTGAAGTAGTACAGATTACACTTCAGACAGACAAGAGGAAGAATGTGAGAGTTTTGATATGTGCAGTCTCTCACAGATATTAAGCATACTTACTGCTAGACACCAGTGGACTCCAAGGTGAATGGGCACCAGCAGGATGTCCACTGCAAATATATCCACTTTTTTAGTCCAACGTTTCACAGCTAGATACTTCGCCGTTTTTAACTTAGTGAAGAAAAATGTGTTAAATGCATGAACAGTTGGAAAGCCCTTCTGTTTACTTCTTTCCATCAGCATGTTCATGTAGAAATTAATTATCTGAGGAGAAGATGAATACACATGTTACTTTCATACAGTTAGATGACTGCTAGCTTTTCAAAACAGCTTTTCTGCATCCACACAATAAGAACATTCACTAAGCAAATGGTGTCATTCCAACTTGCTAGATACTGAGTAATGGACTCTGCAGCCCTGGTGATCCAAAGAAACGGATCTTTAATATAAGAGTAGTAGATACTTCACAATGCAACAGTATTTCATAATGGGGCAAAAACTAAGATACCCTCCAGGAAAGGACCTTAGCTGGACCCTCATCATCTACCAGCCAATTTTTTTCCCTTCTCTGATGGTTTTTTGCTGGACTGTGACCCTGCTTTCCCAGATGAGTTGCTTAGATGGCCAGGAAACTGCCACCAGGATGGATTAAAAACCCAAGCCAGCTGTGTTTCCCTTTGGGGAGGTCTTTATCTGCCTTTCTGGGAAGCAGAGCCATGATGAGCCACAAGGGAATGCCACCAAAGTAGGTTTCATCTTTAGGGAGACACTTCCAAGGACTCCAAAGACAAAGGCTCCCCTAACAACATGGTTAAAGCTATTTTGGTTTCCTCAGGGTGCTCGTTTGCTCCTTAGGCTGTTGGGATATGCCTTGGAGGGAAGATTTTGAGTCAGTGTTGTGACAGGTAGGGGGAGATATGGCATTGGAAAAGTACTAACCAGGCGAGGAGAACATAGCCTACTTAATGAATGTGCTGTGTTTTGGTCCTCCTTGCACCAAGTCTGATGATTGCTCTATCAGCCTACCTTTGGGTCTCTGGATGACACTTTTAAATGCCAAATCAGTTTCAAATAAGACTTCCTTCATCCATGATTTAAAAGTGGTTGAGGCAGCCAATCAGGCATGCATTAACAAGACCTGGGACTATAATGCCCACTGGGATACTTGGTCCAGCATCATGGTAGATGGGAGGGCTGGGGAGGGGAGTTGCTGAGGTCTGTAGAAATGCTCTCTCCAGGCTCCCTGTCCATCCGATTACTGGTCTGGAGTGTTTGCATCATGAATACGCAAACCCTAGCTTATGATTTCTTGTGTCTTAAAAACCCAGACAACAGGGACTGAGTAAGAGTTAATCAAGAACCATGTAGCCCACAAACTGCAGACTATGTGAGAGTTCTCTAACTCTCAAAATAACCTCTCCTGTCTGGATTTGCACAAGCCACAGCAATCCCCGGTTGGGATGTTATTTGCATAACTGGCCAGCATGCCCCACAGAGTCTCAAGCATTGATTAACCTTCAGGTGTGTCGTCTCAACCAGATGACCATGTTTGATTCTGCGTCTTAACTTACAACATTTGAAATTTTACAGAATTTGGAATATTTTTACAAGGGAAAAGAGGCAAGGGAACTGAGGTATTATCTGGTTTGCTGAGGCAAAAGCAGGCCAGAGACAAGGATACAGACAGCCTATTCAGAAAGCTCCCACGGCACAGGAATATGGAGCAACAAATTCAGCTACAAACACAAGCATTCTAATTTTATATTTTCTGCTGAATGTATAAAGTGGGTGTGGCAGAGACTTACAGGGAAATAAGCGATGCGCCAGTAGCTTTTCATTGCCCACAGCTTTTCTTCTGCATTCTCCCAACCATGCATGTCAAACCTCACAGACATGTGCATGTCATCTACGAATGCTGTCAAGTGCTAGTCTGTCCTCATGTGTCAAAGTGGCAACCCTGCAAATCTGCTTTACAAAGTAGCCTTACAAAGTGTCCAAAATGTGCCACTTTTTGAATTTTGGCCCATCCCTTATGAACCTGTTTCAAGAAGTTTTCCAGAACACCACAAGCTGTGAACCAAATGCGCACTGCAGCAATTGCTCCATTACCAATTGCTATGCCAGAAATAACTCACAAGGACTCCACTGTGTCAAAACAGTCACAGTTAACTTATGAAGTCTGCTGCTGCCATTACCTAATGCATGGCAGGTACCAGTCATCCATAGATTACCAGTAGCCATGAGTGTGGGCTATGCCCCCATGCACTGCTTGTGCACCCACAGGCTTCTGGTTGGCCACTGTATGAAAGTGGGCTAACCAGATCATTGTTTGATTCAGCAAGGCTTTTCTTCTGTTCTTATGCCACATAAGCAGGTTCTTACTGGTCATTTGGAGATGTTCTACAATCACTAAACAGCTGTATAGTTCAAAAACATACTTAGATGAAGGATGAAATTGGATTACCTCATCATTGAGCCAATTGAGGTGGTTAAGGGTCTGAATGTCCTTCCTAGTTATTGTTAACCGGAAGGCTTCACTAAGCACCTCATCTTGGTTTCCGCTGCGCAGTACACTCTTTATTTCCCTCTCCATTTCCTAAAGGAAATAAAAGTTATTTATAACAGAAAGGAGTTTGGATTTTGCAGCTTAACCACGTGATGCAAGCTCAAAGTCAGATCGCAAAGAAAGATAGCTCTAGAAAGCAGAAAGGTAGTAATGAATCTGGAATGCTGATCTTAAAATCTGAATGCACTTTAGCCCCAGTAAATTAGCATGAGAAACAAGGAGGCTGTACTAACAAGTCTCCATATTTGTTTGTTGGCTCAGTATCCCAAAGTCACCTCACTGAAATGACTGAATGGGAAATACAGTTGCTATGGGGATTCAGGAACAGGGAGACCACCATGTGGGAGGTGGGAGATGCTGGCCAGGTATGGCCAGAGGATTTTATGGTGGCAGTGGAGAAGAGTGGGGGAGGGGAGGACAAAGAATGCATAACATTTGAGAAATATGCTTTGATGGCCAATTAAGCCCAACTACTCTACAATTCCTACTCAGCAGTTGCTCCCAAATGTGCTGCTAAAGTGCCACCCCACCAGTATCATGACATATTTTCTTGGGAAAGCCAGGAACAACCTTGACGGAGAAGTGGTAATGCTTTAATTTCTTACTTTATACTTGTGAAAGTGAGGCCTGGAACTAAACTTTGTTCATATGTTTGAACATATAAAAGTATGAACATATCATATTTCCTTCTGATAGTGGTGTCAGAAGGAAAAAAAACACTACTATATAGAAAAGACTGGTAAGTCAAGGGAAGGCTAAAGGAGACCCCTTCTTTCCAACAGTGTGTTGGAGTTTAAGAGTGGAACATTCTGTCATGCAATCACCCAGATGCAGTCTCAAGTGGCACCACCCAGAAACATCATTGTAAACTAGCTGGGAAAGTCCTATTTTTAGAAGGCTTGCCTGGCCCTTCAGCATCCATGTAAGACTATACCTCTGTAATTTCAGGGAATTCCTCTTCATTGTCAGGTGTCTTACTGCCTTTTGGACCAATTGTGACAGGAATTTCCTTCTCAAGTGGTACTCGCAGATGTAGGTCAACTGAATCAGGTATTGAAAACTCCTGTTTCTGCAATCTCTAGAAGACACATCCTTAAACTAGCAACATCTCACTGCTTGGATTTCTTACTTTCATGAGCTGAGGCACAAAACATGGCTCAGCCATCAAATTTATTTAGAGCCATTTTGCTAATGAGCAAGGAAAAAATAAATGGTTAAACCCTTTGACCTTAGGAGACTATTGATCAGATCTTGCCCTCCCACTTGCTTATCAGTTTCACATTCAGTATTTGAAATTCAAAGCAAGAAAACCTGGTGACAAAAATACCACCCATCTTTTCTTAGAGACTTACTTTTCTTACAACCTTCAGTTACAACAACCAGCCTAATTCTTAGCAAGAGCAACTAGGTTCCTGAAAAATTAGGTAGACTTTCCAGCTCTGAGTTAACTCCCAATATTCATTTTTTAAAAGATTTTTGAGTATTCTACCTGGTTCTGAAGTTGTAATGCCAAAGCCTTCTGCTCTTCAATGTATCGCAATCTTTCACGGGCACGAGAATCGTATACACTGGTTCTAGAAAGATTTTTTGCATGGAGTAGACAGAACATTCAGCAATAGTATCAGGAAATACACACATCTTTGTTCACTTCAGGTGTATCAAGCTTATCATTTGTATGGACTCATCAATTTTTATGGGACAGCTACTATGAGGTACAGGCGCATGGATGTATGCAGGTAAGGTCTGTGTCAAACAACCCCCAATCCACCAAAGTGGAGTGACAGCAACTTACATTGCTATAAACACACCAGTACCTTCATACATTTTTTTAGTTTAATGTTGGGTGGGGGAGAGATGAAAAAATAAGAATGATATTAATCAAGGAGCAAGATTTAGCCCTTGGATTCAAGCTGCTGATTCCTGATTTGAATGCAAAACTCCATATTTTTCCTCCACAATGGAGCAGTTCTAAGTAATGTACATTCACATTGTGAAACTGGATTACATAGAAGACTTCCTGCTTTTAACTATTCCATTTCTTCTCTGTTTGCCCAAACTAAGCAAAAGGGGGTTATTTAGCCATTAACTAAAAGGACTATCCATTCACAAGTGAGTTAAGAGGGCAGAGAGCTCCCTAGACTTACTGAAGTGGTTAATTCTTCAAGGACAGCTGTGGAAAGGTAGTGACTACTGAGATTAAAAAATGGGCAGAATGCACCCAAGATTAAAAGTCTTCAAGTCGCATTAACCAGAAGTCAGAGTTTGTACTCTGCTAGACTGCTTCCAAGGTTCTCCAACCATTTCCTTATCTCTGAAATCAATTACAAGCTTTGGTCTATGAAGTGCCATCAAAGGGTTCCTAGCATCCTCTGTGTACAAAGATAAGTGGCTTATTCTTTTGGGGAAAGCACTGGCACTCTGAGAGCTATGCCAGTATTTAGAAAGAATTAAAGCTGAGGGAAAGTAGAAAAAAACCCTTCCCTGCGAACATTTCTCCAACTGAAAGGAGAAGAAAGCTATAAAGGAAATCCCCATTTTCCAAATGGACCACTGCTGATTTAATCCAGATTGGAAAGGGAAAGTTAACAGCCTAATTGCAACATGTTTAAAGAGAAGTTAATTCTTGAACTTCTGATCACACAATGAGTCTATGATCCATAAATGTATTTGTTAATATTAACAACAGAAAACACTCACAATTCTTTGATCCACAATTCAGCTTCAAAGAAAGGTGTGCTGAAAGATGAAAGGAATTGAGAAAGTGTAAGTGTTTCCTCAATATAGGAAATAGCTACCCATTTTAGCTGCACATTAAGTAAAAGATGAGAAAAGGCTATGATGTTTGCTTGGATGAAATGAGCAAGAAAGGGATGCAGTCATGAAAATCCCTCACAAAACACTACTGCAAAAAGGTTACAGGCAAAGTTTGAACCGATGGCACTGAAGAACAATGAAACTCCCAAATGAAATCTGAGATGTACTTCAACAAGCATGCATCATTATATTAGTTTTAACTGTTCGATATTTAGTTCTCCTGGTTTTTACTTTGTTTTTATACTGAAGTTTTAAAAGTTGTATACTGTATTTGGTCAGACTATCAAATTTATGGTTTTAATTGTGTACCACCCAGAATGATCTGTCTATTGGGTGGTAGACAAATGTTCTAAATAACAGTTAATTCCATTCCTTATTCCCCTAACTTTTTATGGCCTGAAGTTGTCATGCTATAGCTTCAGAGGCAAAGTTACAAAAACCATAGGTGAACATTGCTGATATGGTTCAGAAAATATGCTCAAGGTACTTTGCCTGACTGGGACCCAAAGTTCTTGTCCAAAGAGGGCCAAAAGCTGCCTGTGGTGTGAACAGAATTATCACTCAGATCCTGAAGCCTTGCTATAAGCTGACATCTGAACAGAGTGCGAAATCTAATCGCAGGAACAAATTCCACTATCCCCCCTGCACAAAAAAAGGTTACACAGAAGTCTATTTAGATTGATCCATATCCAGAGACAGTTACACTGAAGTTCCATTAAAATTAATTAGATATGAATGGATCATCATCTATTTCAGTGGGGCTTAAGTACAATTAACTTTGAGGATCATGATCTCTCTCCTTTGCATCACCAAAATGTGGTACCCACAAATTACGAAAAGCACTTGCCTCAGAGCTGGGGTTTTGGCATCTTTGCCATTGAGCATTATAAGAGAATTAGAGCCTAAATGAAGCACAAGAAAGAGCAAGGTTAAATATTAATCATTGTAAATAAGCTTCTTCAGTGACAAAACACCAGTCCTTCTATTTCATTTCCCACTAAAAAGGGAGTAGTTCTACTTCTATCAACATTTGCTTTCAATTATCAAGAACGTTAGACTGGAATTACATACATATGTGCACTCAGGCTACAACGCTGAGAGAGGTCCTATGAAAATTATTTCCATGTGAACAAGATTAGGACTGGACTGTAAGTTTCATATTTGAAACATGAGAACAGCAGCACCCCATCTAACAAATTTGTTGCAAGGATGAATGAAATAGCTGGATGGTCTGGAGTCAGTAATAACCAAAGGGTCTTGGGTAGAGAAGGGAAGCTATTGTAAAGGTCAATTTATATTTATTACTTTTACCTTCAGCTTCATCCAGTGCTGGTAGACTATTTTGCTGAGTTGGTGTACTGGCCTCCTTGGGATTAAAGTGTATGGGAAAACTATGGATTGGGTGTGGCAGTGGTTTATGAAACTGATGCTCCTGGGTCCTCAGAACACCAGATGATTGGTTATTTTGAGGGGGGTTGTAAGTATCAAAAGTTTTTCTATTCTTATTTTCAGCTTCTTTCACAAGGTTTTTACTGGAACTTGCACACCTGGGTCTGAAAACAAAAACAAAAGACCAGAACTTTAAAAAACAAACTAGGTAGCAATGGCTAGCTTAGTCGATGTATTTCATGGACTCACAGGTGGAGAGAAAACAGTGAAGAGGGCTTGGAGGTTGAGAGTTTTTTTCCAGTAACCATTTGAATTAGCTGCCTGTAGATCTCTTTCTCTTCTTCTCGAACGGTCTATGGAGAAATAACCACACACAAGAAGCCAAATAATAAAAATCTGGTAGTTGTTCTCAGAACATCTCTCCATTTCTCATCTCTGAGTCTTCTGTTAATCTCTTTTCCTTGCTCATTTTCTCACTCAGACTCCTTCTTCTCTCCCATTCCTTCTCCCACTTGCTTTTCTCCCCTCTCCCCACATTTATTTCCCTGGACCTCCCCTCAGTTCAACTAGCTTCTCAAGTCACACCTTTCCACATCTCTTTGCCTACTCTTTCTCTGCTCCTGCCCTAGGATCAGAGCAGTTCAACCAATGGCAATCAGAGATTTTGGGATCTACACCACTGTTATGTGGTAGTAGGGTGGCTGAGTCAATCATTTTGAGCCTACCAGCACAAAATGCTAGTTAAATCTAAAATTTACAGTTGATATACAAGGGTTGTCCCAATTCAAGAAAAAAAGCATAATATGCAGTTTAAATTGGTTCTGCTTTTCACCTACCTCTTCTGCAGTACTAATGAATCTTCTCTGGGATTTCTTGGGACTTAGTAAACTCCGACGACATGGAACACTCCATGAGGGACTAGCAATGGACTTAATTGGAAATGATTTTTCATAGGCAGATATGTGGCAATGGTGGTTTGATTTCCCTACAAAGGAATTTGATATCCCACTGCAAAAAAAGTTCAATATATGAATCTAGTTAGCCAACATTACAAAGATATTCAAATTTAGAAGCTCAACCAGAAAAGCAAAGCTCAACCCATTCCTCATCTTCCCACCCTTTAGTCAAAAGAGGTGCTGACCCAATTCACATGTAACAGTAATTCCTAAGATGTTTAAACCAAGAGTTGGCAGTATCTTGCAAGAACAAGCAAGCAAGCTTTTTCCAGGTTGCTGGACTGAACAGCAGCAAATGGGTGCACTGCCTTCCTTGTGCTTGTCACCTTTGCTTTCAATTAATAACCCAGGAATGCTGTGGTCCTGGATTGCTATCATGACATCCAAACTTGGAAACTCTGAGTTGGTTTATGATAAATAAAGGCATAAGTTAACTGGGACATTTAAACCCTAAACAATCTAGAGTTTCCAGATTCACATATCAGGAAGCAACCCAGGAATGGGACATTGCTGATTTTGCAATTTAAAGCACAAGGGGCAAGAGGAAGGCAAGGGACAAGTGCATGGGAGGCAGCCCCAACAAACCTTTGTTAAATAACCCATGGGTTGTAGCTACATGTGAATCAGGTCATTGGTATCACTTCTCCAGCTTCTTGACAAGAACATCAAACTGTAACAGTTTGTTCTCTGATGGAGAACACCCCGGAGCAGGCTAATAATACTGATTTTGCAAGCATTTTCTCCTTAAAATAACCAGAAAAAGCTAACAAAATTTTAAAACCATATTAAACACAATACTCAAATCAGACATAATTATTAATAAACACTCAGGGCAATACAAAAACTTGACAGCATATCGCTAAAAATAAGTCTAAGAACTGAAACAGTAGTACACCCTAGCAACTCCAATTTCACCCTCTTTACTTGGAACAGGAAGAGCAGGAACTGAAGAACCTCTCAAACCAGTAAGGTCAAGAATAATAATAAAAGTTCTGTCTGTACAATTTCTGTGTGAGAAGTGACCCTCTACTGAATACCAGCAGCTGAATTTAAAAAAATGGAAGTGATACTGCTTTCGTGTCCTGCTTGTGGGCTTTCACAAGGCATCTGGCTGGCTCCTATGGGGTACAGGATGCTGGACTAGCAGGGCTCTTGTGTCCTTAAAGTGATGTTTCTTGCCTTTCCGCAGATACGTTTTAATTATTATGAGCAACAATAACAGAAAAAAGAACCTACAAATAAAACCACCAAAAGCAGAAACTTAGCAAAAAGTACATATCCATTCACAATAACTATTCACACCACCATTGGTTAAAACATAAGTATCTGCAGAAAGGCAAGCAGCACCTCCTCAGTGGCAACAAATACCTGCTAGTCCAGCATCCTGTCCTCCACAATGGCAAGCCAGATGATTTATGGGAACCCATGAACAGACTATGAGGGCGACATTGTTGCCATTTAGGGAAAGAGAATCTAATTTTCCAGATCTTAGTTTATATTTAAGACATTTTTATACCATTCCTTTTTAGTTAATGACTCTCAGAATGCTTTACAACATCTCATAAGGGTTATCTTGTACTAATAATTAGAAGATAGCTTTTTCATTTAACATGCCCTCATAGGTTGCTTTGGAATCAAACCTTTTACCTGAATGGCCAAATAATCCACTGATGTTGATATTTTAACATTTATACTTCTTGACGGAATTGAAAAGGGAAAACAGCCTTCCTTTACCTTTGCTAAAAGTGTAAAGTAAGAGGCAGTTATAAAATTGGGCAAGGTTAAGGGACTTTGGAATTGAGCAACAAACCCTAGGTTATCTTGTTCATTGCTGCAGCCTGAAAGCACAGGAGGCATTCTTGGCTACCCATATTTAACAACAGATAGTAATGATAATGCAATCTTTCTAAGCTGATTGTTTCCAGTTTGTATGATGGAGAATTATGCTTTTTTAGAAGCAAGGGAACTATTTGGTCTGCATTATATCTATTAGGAAATGTGCTTGTGAAGATAGTGAATTTCAAGGTCCAATGACAAGAGAAATCTGAGTTGAAAGCTTCCAGCAATTTATACATCCAACCACCAGATGGGGTTCAATTCCTATACTTATCTAGCTACTCTTTCTACAATTTACATACAAGCACACTCAGACCAGAAGTAAATCTGATGCAGCATAACCTAATTTATGTCGAACTCCTACAAAGCAGGGACTAGAGAAAAAGATATAAAGCATAGCTGAAGGTTAACCACTCCTTCACCCACATTTTCCACAACAAAACTTCTTTTTCAAGCTATTTCCCAACCTACTGGGAGGAAAACAGCTTATAAAGAATGATTGCAGGAGAAAGGTGGCTCTCTCCTTCCCATCCTGTGATTTAAAATTGCGCACTCAGAATTACAGGAATTTAGTGATACTTCAGTCTGCCATTTCTCATTTAAGACCATCAGAAAATGTATGCTAGATCAGACCAAAAGCCTATCCAACTGAATGTTCTGTTCAGACAGTGACCAACTAAATGCTGGTGCCAAGTCCACAAGAAGGATCTGGCCCTCAAAGTCACATACCCAAGTTGCCCTCAATCTACTTATCTATTTTTAATTTTAATTAATGTGTTTACTTTTTATACTACCCAACACCTTTTATTCTTGAAGCTGCTTCCCAGCCATTATTTTTCAGTTAAACTTAGCAGACATTATGTGACTTCATAAGGCAAAAGCTTTCTAGTCTGTCCTGTGCTTGAGCATTCCACAAAAAAAGTGAACAAACCATCACTGAAGCACATAGGAGATGGTCCAGAACAAGAGAAATGGTGACAAGGATTTGTGCATGAAAAGTGCCCAGGCTGTAACTGGACTCTGCCTATTAGGTTCTGTTTAGAATTAAAGATTAGTGGCAGCAGACACCTATGGCTCTTTGGACACTGCCACAGATTCTGGAGAACTGATTCTAAGTATTTTGCTACTCTTCAGTACAATGTTCTCCCCCCTTCCTTTTTTTGTTCTTCAATACAGTGGCAGATTATCCATAATTCAACTTGCTTGTTTTACTACTAGTATTGCAAATTCTCTCTCTCATACAGATACAGAGTTTAATACATTATTTCTTTCATTTCTGCACTGCCCAATAGGTGAAGCTTATCTAGACCAAATCTTTGACATCTTGGATTTTAGTCAAGGAAGTTCACCACAGGCAAAATCCAACAGGGTGCTTATGCCCATCAACTCTTTTGTGTCCAACCAATCTCCAAGTAGAGCTGCCTATGGAGCAAACAGCTCGCACTTGTGGATGCAACCGCAAATGCTTGTTGCTGGAACAGGACAGGCAGGTGAAGCTTGAATAAGGCAGCTCCAATGAGCTCACCAAGGAAATAGCAGAGCTTATTTCAGGGCTTCTTCTGGAAAGTACTAATCTTTATTGTACAAGAGGTGGGTCCCATTTCCACAACATAATTCATGGGATTCATCCACTTGTGCAACAGATCGTGCAGGATGACAAAGAATCAGCAGAGGAATAAGTGCCTCACTGGATTTTGCCCCAAAATATCATAGCCTTTGTGCCTGAAATTTTTATACACCATAAAGGAAAATCTGTTTCCATTGTGCTTTATTCTTGGGCTTCTTGGGATCTGCAATACAATTCAAAAATATTCTAAATTCTAGACAACCAACACTATCTTACATAGATGTTGATGGTTACATAAGAGGCTATGGGAAGGAGTTTCAGAACTCACAGAAATACATCCACATTAGGAGTTTATAGGAATTCCTTGAATTCAGTATGCAGAATTTCAGTTCTGCTACTGAATGTGTTCAATCCTTATTGGGTTATTTGGGAAGCAGAGGTGACCACCTTATTTTATTCTAGAGAGTCTGAGAATTCCACCAAGCAAGCAGATACCTCCCTATTGTTTCTTGGGGTCAAATGCAGCTCTCTGTGTTGGTGATGTGTTCAACTGTGTATTTATACAGCTATGTAAGATAGTATTATTTGCCAAATACTGATTTCTTTCAGGGAGTTCTGTGATAGTAACTATTTCAATTTTCGTGGGTGTGTGTATTCTGTGCAGTCAATTTTTAGCTGTTTGTTACAATGAACTATAACTATTAACTGTAACTTTTTGCTACAGGCCATGGCTGAAACAAAAAGATTGAAATCTTATACAAATTAAAAAATCTAGTTAAACTTTATGTACCTTGGACTCTTGCGCATTTCAAAATACACACCACGACTGGCTCTAGGTTTCTGTAAAACAGGACCCAGGCTAGAAGTACAATTCCTCCACTGTCCATTGGCACTTGTTCCAAATGTTCTTACTGTACTTGCTGCTTGATAGCTCTCGGGCGATGGAGGTTCTGCCAAGACAAAAGCACTGGACAGTGAATGAGAAGCTAACAGCCTGACATTCACATTTTCTAGTAGAAAACAATGTCATTCACTAAGGCATAATTGACCTATGGAGGACATCCATTCATGTACATAGGCAGCCTCAAGTAACTTGAAAGAGTCTACAGAGGTTACAAATGAGATTTCTAAATGTAGTTTTGAAGGTCAATCACAATCAGTTTGCCTCACTTTTCAAGCTGTGAATTTCTTTTGGGCAGTAATTGCCTGATTTCCTACAATGCAATCCCTATTTATGCACATTACACTTGCAGGAAAATAATCTTCACTTTTTAACCCAAAGATAGCAATTTAGCCATTCATATACCAAATCCTACCAAGCTTTAAGGAAGGTATAATACAATGTTTGCCCATTTTTGTGAATAACTTTTTTCAGAAATTGTCATATTCCATAGTTCAATGCTATATAAAAATCCAAGAGGATATACAACATGCATGTAATACGTACACATACATATATGTAAAGCTCTGTCCAAGTGCATGTACTCCATAATATCGAAGGCTTAACTACTATGTCTATCAGCTTTATCATGGAACCCAAGTTTTACCTGCAGTGCAAACTACATTTTAATCCATTTGGAGAAAAACAGCCCCCAGAATACAGAAAATGGTCATCCCTGTTACAAAGTAATATTCTTACTGCAAGACAATTCTAGCTACAGAACTCAGGCAAACGGTCACAATTCCCCCTCAGAGCATGAGGATCATTTCAAATGATTTGCTTTCATCCAGTTTGGGTCAGTTAAATGGTATTCTTCTATTTAACAAGTATTAGATTGAACCAAACATTAAAGCAAGAATAAAAACACACCATACATACACCTTACACAAGGGCATTTTCAATACAGTGCTATAATCAGGAAAAGTTTCCTCACTGTCAGGGCAATATAACTGTGGAACCAGCTGCCTAGAGAGATCATGGGCTCTCCCACACTAGAGACATTCAAAGAGAAACTGGACAGCCATCTGTTGGGATGGTGTAACTTGGTGTCCTGCAACAGTGGGGGGTGGTCTTCATGGCCCCTTCCAACTCTACTATTCTATGATTGTATAATCTGCATATGTTTCAAAAGAACTTAGTCTCTCAACTCAAGCCAGCAAAGTTTACCTTACCTGAACAGTAATTGAAACTATAGGAAACGTTTCCAGTTGGACAAGTAGAAGGTCTTTCCAAACTGTCAAATTTGTTTGATAAAAGCTGAACAAACAAGGAATTAAAAGCAAAGAATATTCATAGAAAGTTATTTCAATAAAAATAATGAGCTTCAGCAATATAAGTGAGTAAGAGTTGCAATATATGCAGTGCCTCCAGAATTTTAGTACAGTGGTACCTCGGCTCACGAATGCCTTGGTTCACAAACAAAAATCTCATTAAAATTTTGACGTGGGTTGCAAACTCCGCATTGGGTGGCGACCAAGATCACAGCCCTCTCTCCCCGCCACCCCCCGCCAGTGGGGATATGGCCATGATCACAGTTCTGTTCATGCAGGGAAGATATGTGTGATCACAGGCACCCTGCTGCAGGAAAGACGGGCGCAATCTCGGCCATCTCCCCCGCGGTTGTGCTGTGCTATGCCCGTCTTTCCTGCAGCAGCACACCTGTGATCATGCACGCCTTCCCTGCACAAAAACAACTGCGATTGTGGCCATCTTCCTGCCACCTCCTGAGTGCGGAGATGGCCATGATCGCAGTTCTGTTCATGCTGGTGAGGCATGCATGATCAGAGGTGCACTCCTGCAGGAAAGACTGGTGCAATCTCGGCCATTCCCCCCCCCCCACCAACCAGCACGATTACGGCCATCTCCCCACCCCACCCCACCCCCAAGTGGGGAGATGGCCACGATCGTGCTGGGGGTGGGGGGGAGATGCCGAGATCACACCCCTCTCTCCCTTCCAAGTGCGCTGTTTGTGCCCGTCTCTTCCTCCCCCAGTGCACCCGCGATCACGCCTCTCCCCCCACCCCCCACCGCACTGGGATGACAGGTGCAATCTCGGTCATGCGGGGCGGGGAGATGGCCATGCTTGTGTTTGGGGGGGGATGGCCACGATCTTTGTTGTTGTCACTTTGCTTCACATTTTTCTGATTTAAAAAATGGTGACAGAACGGATTAACCTTATTTACATTGAACCTTATGGGGAAATTTGACTTGGCTCAAAACCAATTTGGGTCACAACCAGAGTCCTGGAACAGATTAAGTTCATGAGCCAAGGTACCACAGTATATGAAAAATTCAGACTTCTTTATGCAAAAGCTAACAATAACTTATTTAGATATGGAACATTCTAGGCATGCAAATTATTTTACTTTGTAGTATCACTTAGAACAGGACAATAATTAAGAAGGTTGGGAAAGCAGAAAATTAGAAAGGTGTGCATTTGACAAAAGGGTAGAAAAATCATTTATGGTGATCCTGCTGGTTCAGAGAAACAGCAGTGGCACCCTCTAAACTTCAAAAGGCAAGTCTGAAGACAATTAATGTGGGCATGGTACAGGTATTCTGTTACAAATTCTGCAGCACAGAATCCCAGGTACCCCAAAGAGAGATTCAACTTGTAGGAGACTGGAACATGTGAAGTTTCATTTGAAAAGCTGGAGTGAAGCAGATATATCCCTAGCTGCATCACACTGGTATTAAGGAAATGCTGACGTCAAGTAATTGTTACAATTCAAAAAGAAAAACTTGATCATACATGTTTTGATATTGGCATGTCAGAAAGTTAGGAATTTATTCCTGAGCAAGCCATGTATTAAAACAAACCCTGCACAGGTAAGAAAGCAAAAGCAACTGATTCCCAAACCTTATTGCCGGACAATAGAAGCTGATCTCCTGAGAAAGCATTCCGTTGTGGAGGAAGATTCTTGAATACAGAAGTGTGATTAGCTATTGCATAATCTCCAGCATCCATCGTCACACAATCAACAGTTTCATCTGAAAGAAAAATCTCCTTAATGTTCAATTCTCAAAGAAGTATACACAAATTAAGGAAGATTTTTACTGCTGCAAGTTCTGCTAAGATTTGCTGAAGGATACTGGTCTTCTGTAGGGAAAAGATCCTGTGGGCTATAAAGAGTTAAAAGAACAAATGGGGAAAAGATTTACTAGTCAAATAATTAACAATAAATACCTAGCAGCACCAGGCAGAAGCAATTCATGAAATTTTCCTCCACCCTTCATGTAGAAATGAAGGTACTTGGCAAGTTCATCAAAGAATAAGGTATTAGCAACAATGTTGTATGCATGGCAGCTTGCAAAAATGTAATATTCTGTGCAGTTTTAGGGACTAGCTTTCACTCCTCAAAAGGCAGAATGTGCGTGCTTTAAAAAGACAGCAAGCAACATTTCATTGTCTTCAATTCAGTTTATGAGAAGGGGCATACAGCAAAACAGGAATGAAAATAAACATAATCCTTGTTTCCCATTCATAACCTTGATGGTATGGACTGACTTTTACCCCAGTGTTTGTCAAATAGGGAAAAGCAGTCTCCTCCTACTTGCCAAGAAACTCCTACAGTCACACCTACTCATTTGCTATGATATATACAGCCAGTATACATTGACAGTGCACTTTAAAAAGCATACAAAATGTAGAACTAGTTCCCCTTTATACTCCAAAACCAATGTGATGTTACTATCCATTTTTGCATAGCATTGCTGGGGAAACCACTGTCAGCAGGACTGGGGTCAGGTGTTAAACTGAAGCAAGGTATAACTTGCGCAAGAACTTCATGTGTAAACCTATAAACAAAGGATGGACGATCTCCAGACTGCAAGCCAAATTTGTTTTACTTAGGCCATCACTTAGGAGAGGTCCATCCCCAAAGCACCATCCTCCTACAAAGGAGAGAGGGCAAGAATGTAACTGAACTGATGTCTCAAGATACTCTTTCAGGTCCAATTTCACTCCTTTAGAAAGGAAAGGGACAACTCAGGCAGTGCCTTGAGGACCAATTCTTCCTCAGGCTGCTGATGAAACCAACTTTGCATACCCTGTGTCTCACTCAGTGTCCAGAAGCAGGTCCCAGAGGTACTAGCTATGTCTCGTGTATGTGTCTGCCAGAAGACATTTCCCTGTGTGTGTGGTGGGGGGGAGTAAGCAAGTGCACTGGGAATCCAGGCCAACAAAGGAGTGGCCTAGCTCACTACTGGCATGGGGTTCCTGGTGTACTTGTCTGGAATCAGTCTGGCTGAAATTGGTTCTCCACCACTGCTGTACGCATAGTCTGGTGTAAAAGTTCACCAGACTACACTCTGAGGTAAGTTTGAACAAGTCTGAATGTACACAGGCAAGATACTTTGCTGAGAAACTATTTAACCACTTAAAGGCTATAAACAAAGTGAACTGGTATAAAATAAGACTCACCCATTACTACACCGCTCACATAACTGACCCAGATGCTAAAGCTTCAGTGCCTGACAAGAGAAACAGATAAAACACACTGAAATAAAGAAAACCTTCAAGCCAAACACCATACAATTTTTGCCTATTACAAATATCCCCATTTTTCAGAGTGAAAAAGCTGGAAGAACTTCCAATTTCTGAAAGGAAAATCGTATTTCTTGAAAATCTAAGAGACTGGAAAGAACAATCCTAATTCCTCCAGAGGAGAATTAAGATAGGGCAGAGGTGCCCATCTTGCCACTAGGCAAGATTGTGTGCCCCTATATGTACACCAGTTAGGCCCAAAGAAAGCTCTGCAGGAGTAACTGTACTGCTGGCCCCATTGGTGGCTTCTGTCCAAACAGTGCATGGAAAGCTGCAATCAGTCTGGCATGTTGCCTGTCTCCCTACCCACCACTATTCAGGAATACACCAAAAGTCTTGTTATTGAGTACTGTATGAAACATTAGACTTACTTTCACAGTGAAAGAGAAAGAACTCCACAATGTTTTTATATTTATCTCTGACCAACGGAAATTCAAAATTAAACATCATAGTTCAATACATTAATCCTAATTAGAAAATAATGTATTAATAATCGTGTTTAGTTTTTAGCATTATTCAGCATGTCCTACACTATAATTTAAATGGCCTTTTGACCTGAAACTTATTCTTTAATTATGTTTATATCCTGCCATTTCCTTCAAGGAACTCAAGAAAGTTTACATAATCCTCCTCCTCCTCTCCAGTACTGTGAGGTAGGCTAGGATGAGAGCCAGATTGGGCCAAAATCACCAAGCGAACTTTGTGGCTGCATGGGGACTAGGGTTAGGGTTAGACTAGAACTCAGGTTTCCCGGGGAGACTAGAACTCGGGTTTCTCAGATCCCAATGCAATACATTAACCACAACATTATGTTGGCTCTCATGGTTTCCAGTAGAACACTGATGGGTTATAACAATGAAGAACTGTATAGGTTAAGATTGAATGTGGACACTGTATAAGAGAATGTGTGTTTGTGTATCTCCTTCATCTATTTCCCAGAAGTCTACCCTCTCCATCCTCAACTACTGAAGAATTGAAAAATACTTACAATGCACTTTTATAATATCTATGCAATTTAGCCTTGAAAACAATTATGGATTTTTTGTGCGGGGAGGAACCATTTTCCCCCCTCAAAAACAAAATGCTGTCATGAAAAATATTTGTTTTCCATGCCTTTAGAGTTTCCAGAAACAAAATCACTATATTTCTATATGACATCATGGCAGGTCTCTAAAGCTCCCTTGAAGAAATTTAACAGGCTAAGAGTAAACTTTGATGTTTCCTACCCTGCTGCCATCTTTCATGCTTATTACCACCTGATGAAATTTCCTGGGCTATAAGTATGTTATAGTTTAGAGCTCTCTCCCGTTAATAGCTACAAGGGCAAGGTTTTGTCTGCTCACTGCACCCCCCACCCCCACTTGACACAACCAGAAAGCCTAACATATTGCCTGTATCATTGAACTGCAACCGTTCTGACTATAAGGATGTCAGTTCAACTGATACAAGTGTCTGTACAGCCATGATGCATGTATAATACCTCTAAAGTAGAACTTCTCTATAGTCATAGCATCATTACATAAGTAAAGGGAAATTAATACCTATGTCACACTTCTCTTCACATGTTCCCTAATGTAATTAGAAGCTAACTGGGGAACTAGTTTTTCAAGATGTGATCATGCATCTAATTGTTCTGTGTTATGATTTTGCAAAGAAATTAACTATTATGTTGAAGACAGTTTTATCAGATGAAAGGAAGACATGGTATGTGAGAGGGCATGCTATCATCCCCTCTAAACCTAATTCTCCTATTCACATGAACAGCAGTAAAAGTTTATGAACGGAAGACAGAGGAAGTTACATTCCCCTCAGCACTATCAAACAGCAATCATGGGATTAAGTTATCATAATAGATGTAAAAGGCACAGCAGCAGGGGTAGCATTAGAGCTGCCACTGTTATAGAGGAATCTACTAGGTGGATAGACATATTACAATAGCAGGGAAGTAATGTGCAAGAGAATTAGGGCAGGGAATCACCAGGAATAAATTCAAACAACAAGCAGGGGAAATACTGGAAGAAAGGCATGCAGTCAATTAGTATCAGAGAAAATACTAACAGAACGTTAGCCTTTGCAGCTGTATTTGAAAAGATAGCAGTAGTGAACTATAAAGGAGCATTGGGTGTGGGAGGCCTTATCAGTTAGGCAATGGTAAATGTTAGGAAAGGCTAAACAAGTGAAGGTAAAATGGTAACTGTAAGGTATCAACAGAAAATATTGCAAACTAGGAAGGGAACACTTGAACCCTAAAATAAGGAGGATATAGTATAAATGTGAAAAGAAGTCAACAAGGAATGAAGTTCTTACATATGAAAGGACAGGAATAGAAAGGGACCATCACTCACTGACAAGAGAACACATACTTTATGTACAGAAGATCATAAATTCAATCTCTGTAGAGCTGCCTGCAGTCATGGTAGACAACACCAGGCTTGATGGACAAATAGCGTTATGTGATATAAGGTAGCTCCTTTGAGAACAGTCAAGAGCTATGAGCAGTTAGGGACACACTCTTACCCTCTTATTGCTTAATCCTCTTAGGATCAAAGAAAATTATAACAAGTTTAATTTTTAATTCAATTTAATTAAAACACTTCTACCCTGTCCTTTGCAAAGACTTACAAAAGAGTTGTTGCTCTGGCTAGGGGTAGAAGGTTTTTCATGATTTCCAGAGAGTGATATGCCAACTCCAGGTTTACTAAGAAGAGTATTTATTATTGCAATAATATCCAAACATGTTAGCTAATGTCCAAACATGCTAGCTTGCTGTTAAAAACTTTTAACAGCAAGCCTCTTACTTACTTACTTATTAAAAGCTTTTATATGCCATGCTATTATATAAAAATCTCAGGACGGCTTACAATAAATAAAAAAATTGTTTTAATAAAAGAACAATTAAAACTTCACAGTGAGAGTTCCTGCAAGGTAGGACTCCAATCAGTTGGGTTCAGGAAAAAAAAAGACACAGCAGAACCCTCTCAAAAAGGTTCTGAACCAGAGAACAAAGAAAGTGGCTAGCTTTTATATATTGCAAACTTATAGCACTGCAATATTGCACACAGCATTCTACAAAATTAAAATATATGGTTACAAGAGTAATATTGTTTACACAGGTGCTAAAAGATAATGAAGTAGCTAATAAGTAGTATTCCTGCCTGGATGGCTGACGCGTCATCTCAGTCTGAGCATCAAAGCATAGGTTCATTACTACTTCTTGCTCATGAAAGTAAAGCCTGATAAGGAATGTTCAAGGGTAGTATGCATGGACCTTGTGCCATCTCAGCATCAGAAAATGGAAAACTCCCTAGTTTCATGTTATGTTCAGAGCAATGCTAACTACAGTTCTCTTGTATTACTGCAAGCAACTAGACTTTAATGCCAAGCAAAGCAAACAATTTAAAGAGGTAGCGACCCAGGCCTAGCTTTTGGGAGCTCAAGTCTGTTGCACAAGTATAGGACCTTCATTATGACACACACACACAAGACATGCTAGACCAGTTATACGGAATTGGGTTTTTTTTTTTAGATTAAATAAAGTATTAGGTTTTTCTGAAAAATAAGTTATACAAATAAACCAGCTTGCATATGGCTAATCTATTATTTTTCTTTTATAGGCCAGGAAGTTGTAAGGTGTTGACAGGGGCATTTGAATTTGGAATGAACATGAGACATCAAATATTGGATAGGTTTAATAGCCGTATCAAATACAGTGATTATGGTGATTAAACTATCTGGTGGGTTTGGCATGACACCTGTTAACATATATAGGATTACAAGCATTTTAAGGTGGAGGGGTGCTCCCATTATTAAATTCATCCTGTTACACCATTCTGAGGTATTACCACTCAGTGTTCCCTTCTGAAGTTACTTCAAAAGAATCAGACACAACATACTATTTTAGAATGACCTGCACTGTTAATATTTAGGTGCCGTGCAGAACAACTAAAAGATTGAGGAAAAAAAGTGCTGGCCAAAATCCTTACAACTGGCACAGGAGCCCTTCCCTGCTTAGCATTATCTATTTTGTACAAAAGAATATCAGTGACAATTATAGGAAACTGGACTTTTAAAAAAGCTTGTTGTGGAGTACACAGGAAGATAGCACTAGTCATCTGTTAAAGCCAGAAAAAATGCAGTTTAAGATCCTTCTCTTCTGCATTTTCTGAGCCTTTTCAATATTCAGAATAATACACACACAACCTCAGTAAGCCTTAAAACTTCTTTATAAGGAAGTCCATTGTCATAACCATCATTTTGCAAATAGAGGGACAAAAGATGAGAACAATGGCCTGTCCAAGGCCACCTGGTGAATTCATGGCAGGGTTATCTGCATTCTGCTCTTTCATTTTGAGACAGGAATGTTCAAAGCCTGAAAGGTGACATACCTGGCAGATCAGAGAAGGGAATCTGGTGGGACAGAGTGGAGCCTGGAAGTACCTGGTACAAGTAGAGAATGGTAAAAGACAAATTAGGGAAACAGCTCTGCCATGCCTTGCATCTCAGTGGAAAGTTTGACACAGCCTGTATGTGAGGGAAGCAAACAGGAAAACAGTTCATCAAAGGAAGAGTCTTCTCTTCTTCTCACCTCCCTTGAATCTAGCACCTCTTCCTGAGATTTTTACTCAGCCTTCTGACACTCCCTGGGAAAACGGGGCAGCTAAAGTTTACACCCTAACCACATTTGCTTGGAAGCAAGCAAGACCTATTAAACAACGTAGGGCTTAATTCCAAGTTACCATACTTAACAGTATCAAGGGTAAACTAAGCCAAAGCCATCCATTTAGACCCTGTCAGGCGGGGAGGCCCCACCTAACGGCACAGGTGCGATTTGAACCAGGGGCTTTCCCGCGCACAACTTAGTCGCGCGCGCGCGCGTTCTCTGCCTCTCAGGCGCTTCCCTACAGTAACACCTGCGGGGGCAAAAAAGTTAAAAGCGGCCGGCAGGAACAAAGGAAGGCCACAGGGCTCCCCAGACACAGGGGTCGGGCCGCGGACCGGGGGGAAGCGAGCGGAGGCGAAGAGCAGTTAGCGTAACGACAAAACCCAGAACCCCGCCCCTTACCGGAAGCTGAGGTGCCCACCGGGACCGGAGAACCTGAGATAAACACCTCTCACGCCCCGCGTCCACCAAAGCTCCAAGCTCGCTCTTTCTTTCTTCCGAACCGGATTCGAAGAGGCGGGAACGTCAAGGCAACCGGAAGCGGAAGCATTTTCCCGGTTACCTTGCCCCGCCCCATCCTTCCCTCGCTCTTCCGGGGAAGAATACTCGAAAAACGAGCTCGGGGAGAACGGAGGCGGGGCTAAAAGAAGGCAAGGAGGGGAAGGCGCGTGCGCGCACCTACGACCGAATCTTCGAAGGGAATTGGCAGGAAGGTTTGCGCATGCGTCACTGCTGCAACCTCTTAACAAGGGCGGTGCGTGGGCGTGCTTGCTTTACCTCCACGTGTTTCTGGATGGTGGTAATACCTACTTCTGGGCTATAATAATGCTTGTTTTTCCTGTGGCTGTGGGTAGGTTAGGTAGTGTAGTAGCGTCTTCTCATCCTAGTTTGGCTTCAAGTGGATCAGATTAAAAGAATTCTTAGATGGGAAAAAGAACTGGTCAGCAGAGCGTGAGTGGATAGCGGCATCACCCTCTAGTTGCCCTCGAACACTGTTTTTGAGAGGTTCAGTTCTCTGTAGGGTGAAGCTCCATTTTGCCATGCTGGTTCGTTTCCTTATATTCAGTCAGACCCTTGCTCTGGCTAGTCTATCATTGTTCACACGACCAGGAAGGTCAACTATGGCCTTCCAGAGTTTCAGGGAGGAATTTTTCCTGCCCTACGTGGAGATGCCCAGGGTGGAACCTTCTGCATTAAAACAGGTGTCTCTGAGCTACAGTCTCTCTCCATTGGGCACATCGGACTATTGCTCCATTGAGCTTAGCGTTTTTGTTATGCTACCTGGCAGCTCTTCTCCTGAGATGCAGACAAAGTTCTTTTCTAGCTTTAACTGTAGGTGCCAGGGAATGACTCTGGATTTTTTTATACAAAGCAAATGCTTTATACTCAGTGATATGGACTTTCCCCCAGGGATTCTTTCGCATTGATAGACCTCGCTTTCCTAAGAATGGAAAATCCTTTTTTAAAAAATCATCTAAGTTTGGGCTGATGAACACACGGGCTTCTAAGTAAGCACGTATGAGGTTGACTTGCATGTTTTTGTCTATCCCTACATCTACAGGAAGCAGTGATATGCTGTTTGGACATAAGGACAACTCATCCATTTTAAAACTGATGGATTATTAGGGATGCACAGTAGTGTGCCTGCTCTTCCATTTTAGCACAAAGCCCACATTCAGCTCCTTAATAGGCAGTGGAGCATGATCACTGAACCCAGTCATTGTCAATACCTCATGGGGTAATGGTGAGCTGAGAAGCGAATATGAAGGTAATCGCCGAACAAACATGAGGGTATGAATGAATGGAGGAAGATGGAGGTTGGGGAAGAGAGAAGAAATGTCTAAATGAGACTTGACTTGTTTGTGATTAGAGGAAATTAAGATTGTCCTGAAGCCAGAAGCATGTGGCTTTCCATTTTCTCCTCTTAATGCAAGAATTATGCTCTCCATTATAACCTTTACATGCATGTATCCTGTCTTTTCTGTGACACTTTATCACCAAATAATTAGATATAGTGCTTCATCTGTGAGAGATTCTTTCATCTAACTGGGACGTGTGCCTTTTAACATGGAAAGGAAACCTCACTATTTTGTGTTCTCAAGGCTCAGTTTTGCAAACACAAAAATTGTTTTGTTGCTAACATTAGGTCTGTATTTCAGAACAGCTTTATTTCTGTATGTTGCCAGCTTGAGGGATTACAGCTGGTTCAGTATATCTGCACTGACTTATATTAATTAGCTTTTCATAATTAACACAAAAGATACCTGGCAAAACAACCAAAACCTAACAAATTTATTATGGCGTAAACTTTTTGTAAATGTATATGTATACTGTAAAACTTAGTGCTATAATAAATGTGTTAGTCATTAAGGTTCCACAAAGGTCTCTGTTATTTTTGCTGCAGCTAGGCTAACACAGCTGTCCCTGTAGACTATTATGCTGAGGAATCTTGTATATTCTGTGTGGCGGCACCAATGTAAACAATATTCCTGGGGTAAAAAGAAGTGATCCTGCAATTGTGAATTGGAATGTCTAAAGTGACTTGCACTTGCAAGCCAACATGACTGCGACATTTTCAATGAAAGGCCACAACGCTTATATCCACCAATAAGACAGGGGTATAGCTGAGGCAGCTGTCTGGAGACCAGATATAACATCTATAAATATCCTACAGGAAAGCCCACACTTTCTGGTTATGTGGGCTCTGCTGGACCTTTCTGTGGTAGGGTCCAATCTTTTCATTTCAGTTTCACTTACATTTGCAGCAGTTATCTTCTTCTTTACTTTCTATTCATTCTCTGAAGAAAAAGAGGAGAGATCAGGTTGGTGTAGCTTCCTGTTGTTTTTATCATGCAAATTAAACAAATGTACCTTGGGGTGGGGTAGAAGGCTATGGATAGCTTCTGAGGTGTGTCCATTTGGAGGCAGAACCAGCCTGCTTCAAATCCCTGTTCAGTCAAGAAGAATACTAAGTAGATTTGGGCTATTTAGTTGTTTTACCTCACATATCGGATGGAGGCTGAAAGAAGAAACCTATTTTAATATATTCTAGGCTAGTGAAGGAAAAAATCTTGAAGTGTTCATGACAGCTTCAGTGGGATTATAGGTTTTCCAGGTAGATGAAAAGTGCCACGGTATGCCCTGTAATTAAGGCTAGAGAAGAGAGCATGCAACCTGATATAAGTGTGGTTCTATATGTGAGAATGCTGCATGGCAAGTATTTGGAGATTAGTAGACGAACAGAGAAGGTATGATTTTTTTCTACTGGTACAGCAGACTGTTTTCCGTGCCTTAGTATCCCCCTTAATCTGTTTAAAATTCACAAAAGGATCTCTGTTGCTTTCTGCATGCAAATAGTAGCTGTGTGAGCTAATTAAAACAGGAATGTAATGCCAGGTTCATGGTCAGAAGACAATGAAACAGCCAAAGTGGTAGTGGATGAATTCAGTTAGTGCCATTTTCTGTTCCGTTACCAAAAAAAATATAAAAACTGAACACTAACATTCTGTGTGAATTTGAAATCTTGTATATGAGTTCATCTTCTCTGGAATCAGACTGCAAACCTCTCTCTTTCTGAAAGAGTTCCATTATCAGGGTGAAGCCATGGTCCCCACCTCTCTTCAGAGGAGACTGTGGAGGGGTGCAGTCCAATTTATATGAATGGCATTTGCTGATAGAGTGGGTTATACCAGAGCTGCCAATATAGACTGCATCTGACAGCTTCTCTTTAAAAGATTGTCATCGTCCAGGATTTTGATCATATTGCTTAAGCCATGCTCCATTCACTCTATTCACATTATCCATTATCTGCTTTTTTGAAGATGATATAGCCAGGTCTCTCTTCCTACTGAGCCTTTTCTTGCAGGGGTAGATGCTCTCCAGACCTTCCATAATCCTTGTCCATTGGCCATGCTGGCTGGGGCTTATGGCAGTAGTACCCCAGAACATCTGAAGAGCATCTACTTGCACACTCTACTCTATTGTTTGAGATATCTTGAAGAAGAAAGGAAGCACAGAGGCATCTTCAACAGAGGCAGACCTCTGTGTCCAGCCGCACTGTCAGAGCAGAGAGTGGTTTGAGCCAGTGTTGCCAGGGGAAATTCCAAGGATTTAACCGTTGACTCTAGATACAGAAAGCATGCATCTTAGCCCTCTATTGCTGCTCTTCTCTGTGTGTCCACCACTTCTGCAAGGATCCTGTAGAGGCACCTGCCCTTCCTCACAAATACATGCCTGTCACTGAAGGGCATGGGGGCAAGCACAAGTGAGTTGTACTAGGAGAGAGTGCTTGCTCTGGAGTGAACATGAGAGCAGCATTGATTAAGGTTTATTCCAGCCTGATGGCCATCATTCCCAGCCTGCCTTCCTGGCACTAAAAAAGTTTCGTACAGCAATTACACATTTAGTGTGCAAACTTGGGCAAGCTATGCAGTATACATCATACAGTGCTCTTCAGGCAGGGCTTCTGCTGCTCTTGACAAACTGAACTTTACCAGTTTGGTCTTGTAATGGCTTCAAGAGAGCCAATATGTTGAATGGGAATGCTGACTCAGTACAGGGATTGTGCTAAGCCTGTACATCAGCCCAGTCAAACCTGAGTTTTAAAAGGTGAGTTACAACATCACTTACTCTGCTTTTCCACAGCCTTGTGCCCACCAGGTGTTTTGGGCTACAACTGGCTGCATCCCTGAGCGCAGGGCACGCTAACTGAGGCTGCTGCAAGTTGATGCTCAATACATCTGGAGGGAGCAAAGGTTGGGGAAGGTTGCACGAATATATCACAAGTTACTTTACAATTTCAGGCTGGTGTCGGTAAGAAGATAATGCCTAAGGGAGGACAAGAGAGGAAAAACCAACAGTTGTGACAAGATGAACCATATTTCTCGCATGAAAAGGTCCATAAAAGTAGCCAAAGTTCACAAAACTGACAGGCCTACCAAAAGTACTGGCATGTTTGTGTTCTGGTATTGTAAGCCTCCCAGAGACTCCTCAGGTTACGGGGTGGCATAGAAATAGAATTAAATCCCCACAGTGATAATTTGAGGCACATTGAAGATTGGGGAGAAAAAATGGCTGCTTTGAAATCTTGGTTGCCTGCCAGGGAATATCGCATGCCACACACAGCCAGTTGAGCAATCCTTCACAACCTGGCTATAAAAAGTGCAATCCAGGCATTGAAGCAAACGCATTTTTTTCTGCACATCTGTCCCTTATATAGAGTTATTTTTAATTACTTCCTGGCTTTCTGAGTTTAAAAATATAGAAAGTTGCACATATTTTTGCAACTGTGAACTGCAAATGATTAGATTGATATGTTGAGGTAATGTGTTTTCTACACTGGTGCCATCTTGGATGGCACAGGTGTGTTCTCCATTGAAAATTGAAGGCATGCTTTACATTGTGGAAAGGATGCATATACGAGGGGCCTTCAAAAAGTCTCTACACTTTTATATTTTATAAATATATATGCTAATGTCATTAAAAAGTTGGTACGACGCTGGGAAAAATGCATCGCAAAGGCAGGTGACTATGTAGACAAGTGATGTAATTTGTTTTTGAAAGTCTTAATAGAGTTTAAAAAGTGTGGAAACTTTTTGAAGACCCCTCGTATATTTCTCAGGCTGCTCCTGAAACAGAGTAAGTATCTTCCTTGCACTTGCAGAGTAGCCCAGTTAATGCTGCCTCTGCATCCTGCTGTCTGTTTTGCTCAAGTTAGTCAAGGTTCAGGGGTAAAACTAAGCTTTTGGGGTGATTCATGGAGCAGGGACTCACATGGCCCTAGCACCGGCCCTTCATTAATAGCAGGGATGTTGAGAGCATCCGCTGTCATCGCTTCTCAGCCTTCCCTGTTTCCCTCTGAGCTGCACTGCTGCAAGGGTTGCAGTTGCTAGTGGGGATGAATTTTTCCATCAGTATATTGTTCCTGTGTTAGGATGCAACACATTTGGAGGACATAGTCTTGATTGAGCAATTAATACTCAGTAGCTTAATAAAACATCTGGTAGAGAACAAAGCCAACAGAACATGTTTGTTAATATGGATCAATGCCTGAATTTTTGGGACTCTCCTTGGGGATCTGCCTAAGGAGGTTGCCTTGATGACTGCATTCCCTTTGAAATTTACTATTTATTATAGTAACATTTTTTCCTTCCAAGGAATTCAAGGCATCTCCTCCTGCTCTCCTTATCCCCACAACAGTCCTGTGAGGTAGGTTGGGCTGAGGGTCTGTGACTGGCCCAAGGTCACCCAGTTGGCTCCAGGGCTGAGTGAGGACTAGTACCCAGATCATCCAGTCTTTCATTCTTAGCCACTACACCACACAGCCTTTCTGCAGTCTTCCCTCATACTATGCTTGTAGGATTGGCTATATCAGGGAATGCCAGCGCATCTTTATTTCCTCTCTTGGCATGATGGAACTTGCCCAGCAGGTCTATATACTGCTATGTTAACTTGTAATATAGAGCAGTGGATACAACTAATACTGGCTTTAGTTCAAGTGATGCTTCTTGTGAGGCACCTGCATGCCCTGGAGATTGTTTTGGGAATTCCTAGTCAATAGGGCCAGTTAGGAGCTCACTTTGCCAGCAGATGGCAGCAGCATTTCCCATCCATTTAATGCATGGGAGGGCAGCAAGTCACTGAGCCAGTGACTTTGCACTCATCTATTCATAACATTTCTCCAAACCCATACCTAGATTTTGCACATTTCCTAGAAGAGGGTGCAGCCCCTCTTGCCTGGGGCCCTCTGGATGTGTTGAAGTGACATGCTAGCTGAGGATGATGTGAGTTGTATTCCAGCACATCCGAAGGGCACCAGATAAAGGAAGACTGTGTGCAAAGTGGCAGAATTAAGACCTGGGAGCAGGGTAAATGTACTTTGGGCCAAAAGGTGCAAAAGAAGTACTTGGAATATTTCTTGTGATCACACTGGGACTTAACTCTGTAGTGCACAATGTTGTCACACATGTACCCTTGGAGTGCAGAAACTGCAGGTTGCATGTATTTCTCAAGGCCTTAAGTGTGCCCTCATCTGCTGGCTGCCTCTCCCCCAGCACACCTCATACAAGCTGAGGTAGCTGCAAGGAAAGAGTTGATCTGAATAAGGATCAGGGGATATGCCCATTTGTGAGTATTTGTGTGGCCCCCCAGCCCCTGAGCCAGCATCACCCTCCACCACAAGACTTTTGGCCCTTGGAACTAAAAAGTTTGTGCACCCTTGACTTGTGCCAGTGAAACCATATAAATCACACTGCATTCCAGCCAAGAATGGTTGGAAGAAGAGGCACCTTCTATGTAGCGCTGAAGGTATGAAAACAGCCAACAATCATAATTTTGCAGTCCAGGAAGTCGGATGTTATGTAATTCCAGGTTATGAAAATGATACACCAGTTATGCAAATAGTATTTGATCTGTAAGAAACGGAGTTTGTTGAACATCAGCAGAAGTTCTGTTGATTTATTCAAAGCATCCTGCTTATACCTGCATTAGGCTATGTATGAAAAATATAGTACCAATCAAGAATATTGGCTCAATAGCTGCAAGCTGGAGAGTTTGTTTATGGCACAAGGTGGGAGTGGTGGCAGAGAATATTGAAGAAGAAACACTATTTCATCTTCACCACTTGGAATTCTATCCCAGTTTGCCTCTATTTTTGGATCTTTTAAGTCATTGTCTTTGTCACTTAATGCTACAATTATGAAAGCTAGAAACTTGCTTCTGCTGGAAATCTGAAACATAACTTGGACATCCACCAGATATACTGGAAGCCACATTTTGCTACCTGGTCTGCTAGTGTGCATAATAAAATGAGAAGTGAATCTGTGATTACTCCAGAATGAGCCTGTATGTTGAAAGGCATGTTTTCGTCTACCTAGACAATCTGTATTGTATACTTGGGCTAAATCCCCATCCCTCAGCCTAGTGCCCTCAAGATGCTTTGGACTGACTCTCATCAGCCCATCCTCTGAAGATGAATTGAACAAGAGAAGGCCTACGGGATACATCCGACCTGCCAAGCCTGTCGTCCCAGAACATAAGCATTCATACCACTTTCTGTTTGGTAATCTGTGGATAAGTTCCTGTTACAGGTTTAATGCACCTATGGAAAGGCAAACTAGCTGAGACCTTGCCACCTGTATTCATGGTTCCATTCACTGAATATAAATATAGAGGAGAAAATGTTTCCATGGAAAATTAAAATACCTGAGAAGAATGCAACTTTATATTATAAAAATTGAGGGTATGTGAAGTTCCTGTTCTCCAGGTGATATATAAAAGTCATTTTTAAAAACTAATACATGTAATTTGGCAAATATTTTATTAGGACAAACCGAAATGCCACTCAAGCTTTTGCGTTTAAGAGCAATTCATCAGGCAAGGAGAGCCTTATGCAACCAGGTGTACTTTAGAGGGACCACACACCCCAATATTCTTCACTAGTGTTGGTCTTGGTGGAGGTAGTAGTCCAAAAACATCTGGAGGACACCAAATTAGGCTAGATTATACAAAAAGCAGGGGTGGATGAGGTTGGAAGTTGCAGAAAAAAAATCAGGCCAGGCCTGTGGCTCTCAGGTCTGCAGTTTGGACTTGGGCTCAAAATGAAGATTGCACACTGAACAAATTGGAGCACAGCCTAAAGACTATACCTTTAGGTCTCTGACAGATGTTGGAGGTTCCGATTACACTTGACATTCTGGGTGTGATTCTGGAGGCACATACTTCCACACTATGTAGGCATAGTTTTTAAAAACATATCTTTTTTCTATAAGCAAGTATAATTTAACTTTGCATGAACAAAGACTCAAAAATCATAAGAATATATGAAAAGCCATGCTGGATCAGACGAAAGATCCATCTAGTCTAGCACTCCATAGCAAATATATGGTGGCCAAGTTGGCTGGCCGCAGGATCCCTCGAGCAGGATTGACTGCAAGACCTCCGCCTGCCCAGGCTCAGCAACTGGTGTGTGCGGTCATGCCACCTTTGGTGAAGGAGTCAGCACATAGCCTCCTGCCTCATGAATCTGTCCAATCCCTATTTAAAACCATGCACATTAGTGGCCATCACCACTTCCTTGGGCAGCAAATTCCATAGTTTAACCAAATCGCTGCATCTTCTATATAAATTCATAAGGAACATTTTTGTTGTTTTTCTAATTTTCTAAAAAGAAAATAAACCCTCCCTGTAGTCTCTTAAATTATAATTTTATAAATAAGACATCAGGGCTTTTGTACACTTAACTGGAAGTCAGTCCCTCTGAAGTGGAGTTTACTTTTGAGTAGATGTCTTGGCATCTTCTATTGATTTTGCAACACTGATCCAAATACTTAACTTTATGCTTATTTAGCTTTACTGTAAATTCTGTGCTGATTCAGTTAAAGCTCATAGGTAATGCCAAGTTTATGGCATCATAAAGGCATCTTTAAAGTGCAGTAAGATCCAGTGTTTGCTTGAACAGACTTCGTACAGCTACACCTCTAGAAATATTTTTTTCATGTTGAGAATTGTAGGGCTTCCTTCTTTCTAAACCTGCATAGGATTGCTCTTGAAAACCTTATGTACAGAGAACACAAGATCCAAAGGGCTTGCACTTTCCACAAAGTAGTGATGTGCACGGGAATTGGATAAAAAATTGCACCCCATCATGTGATAATCCTAAATGACTTGTGCCCCAAATATCAGAGGTTTTATCGCATATCAACCTGCCTGGTCTTCAAGACTGTTTTTGAGGAAACCCCCCTGCAAGTACCATTGTTAAATTATGTGGCTGACACAAGGAAGTTGTCTCTATTCTATTGTGGCACTCAGTTGTGGAAAACTGTCTCCATGTTTGTGTTACTGGAATGAAGTTTATTGCTTTAATTCAGGAGTAGGGACCTTGAATTACAGCTCCAGATGAAAATCTGTGCCCACCCCCCTGGGATTTGGGGCTCCAGATGTGGGTTCCTCTCTCCTTATAGTGACCTGCCTGGGCTTCAGGACTACTTTAGAGGAAACCCTCCTGCATATACTTTCTCCAGAAGTCCCTCAACACAGTAGATGTGATGGAGGCCTAGAGAGAAAGCATTTAATAATGGCAGAGAGGGACAACTGCACAGCTACTGACCTGAATTTTCTACTGCTCTATTGGTACTCATGACAGCTGGCCATGTGCCCTTTAGGATTAAGTATGGCTGACACTGCATCAAAGATCATTTACAACGTGACATTTTTGCTTATGTATTGGAGAGTAGGCGGAGTGTTGTGTTTTAAAGGCAACAGCAGGGGGCTACGGGGAACACTCAGGACCTTGCAGGCAGTGTGAGCCCTGCAGAGGGGGACCAGGAGGCATTTAAGATCAAGGACTGTTTTTCCATCAAACTCTAAGAAATTGTTGTTGCCTTTCCAGCACTGAGAATGTCGCAAACGGTGGTAAGACATGAGCATTCTGACACAATGGGGATTGGCAAAGCCATTGCTGTATTGACATCTGGAGGAGATGCCCAGGGTAAGTTGACCTGGTTGCTGCTCTAAAAGTTTTTGTGTGCCTGTGTGGCTTGAATTGCTGATGGCAAAAGCAGTCCCAGTGGGTGTGACCATCCAAGGGCTTTGGTTGTCCAGTTGCTTCTGCCCCGCTAAGTTCATTAGGCTGAACAGATCTTCATGCAAACTGCAGCTGGTGAATGTGCCATGTAGCAGATGTGTTTAGAGGAATAGACGTAACTTTTAAACTTTATTTTTATTGAAGGTTTCAAAACGAAACGTAAGCAATGACAGAGAAGGGGAGAAATGCACAGATTCAAATAAAACGTTACCGTTTTTGTATATAAAAGTTAGTATTTTTATAACACACCTAAGTATTATATATCCTTGTAGATTTTACATGTGGCAAGTTATTGGTAAAGGCAGGCATAAACTTCAAGCAAAGCAGCCCACATATCTATATGGTGTCCATTCATTAATTATGCTATAAATTGAAAGATTCATTAAATCCACTACCCATTATGTTACTGCAGGTAGCTAATTATTCTTTCAATGTTGTAATATGAGTTTTTAGTTGTCAAAGGGTCTCAGAAAGTCTATTTGCATTGACCTTGCATTAAATTCCAAGAGACAGGTAGACAGTTAAGAAGATTATGTATTTCACTGAATATTAAAAAAATTAAAAAGCTTTCTATCATAAAAGGAAGGAGCAATTGGGCATTGCCGAACATATGAATAAGAGAAACAGTACATTAAGTGTTAACTTAATAATTTAAAGTTACAACTCATTATTTAAGGAAAAGGCCATCCTTGGGATCTTTTTTCCATTCCCTGTTTCAGAACTCATTCAACCAAACTAACTTTTAAAAAGAGTTCTGTTAAGTTTCAGCCATGTCAATTTTAAGGTGCTCTTGCCTGTCAAAATTAGATCCCACTAATTCATCACTTGTGGCCTTAATTGACTGATCTATCTGTTGGACTGATTCAAATACATAGCCCTATGCAGCGCGCAACAGTGTTTTATTGACAGACCATAATTTCCCCACTCCTGATTTATTTGTAGAACAGTGTAATTAATTAATTATTAGGAGTCGTTAATCATGGAGGAGGTAGTGGAGAGTCTCTTTCCCTCTTTGCAATCGATGATGAGGTAGTGCTCATTTTATCACTTGTGCACTGTGGACCAGGCTTCCTGCATCTTTTCTGGAAGCTTTTCCGGAATGAAAAAGAGTTCCTGGAGATGAATTAGAAGTCTCCCCTGTATTCCTTCAGACGCTGGAGATGCAAGGGAATGAATACACTGAAAACTAGTTTGGTGCCTTCTGGTGAATTATATAAGACTGATTTAAAGTGAAGGTCATTTTGCCTCTGCCTCCTCCTCTTCCTCCTCCGCTCTCCTGTAGCATATTTTCCAAAGCAGCCACAGTAGCTGCTATGTTCATAGGCCCACCCTGTAAAACTCACATGACTGGAGAGGATATTTGGCTGTGCAGCAGCATTGGATTACATCCCTTCTCGTGGGGTATATTTGGGAGCCAGCAAGCACAGTGGCCTAGCAGAAGGCGCCTCAGGCACTTCTTAAATGTCAGCATTTCAAAAATAACATGTGCAAATCATGTGAGGGTGGAGGCCAAGTATATGGGGGACCTGCAAGTCTGGGTGCAGAATGACCTGGTCATCACAAGCCCACATTCAGCATGGGCTGTAGCCACCACGAACATTTATGTCAATGGTCTGAAATGTTTCATGCATAGAGTCTTGATGAGTTAGCATGGTATAGCAGCTAAAGGCCAGACTAGCCAAGATAGATCCAATGTGAATTTGGAATGGTTTGGTGAGTATCACATTCTGCTCAGAGAAATCAGCCCGGAAAGCCCAGTGGTTGGAGGTCTGGACTGAAGCAGGCATGATATAAGCAAACATCTAATTTTGGAAAAGTGACATGGGCATGAAACTGAAGATGCAGGTCTTCAGATACATCTGGAAATATTTTTGAAATGGCTGTCATGACCCTTTTCATTAACTTTGCTTGCTTGCTTAAGATACCTCTTTTTAATTTTTTTTAAGAGCATCAATGTTTTCTAGACCTTAAAGGCAATAGACATTTACTCTCTTGAGGTCTGGGAAAAGCAGATTTTGAAATGGTGCATCTTTGCCTACTCTCCTTACCAGATTTTGTCCAAAACGTCTTAACATTTCTGAGTGGTCACAGTCACAGGTGATCCATAACACTTGCAACTTGGAGCCCTACACCCAGCAGGGCTGTGGATCCCTTGGCCTTACTGGTCCCTTCCAGCTGTTTGTTTTTACCTTGCCCTGGACATAAGATCCCATCAATGAACCCCCAGCAGATCCATCTCAGGCTGCATTCCTGGAAGGCATGCAGACCTCCCTCCTTTTGTGTGCAAAGCACCTGTGCATAAATGGAGTCAAGTAACATCTGAGTCTTTCCAGATCACCAATCACTTCCTCCCTCCATTCATTATATGTGCAGTTGTTACACATGGAAGTCCACATCTAATGAGACCTTTTTAATGTTTGGAAATTCAGGAAGGAGGACCGCTATCCCTTACTGGATGCAGAATCACACACCAGCAGGGCTTCGATTCTGTAGCCTGGATACAAACTCAGCTTTGTCTTTTTCAAAGCAAGCAGGCGCTAGGCAAATAAGGGAGAGTGCTAGAAGAGATATGGTGGTGGAGTAATACTCCACGAGTTGTCACCCCACGTGTAGCGCTCAAATAGCAGCTTCTGGGGTTCAGGGCTGTGTGTTGCTCTAGGCCGTGGCTGCAGAACTTCTGGCACAAGAGCCAAAACTTCCCTACAAGTGCTTTGCACCTGGTTGGCAAAGCCTCCTTGGGTTTTCCAGCAGGTGGGGCTTAGCCACCAAACCCTGCTCTCTGGAAGAATCGTTGTTGAGAGGAAGAGCAGCACACATGGAAATCCCCATTGCTGTCTCCAGTTTCAGGTTGGAGATCATGCTGGGGATGTGGGCAGCTAGTGGCTATGCTGGGAGGAGTGGCTTCTCTTCTCAGTGCTGGCCAAGTCCTTTGGCACTTGGATTCCATCCCAAGCCAGGGACTTGGCCAGAGAAAGGCAATCCATGCACCCCCTCTCTCTCTCAGGGAAGGGCAAAATGGAAGGACAAAGAAGGGAAGGGTACCCCTGCCTACAGATGTCATCTGGCCTGCAGAGCGCTTGAAAGGGGCAACCTAAGAATGGTCCAGCACCTCTTTGTTTCTCTGTTCCTGTGTGGCGCTGTCCATTTACATGGCAACAAAAGAAATGGGAAGGATGGGGGAGGGGAATTGCAGAAACGGGTGATAGGTGGCCAAGGTGGTCTGAAGCGTGAGACCAGTTTTTCATATACCTGCTCACTCCATGTTCCTGCCAGAAAGGCCCTCCTGTGTTGATGGCCTCCAGGGCTGGCGCAGATGGTATCCAAGGCCTCCTCCACCTCTCTGATTCTGTAAAATTATCCACCGAGGGTTCTTGTTCATCCGCCTACAGCTTTTTCCGTTATGTGCCCAGGCATTTCCAGACAGGCAGCTCTCAACACTGCTGTTGTTATTTTCTGCTTATAAAATATAATCATATAATATGGTTATGGTTCTATGTTTTATGCTGTTTTAAATGTTTGCACACCATTCTGAGAGTGTCTGAGAAAGAATGGCAGATACACACTTCAGATAAATATATAAATAAATAGCCAGTCGAAAGGTGTTGTCCAGCTATTCCATCCTTCTATCATTAATGGATTGTTTGTGGGAAGCAAGCAGATGGAAGAAGTAGGAGGAGGAAATCCTAGCAGGGTTATTTACAAGAGATGAGGACATCTGGACCCCTCCGAAAGATCCTGTGTTTGAGGCCAGGTGAATATGCAACAAAAGCCTCATCTGGAAGTCCCACATGTCTCCATCAACATGCGGCAAGCTGAAGCCCAGAGAAAGTCTTTGGTCATGTTGCGAGCTGGAGGAGTTCTTGTTGCTGCCAGTGCTATTTCTCACTTGTGATTGTGGACATCTGTGTGACTTCAACTCTCCCTTTGCTCTGAACAGGCATGAATGCAGCTGTCCGGGCAGTCGTCCGAGTGGGGATCTACACTGGTGCCAAGGTCTTCTTTGTTCATGAGGTATTGTTCATGGATTTGGTTTGCATCCTACCTTTTTACTGAAAAGTGGCAATCAAGATGGCCGTGAGGTTGGCTTTCCCTGATGGGTTCAATTTTTGCTCATGTAGGAATTGCACCTAAGCCAGAGGTGGGAAATGGGTGGTCCTCCAGACTTCGTTGGACTACAGCTTCCACCAGTAGTGTACTCCAAGAGTCTCTGGAGAGCCACATGTTCCCTATCTGTGAGCTCAAGTCTCAGGCAATGCATGTCCCTGAGGCAGCAGAGTAGACCAAACCACTTCAGGCAGTGGGGGTGCAGCTATGCTGTTTCTGAATACTTTTCCTCATGCAAAACTGCCTGCATGTGAATAGCAGGCACACACATTGTGTGTGTTTTCTCTTTCTCTCTGCATGGGCTTGTATATCAGGGTAAGCCAGCCAACAACTCAGTTGTACACTGAATAAGGCCAGACACTGGAACACTGTTCTCTCTCCTCCTCCTCCTCCTCCTCCTCCTCCTCAGTCCTTCAGCTGGTATCCCAGTGTCCTTCGCAGGACAGCCATCTTGTTTTCCCCTCGCTTCCCCGCCCTGAATGTGATACTTTTTCATTTACTGCCATATTTTTAATGAAACCACAAAAGTATAATTGGAGCTTTAAAAAAATCAGTTCCTGAAAATTAAAATTAGTATTTTTTCAGACTTCCACAGGGGCACATGAGCAGACTCAGAGCTGTCTTGATAGGTGTAGTCTTGCCCGGTCAATTCCCTTGTCTGTTTTGGCTGCCAAAGGGAAGACAAGGCGAGGCTGCAAAGAGGGAAATGTATGCACAGTTGCCGGCTGCCATTTGCCTAGCTGTCAACTGGAAAGCACCAATAAATGGGGAGGCAAATGGGGAGGCAAAGTATGCCAAAAGGGAGTGGTAGCTACCTCACCCAATTATCAATATAATCCTCTCAGTTTTAATTGTTGAACTGGTGGTTCTCAGTACCTTCTACCTTTTCAGCACTTCCTCAGTTCAGCAGCTCCAGAAAAGGTCAATATTACCTTCCCCATCCTTTATAGGACTCCTTTTCAGTGCACGAACTGCTGCAGTTCTAAAAGAATGTGTAAATTGAATATCTGGGAAGTACATGGAGAGAAAATGTGCATAGCTGCAGTAACTGCTTCAAAAAGGGACAAGGAGTTAATACCTCTGTTTTCTGAAGTAGCTGCATAGTTGGGGAGGGTTGAAAAAATGGAGGGCACTGAGATCTGCCAGTTCAACACTTTAAACTCAAGAAGACTACATTGCCAAGGGGGTGACACCATCTATTTTTGGTGCACCTTTCCCCTCTGCTTTTTTTTGGCCTTTACCTGTCCCTTTCCATTCATAACTAGGCACTTGGTTCCTGCCAACTGTGTGCAAATCAGCCAATGTGAAGTCTTTACATTGTATTGGATAGCCATAAGGACCAACCAATGAAAACAGCAGGGGCTGAAGAAAGTACATACCTGCAAGGGACTGACAAAAAGGAAAAGGGGAATTATGAGTTCCTTGTAAGAAAAAAAGGAGGACTATAAATAAAATAAATAAAATTTGTAAAGGGAAAATTAGGAGCTTTTTTCAAGGAGCTGAAAAATTACAACCCCAGTTGCACTTTTTTGAAGTTTCAGAAAAATAAAAAAGCCAATTAATGAGTGGCACTGCTTCTAACATGCCATTGGGGCATCAGTGGAAAGATAATCACTGGCAAGTTTGCCAAAGCAAGCAGTGGTCAGGGTTGCCACTTTTGCCAAGAGCCCCCATAGCTGTTAATAGCAATACGCAAGAAAACACCCAGCCAAGTTTGAACAACATAATGACCCATTGTGGGTCAAACAACCCCAGAACAAGCCACTGGTTTTCATGGTGGCTTGTTTATGAAAAACAAGCTACCCTGCAGAAACGATTCTGGGTTCAGATGATGTAATGGCCCATTATGGCTGTTTATCCATGGTGACTTGTAGCATCATGAGAACCAGATCTCTCTTCAATTGTCCCAGAAAGGAGGGCTCAGCCTCTTCCAGTACCAGGTTCTACTTGCAGGGAGGAGTGTTGTCTTTCTTAAATGCAAGGGAGTGTTTAAAAATCTGCCAACCTTCCTTCCATTTGAGATGGCACAGTCCATATTGCTATCTCGTTGTCGCCTCTGTTCTACATGTATAGACCAAAGCTTAGAATTGCAAGCTCTGATCCAGGCTGGCAGTGTTCCATCCCAGACAAACCCTCCATCCCTGCTCATTTTGTCTCAGAAGAAACCTTCTTTGCATTGTGCAAACCTTGTTGCTTGCACAGTAGGTTTGTATCACAGTGTGTGGGTGTTTCCGTATTTCAACATGAGGCCCTTCAAGACCGGGCTTAAATCATACCAGTGATTTTACATCGTCATCTTCCATTTGGGACCCTCCCATGTTTCCCATCACTTCTTCCACACTTTCCTCATACCAAAAAAAGTCATTATGGAGAGAAATAATGGAGCACAGCTGTGTAATGCCTTTGGATTGGGGGTACTATAAGCTACCCACTCTGGAGCACCCAAGTGCTATATCCATGCTCAGAGAGACTGCAGTGTTGCCATATGGGGTAGATGGACTGCAGCCGAATGACCTGCCCCATAGCTTAGTGGCAGAGCTGTGTCTGCAGAAGGCTTGGTCCTTGACTTCCCCATAGATCAATTCACTCCTCTTAAGGGCAAGGTAGCTTGTAGAGTGGCCACGTGGAAATTGTCCACAGCATTGGGTTGGCTCTGTCCGAGTGCTTAGTGCTGCTGGACCAGACCAGCTAGCAGGGGTGGCACAGGTAGTGCCACTCCAGCTGCCCTAATGCCCTTCCTGTTCAATGTCCCATGTCATGAAAAGAGCTGGAAGTATCCTGAGATGTGCATTCCCGGGGCAAATGTGGCACTTTGTACAATTGGATTACGTCTTATTTCGCGCATTGCTCCACTGCAAACGTAACCATTGTGTAGTTCGTAGTAGCTGGCTCTTGAACAGAGAGGGCTTCAACTGCTGCTCTTCCATTAACTTCTTCTGCATCTCCTCCTCCTGCTTTCCGCAGGGCTACCAAGGGCTTGTGGATGGTGGCGACAATATTAAGGAGGCGACATGGGAGAGCGTGTCTATGATGCTGCAACTGGTAAGTCACTCCTGTGGACGTGGCCCCCTGTGACTTTGCCTTGTGCGAGGCTTGAGAACTCTTCTCTCCACCCCAGGAAATGCCAGTCCTGCAACTGTGGAAGTCCAGCCAGAGTGATGCTGCAGCATCTGTCTTCTATATGGGTTGCATTCCATGGTGTTGTCCTGCCAGTGGGAGAGAACCACAAGTCCAACACATTTCCCCTTCGCACCCCTGATAGGCTCCCTAAATCTGTGCTAGAGAGGTGTGGGGGGCCTCTGTGGGAGGCTACAGGGAGGAGGAGGATGTCTTCCTATGAGAGTGGAGGAAGCCGACACTTTCCTTGTTTTTACACCCTTGCATTTCATGGTCTTACTATGTTTTAATGTGTCCACTGCTGCAGCCAATTATCCTTAATTCATGGGCTGCTGCTTGTGCATCTGCACTACAATTGTGGAGGAACGAGGTGCGAGGCACATTGAAGGGCAAATGAACCTGTTTAGGTGTAAGCAAATTTACCTGCCAGGTGTGCACTAGCTTGCCGCATGGATCAGTTACCTGGGAAGTCTATTCTCAAGTAAGCTTGCTTTGGGGCAGGGACACCAGCTTGTTCTTTGAAAAATTTCTTACAATAACTATCCAGGCAACTGCAGGAGGCATTTTGGGGGAAATAGTATCCCTTTATACTGTGATGCTCATGTTCTTTGGGGGCTTTCCGTGGGCAGCTTTTTGGCCACTGCAGGAAGAGAAGGTTGGACTTCAACGGATTGTGGTCCACTTCTGGCTCTTCTTGCATTCTAAACAAGAAATCTCTGAAAATACCACAACTGTCAGCCCTGTTTTAAAATCTATGATTCTCTGTGCCTGAAGAATGTCCTTACCTCCTCCAGTCGGTTGTAACACAGAAGGTCACTGGTGGTTTGAAGGAGGGCTGCTGTCAGGGAGGACCCTGTTGCAACAGCTTGACCTTTTCATCAGTTGGGGCCACCGGCAGGGTCATGTGTCTTAAGTGTAATGATACTGCTGCAACCAGGGTCACAATGAATGTCTTGAGACTCAAAATAACCTGAAATTGGAGCTGACCCTTGCTGGCAGCTATGCGCGCATTGGGGAGTGACTGGACACTCTTTGAAGTTCAACAACAAGAATTGTAAAGGATCCTGGCCTGTCTATCCCAGCCTCCCTCTAGGAGGCTTTTTCTGGCCCTTTTTCTGTGGGTCACATACCACCTAAATGTATCATGTTCTTACCCAGACCCGTTGATGGGTGACGGAACAAAATTCATGAGCACTGTGGGGCACACCTCAGGCTCCAGCAAATGGATTTTGGTGATCATGGAAGACATTTTGCTCTGAATGGAATTGATTTCAAGGCCTGCATTTCTAATACTGATTTTCTCAGAGAGACTAATATCATTTTACAAGACTTCCAGCTGGGGCTGAGAGCAACTCCTGGAGGGATGCTGACAGTTCAGATGAGACAGCCCTGAACCGGAGGTGGATGAATTGTCTGACTTGCCACAAGGCAGTTTTTCTGCCCTCCAAGATCAGAGGGAGAACTTCAGCCCCAGAAGGGAGGATCAGGATCTGACCTTCCCTCCTCTGGCACTTGCTTGCAACTGGTGCAGAAAGAGCAGAGTGGGCTGGCCTCCAAGGCTGAAAACTCAACTTTGGAGCACGGGAGAAAGGGGTATCCCATGGTGCTGTGTGGCCATGGGTAACAACGCACTGGCTGCTTTGGGGTTCTCGGGTTCATGAGCGGTTTTTATTTCCCTAACTGTGATCGTGTGAGCCAGTCCAGTCCATCTTATAGACCACAAATGAATTTGTATTTATTTGGGCGTTTGTTTGGTCACGAGAAGCTGACCCTAAGTCAAGCTGTAATTGTAGGGTGTGTTTGGCCTTCCCAATGCCCAGCAGAGGTGAGAAATTAGTTCCTTGTATAAAACTTGTTTGCTCCTTGGGGGAGACTTCCATCAGAGCTCCAGGTAAACCAGTTGTCTTCTGATGGTACCTGTGACCTCAAAATGCATTATTACTTCTCTAATCATAGCTTAACAGATGGGCATGAGGGACTTTTCTCTCTTCCCTTCCTAATTGCAGAAGTACATGGTCAGAGCCAGTGTGGCATTGTGGTTTGAGTGTTGAACTGGGATTTGGGAGGCCTGGGTTCTAGTCCCCACTCAACCAGGACTCTCTCTGGGTGACTTTGGGCCAGTTGCAGACTCTCAGCTTCATGCAACTCGGAGGTTGGGATGAGGCTAAAATGGATTGGTTTCCTTGTGAGAGGAAAGAAGGCAGGCTGGGAGTACAATAAGTAGATCTATGCTGTCGACTTGCAATTCCCAGCTCATGCTGGTCTGTCCCCACGTAGGGTGGCACAGTGATTGGAAGTGCCCGGTGCCAGGACTTCCGCACACGTGAAGGACGCCTCAAAGCCGCTTGCAACCTGGTCAAGAGAGGAATAACAAATTTGTGTGTTATTGGGGGCGACGGCAGTCTGACTGGAGCAGACACTTTCCGAGCAGAGTGGAGCAGTTTGCTGCAGGAGCTGGTTAAGACAGGTATTGTGGCTGCATGTGGGAAAGTGATGGAGTGATGGAGGCAAGTTAAAAGCCGAATGCTGATCAGATGCAAAGACCCCCACCCTGCCCTTGTTGCTGGGTTGGATTGTACTTTCATCCAGCTGTGTGCTGTCTTTGAGCTGTTCATAATCTGGGTTCTGCTTCACAAGCCTGAGAGTCAGTGTGGTTAGGAGTGCAGGATGAGACGCAGGCGATCTGGGGTCTAGTCCCTGCTTAGCCATGGGCCAGTGATTTTGGGCCAGTCACAGGCTCTCAGCCCAACCCACCCTCAGTGTTCTTGTTGTGAGGATATGACTGAGGGGAGGAGAGGGAGAATTATGCCAACCTCCTGGTGTTCCTTGGAAGGAAAAAGATGGGATATAAATTTAATAACAGAACTTCTATTTCAAAGCTCAGACAGCAGAAATGGGACAGCTCAACCAGTCTGACATGGTGACTTAGAGACAGGACACTGGCTTGCACCAAGGTTCGAGTGGCCCGGACTGGAACCCCACAAGTTGTCATGCCTTGATCAAGATTTCCGTGGATGTTAACAGCTCCAACTGGAACTCCAAGCCAGGCACATTCCTTATCCAGCTTCTGGAGTCTTAGGGTCCAATCTGCGAGCCTAATTGCAGGGGAATTCCTTTGGGGGAGTAATGGGATTCTTAAGGGGATTTCTTGCAGTTGTCTGTCGCTGTGCAGACAGCCAGCGCTTTCTGGTGTTTCTGCAAGCATCAACCCAGCGAGCTTTGCTTTGGCTTCGTGTTCTCCCCGTGGGAGGAGTCAACAGAGACAAAGCCAGGTGCACACTGGGTTGCTGCTTGCAGTAACGCCCGTAAATGCTGCCCAAGTTTCTTCTTTTTATGCCCCACTTGCCATCACCGTTGGATTGCATGTGGTGTGTGAAGAAGGAGTCCAGCTCACTCAGCTCCAGCTGCCTGGCATCCTCACCTAAGGAGAGAAGACACAGGGCAGACAAGGCTACCTTGGATCATCCAAATCGCATCCTGCATTGATGCCATGTGGCCCATGGAGGGTCAGTTGATGGCTTGTCCGGCTCCCCAAATAAGACTACATCCCTGGCCCTGCATTAGAGCAGGGCCCCCTATCTTTTTGGACCCATAAGGGCATTCGGGAATTTGAGAAACTGCTGCAGGTACCAGTGCAAAATGGCTTCCATGGAAGATGTGACTGCTCACGTATAGCCGCTGTGGGGACCTGGCTAGTCAAAAGTGAGCCAGAAGGAGGCAGGGGAGGGAAAGAGTGAGGGCAGAGGCTGGGCAGGAGGGGGAACAGCAAGCCAAAGGGATGCGGAAAGAGCAAAGGAAGAGGCTGGGGAGGAGGGAGAAACAGGGAGCTAAAGAGGTGGATTTAAAAGAAGGGGCAAAGTTAGAAGCTGGGAGGGGAAAAGGGAGAAAAGGATCAAGGCTGACCTTTTCCAAGGTTTTGAAGCAAACAGTTTTTTGAAGGGGACAGGAAGGGGAGAGCGTCATGCCCTTCTGGGCATCAAAGCACTGTGAGTACTGCACTGGGGACCCCAGCATACCGTATTATAATCCAGAAAGGGATCTTTTCATCTGATGTCTAGCCATATCTCTGAGCAGCCTCAAATCTGGCCCCAGGCTGGCCTGACATGAAATGCTGCTCAGTTGATATTTTGCTGTGTTGTGAGTCTTTTTCCACGATGGCCTTTTTGTGTGGCATCGGGCAAGAGGGTGGCATTCAGCTTTTGCTTTGTGAATGCAAAACAGGGCAGATGGGTGCTGGGGAAAGGCAGCCAAACTTGCAAGGCTGTTTACATAATAGACTAAGAGACTCCAGATATGGTGGGTTTTGTCCTACAAATTCAGAGAAAGGGACAGGAGGTTACAAGAACAGATGTAAGGTAATGGATGAGCTAAGTGCCAGTAAATACCCGTGTTTGTTCCAGAAATAAACTGTTTCCTTGTTTTTGACCAAACATTGCTTAGTGATAGAGTGCGAGCTTCTCATGCAGAGGGCCTCAGGTTCAATCCATGGCATCTCCCCTTGGAAAAAGGATCAGGGAGTGGGTTGTACAAAAGACCCTGATACCAATTTATTTTTATTTATTATTTTAATTTATATGCCTATACATTAGCCCAGATTTGGGCTCTCTGGGTAGCTTACAACAAATTAAAACAACATAGCATTTTAAAATTTGTAAAAATAAAACATTAACAATAACATCTAAAAATGTAAAGAAACAGAATCCAACAAATCATAAACAAACTTTTTAAATAAACAATTTAAAATTAAGGTAAAACTATAAGCCAGGAGTATGGTCAGGTTAAAATTAAGATTGCCACTAAAATTGACTATTAAAATAGCTGGAAAAAATATGTGCCTGGCACTGAAATAATAGCAATGATGGGGCCAGACACACCTCTAAGAGCTTTTCTACTGAAGGTCTGTTGTATACATTCATCATTCCATCCTTGTGGATGCATATGGGTTCTTAAGAGGAGGGTGTGACACCAACCCTCCAGTTTCATGGCTGTGTCCAACCAGCGCTTTTAGCAAGGCTTTGTTTGTTTGTTTGTTTCAGGTCAGGGCAAGTGCAGCATTTAACTGTGAAAAATGAAAGTGCCATTTTCTCCAGTTACCGGGCTGATGCTCTGCACCACAGTGCCACTTAGAGGTTATGCAGCAGAAAAACAACATAAACTCCCCCTGCGTGGTGCTGGTATCTCAGTTCCCCTACAAAACTTAAAAGGAGAGTTTTGCAGCAGACGAACAGCCTCAGGTAGAAAAGCTCGCAGATCAAACATTTCCCCTCAGTGCCTTCTGTATAACTGAGTTTCCAGCCCGTGTTTTTAACGTCATTGCATAGTGGTTCTGAGTCCCTGCTCTGAAATATTATCGCCCTAAGGCAAGCTTTCTGCACTCCAATGCCCTCCAGATATTTTGGGTGACAGTTCCCAGCATCTTGATGATTAGCTAAGCTGGCTGGGGCTGAAGGGAGTTGAACTGCACAGTACTGAGATGTTTCTTTTCCTCGGAGTCAGGCTATGAGTGAACCTGCGGGGTTATACAGTCATGCTGCCCACTGCTATCCCATTGGGTCTTTGCACAATGCACTTTCAGGTGGCATCACGGCAGAGGAAGCGAAGAAGTCCAGTTATCTGAACATTGTTGGCATGGTTGGCTCAATTGATAATGACTTCTGTGGTACTGACATGACCATCGGCACAGACTCCGCTCTTCACAGGATAATGGAGATAGTGGATGCTATCACCACCACTGCCCAAAGGTAAAGCTTGTGAGCTTTGTGCAAGGTTGTTTGTTTCCTACAAGTCCTTCATTGCACTCCAGAAGTGTGGAAATCTGGTGTTTGGGCCCAGAATTCAGCACCCTGCAGATCACCCCCTTGTTGTTGCTGTTAAGAAGCAAGTTTCTAGCTTCCAAGACTAAGATTGTAAATATTGATATTTTCCACTGGAAAAATGTCAGAAGTTCTTTGCCCTTTCATATGCAGGAGCAAAGGAAATGATTCAAAGGAAGCAAATGCATGCAAAAAAGAATGGATTAATTTGTTTCATTTATATACATTAGAATGCCAGTGTCTTCCCAGTGTGTGGGTGACACCACTATTTTAATATAAAACATATTTTAGTTCACTATTGAGCACTGTAACAAAGGGTTGCAGTGTGAAGTGTTTCCAGATCAAGACTCCAGCTACCCCCAGCTGCCTCAACCATTTTCCGCAGTTCTCCCCTACTCCTCTGCTCAGTATTTCATGGCTACTGAGCCCACTGTCTGGCAAGTTCTCCTTCGTTATTGTCCCCATAAGGATTTTTTGTACTTGCAAATCTCAGGGTTTCCCAAAGCCTGGTAATATCTCCCTTCTGTGCATGGACAGTTCTGTTTTGGCTACATGAAGAATCCCCCTCAGAAGCAGAACATTGAAAATACAGGAATTCTACCCAGCTCCCACCATCTGAGACTTTACCAGGCATTTTATTCCCTTTCCCCTAAAATATAAAGGAAACTGGATAGGAAAGAACAACAGATCTTAGAAGACTTTGTGGCAAAGTTCATGTTTATGGTAAAGTTAGTACCTGTGCTTTTATGGCCTCTGGGAGCACTTCCAGGGCTTTGAAAACATTTTTGAGAGAGGCCCCCACAGCCTCCTGTCTTCCCAGAAGCAAGCATGAAAAGCCTTGAGAACTGCAGAGACTGAACTACTCTGTCTTACATTTAGTACTGCTTGCTTCTGGTCTCAATGCTGCGGTATTAATTTTATTATTTGACATTTTCTAGTATCTGCTTTTTTGTAAGCAGGGTTCTAACTCTGTAAACTTCCATGAGATTTCCAAATGTTTAAATAAAAAAGATTTAGAATACTCACAATAAGAAACCAAAAAATGGAACACTTTTGAGGTGAGCCTATACAGACTGAAGCTGAAGCTGTTACTTCAGACTCAATATATAGATTCAGTATATAGACTCAAGCTGAAGCTGTTACTCATTCTTATACCAAAATGTATTGCTATATATCTACCTTCTTTTAAAACTGTCTCAAAAAACAGTATATCAGGGTTGTTAAAAAATAACCCCTGATATTTGCATTTCTGTGCACAAATCATTTCATTTCAGTCTGGTTTTTCTTACAGCCACCAAAGGACATTTGTGCTGGAGGTGATGGGTCGTCACTGTGGGTAAGAAAAAAAGACAGTTTGATGACTCAGTATTGACTGCATTTGGAAGTAACACTAAACCAGGTTGTACAATCTCAGACCTGTGTGCCCAGTGTGATCCTACAGGGTTCCCCAAATGACCATGTTTCCTTCTGTTTTCCCATCAGCCACTGGTTCTTGGGTGGCTTCTCGTCTTTTGTATGGTTCTTTTCCCCCAGTTATAAAAAATCAAAATGGCTCTCTTGAAACTTAATTACTGAGAGGAAGAGCTTTCAACTAAAATGTGTTGGCATCTTCAGTACTTTGGCTTCATTCCATTTCACTTTTGGCCCCACCCACCCTTGAAATGTGACCCGAGAGCTTTCCCGTGACTCATACTGCAAGAAGTTCAAGCCCTTTGCAGTAAATCATAGTTTAGCATTGCCAGAATGAGCCTACCTTCTGCCCAGACTCATGCACTCTGTCTTCCAGCCTGGCCATGAGAGGGAAAATAGAAGCTTCCATATCTGTTTTAGATTAGCCATGGTTTAGGGTGTTGTGCAAATCCTAACTGTGGTCAATTTTAACTATGGTTATAGGAAACAAGCCAGCTTGATAAAGTGTTTTGAAAATGGGTTTTTCCCAATAACCATAGTTAAGATTAACCATGGTTTCTCTGGGTTCAAGCAACAGGGGAAGCTGTGGTTAATTAAAAAATGAACTGGAAATGTCCAAAGTCTGCACAGCTGATATTAAAGGGGAAAAGGAAGGAGTATAGTAACCCAAATCTGTAGCTTGTTCACCTAAAACTAACTGCAGTTTATTTTTGTGGCCAGCCCAGCCTAGTATCTAGGTCTTGGCACTTGGCCATTGATTTGTTATGAGAACATTCTTCAAATGTCCATGTGAAAATGGAATTACACCCTGACTCACTTGTTTATATATGCAGATAAACATCTCCTATGATATAACTTCTTATTCAAAAGTAGTCAGACAATTACAAATTGTAGATATGTTTTGGTCATGTGCAGGAATTTGAACTTTGTTCATATTATTCCTAAAACAAAGTAAGGATATAACAGGATATGCTATTCCATCAAACTAATTGGTGGTTTTATCCTGTTATCTTAAGAACTTAGTACTGGAGGAAGAAGTTGCAATAGCTGTGCATATGTTAAACAGCTCATATGATCATTGCTTATAATGGGGGAAAAACCTAGCCCTCCATCAGCTGATGTATAGATTAAAAAGCTATGAGACACAGTATATATTGCCAAATGAACTAACATAATATTATGGGAGGATCTGAAATTACATTTATGGGAAAATCAAACCTATTTCCTTTTGCAATAACACTGTCCATAATAAGTCTAATCCAGATATCACTGGGTATGATTTTATGTTGTCTCAATATTATTTGCTTAGACGTGATGTATTTGTTAATACTGCAAATATATTTTCACAGTACTGCTATTTATCTACTGTAATTTCAAATTACTATAGTTAGACTAGAGCTATGGAATTTGTTAGATTATTTGAAATTACTTTTTTTAAGTGTATGTGTGCTGTGTATATGTGGTGAGGGAGGGGAACAACCTGATCGTTGGCCATTAGGAAACATTTTCCCAATAGCCTAAGTACATTTTTTCCTTCATTTTGCCCTATCTTTATTCCCCACCAGCAAACGGACTTGATGTGTCTGTCTATTCCCCTCCATACTCTTCCTCTCAGTACTGTACTCTGCACTGCTGGCTTTCTCAGATGCTTTGAGTGCACTCATTCCAACTTAATCTATCTGTTGTGACACAGAAAACAGAAAAGCTTTCCCTTTGGAGCAACCATGTCTGACTCTGGACAACTGTCTGTTTACTCTGGAAGGGATGACACAGAACATTTTAGTTTTGGAAGCTGCCAAGTCAAATGGCTCAGTCCCCAGTAGGACCGAAGCCTGGGTATCATAAGGAACTTGGGTTTTTCAAACACTCTGTAAGTTTTAGCTTTGCCCCAGATCTGTGACCTGCAGTCTGTCATCCTCTCTCTCCCTACCCCTAGTTACCTGGCCCTTGTAACAGCCCTGGCGAGTGGTGCTGACTGGGTGTTCATTCCAGAATCGCCACCAGAAGAAGGCTGGGAGGATCACTTATGCAGGAGGCTAACTGAGGTAACTGGAATAGAGTAGCCTAAATTTGAAGACTGGCTGCCACATCCCTCAGTGTTCAATTGGATATACTCCTGAGCAGATAGGTGCACTATTACAGATGCTGCTTATGTGTCCATCTGCCCCATTGTCTGAACCCAGCCAGTGGTTGGGGGAAAGTGGATGGGTGAAGCTAGAGAAAGGCCTCTCAGCCATATGGAGAACCTCAGAGGTCTGGATCTGGCCCTTTGGCCTGTGGCTCCCCATCCTTGGGTCAGACAGATTGCTTAATTTGTTTCTGGAGTCTTAGCTCCTAGTCTGAAGCAGTTCCACTCTTTTGCAGTTGACTCTGCAAAAGCTCCACTCTTCCTACTTCCCAAACTGCAGTGATATGTATAGTGCAATGTGCTGGTACTATGTTAATTTGCACTTTACTGACTGCAGACTGTGCAAAAGGTAAATTAAACAAAATAGCAGCAGTTCTTGAGGGAATTGTGGACTGATAGATATCTGTTGCCAAGCAAGATAGGATGCACTTGCATATGTCTCACAAGCAGCACCACCACTGCATATGACATGAAAAGCCAATAGCCAGCATGACCAATGGTCAGGGATGCTGGGAATTGTAGTCCAACAACATCTGGAGCGTGATAGGCCCTCCCCGCCTCTTTTAGGTAGAATGCAACCAAGGCAGGTCTGTTTCAGAGGCAGGCCTGGAGCCCATTCTGAAGTGGATCCTCACTCCTTCTGTTCTCTGCAGACAAGAACCCGAGGCTCAAGGCTGAACATCATCATTGTGGCTGAAGGAGCGATCGACAGGCATGGCAAGGCCATCACCTCAGATGACATTAAAGATGTAGGTGACAGAAAGAACTCCTGCTCAGGCTTGGCTCGTCTGTGCTGATGCCCTTTGCCTAACTTTGGGGCGGAGGCTGCAATGCTGCAAGGCAAAATGCTTGATTTGCTTTTCTTGCAGTTAAAGGGAGGCGGATTTGTCCAATGAGAAGAATCAATAGGCCAAGCTTTGAATGATTTATTCTGCTGCAGGCTGCACAGGGAGGGATGTGAGAGCAGCACGCTGGAGTGTGTCCCTTCCCCCACTCTGCCCCAGATTCCTCCCTCCGCTTGGTGTTGCTAGCATGCCAGTTCAAATTTTACCCTAGCTTCTTTGGGGCATTCTGCATTTCATTATACAATGGTACCTCGGCTCACAAACACCTCAGTTCATAGCCAAATATGGTCACGAACAGACATTTCATAAAAATTTTGCCCTAGGTTGCGAACGCTGCATTGGGTGACGATTGCGAGCGCGCCTGCCTTCCCCGCACAGGTGCAATCGGGTCATGCTGGGGGGGGGGAGGGAGATGACCACGATTGCACCTGTGTTCCCTTCCCGAGCGCATCTGCTCCCGTGCCCGCCTCCCCCCATGTGCACCTGTGATCGTGCCCATCTCCTCCCACCCCCCTGCACGATCATGAGGTGGAGGGGAGATGGCTGTGATCTTTATTCTTTGTCACTTTGCTTCAAATTTTTGTGAGTAAAAAAAATAGTTGCAGAACAGATTAACCTTATTTAGATTGACCCTTATGGGGGAATTTGACTTGGCTCATGACCAATTTGGCTCACGACCAGAGTCCTGGAATGGATTCAGTTCATGAGCTAAGGTACCACTGTACTGCATATACAATATTACCATGTGTATATAATAATATAATATAATGTTATATCATATATATATATATATATATATATAATACACATATGTGTGTTATATTTAATATTAGATGTGTATATTTAATATTAGATGCGTATATTTAATATTATATGAATATTAAAACATGTAAAAACATGAATTTTGGTGTAGGTTTGTACGGCCATCCAGCCAGTGGGAAGGTCCCAGCCAGGGTCAAAGGAGAGTATTAATAAATGCCAGCCAAAGTACTGAGTCTCAGTGCTGTGTAAGAGCATCACCAGTAACGGTCCTTAGCCTGCATGGTCCATACTGGTCACAAGCAACATAATTACATTGCATAGTCCAGCCTTCCCAATTTGGCACCTGGCAGATGGTTTGGGTTGCAACTCCTGTAATTCCCAGCCAGAACAGCCATTGGGAGTGATGGGAATCCAACACATCTGCAGGGCAAAGCACATCTGTCTGGGAAACCATTGGGTTAGAGGACATGCAATCCAACATTAAAATCTGTAGAGACTGTGTGGACATTGGTGATGCTCGTATATAGCAGTGAGACTTGAACACTTTGGATTCCTTATCTTGGAGGTATGTCTTCTAGAACCAATTCAGAAGACATAAGCAGTTCCTAAGGACATTTCCAGGTCATGATGAACAAAACCTGAAACACCCTGACTTTTAATAAGAACTCTGTGCTTTCATGTGGTGCTCCTGTTTTGCATCCCTGGCACCACTCTCCTACGCTGCATGATGGATGGGGGTGGGAAGGGGTGGGGGAAGGAGAGCTATGGTTTGGCCTCAGCTCCCCCAGGCACTGAGCTTCACACAATAGACTACCCTACAGACTGCAAAGAAATTCAGTAGTAAATAAAAAACAAAGCTTGACATGTTGGCCCTCAGGGGAAAAAATATAGAATCCTCAATAGGACAATATATTTATGAGGACCAAGCAACCTGTCACAAACTAGGGATCAAGGTTTTAAATTTGCCAGTATTTGTAATCAGAGTAGAGGTAAAACCTAAACCTAAGTGGGGATGGGAGGAAGCGACCTTGGTATTAAAGCCATGTGTTCATCATTCGTCACAGTCTTATGAAGGTGTGTAGAAAAACTTAAGGACAATGCCTAAAATCAAAGAAACTGTTCCTGGGATGAAGGTACTGCATCAGGAATTGGGGAAGGGAAGTAGCATCTCTTTAAAGTAACTATAAAAAAATTCTTTCCTTCAATAGTCAAGGAAAAGCGGTCAGAACCCCTGGCAAACATTGCTGCCAAACTCTTGATGCTTGCTGAAAACTGTGCCTGGCTACTGAGATCTCACCAGGCTTTGCCTGTATGCCTTTGTTTGTTATTTTTAAGGACTAAAGACGAGAGAGAAAATGAGAATGTTGAGATTCACCAGATGAATTGGGTTCAGCTGTAGAATTGTGGGACACACAGTTCTGGTTCTAGTTCTCCAGCCCATTGGATATTCTTAGTTTCAAAGGAATAATGTCATTTTTGAATGTCTCTTCCCTCTGCAGCTGGTTGTGAAACGCCTTGGATATGACACAAGAGTCACCATCCTCGGGCATGTGCAGCGTGGCGGGACCCCCTCTGCCTTTGATCGTATTTTGGTAAAATACTGCTTCAGATGTTTTATCCATGACATGTTTTCTGGCTGTGTTGGGGTTTATTTTTAAACTGTACTGCAGAGCTGCAAAGGAATGTATGCAGCTACAGGACTTTAATACTCCCAAATGGCCCCAGGGCAGCTCCATCTTCTCCCCACCACTCCCTACCTGCGTCTTTCATCTTTGTGTTTCCCATGGCTATTTTTCACTCTGCACCTACTCAGTTGAACAGCTCTGAGTAATTACACTGGGTATTTTTAATTCTTGAATTCTGTGCAGCACTGAAAGTGGCATGTGGCCAGTGGAGCCAAAGAAAAGAAAGCAAAAGAAAAGCAAAATGAAGCAGCAGCACGGCCTCCTATTTCTCCCAGCGCTGCGGCTTCCTATTGAGGCTTGTGGCACGTGTCATGGCTACAAGCACAAATGATAAGTCATCCAAGGGCCTTTCAGAAGCTTTCATGCGTGTCACCGGATGACATCATAAGAGCAGTGGATTCTGCACTGTAGCACAAGCCCCTTCAGTTGTGTCTTGAAATGCAGAAATGCCAGCCCAGCAGGGCCTCTCAGAGGAGCAGAGCTTTCAGTCAGATTGGACACAGAATTGGTCCCTTAGATACAGTGGTGCCTCATCTCACAAACACCTTGGTTCACAACCAAATCGGGTCACGAACAAAAATTTCATGAAAATTTTGACTTGGGTCGCAAACTCCGCATTGGGTGGCAACCAAGATCGCAGCCACCTCCCCACCCCCCCGCCCCCGAGTGGGAAGATGGCCACAATCGCAGTTGCATTCATGCAGGGAAGACGTGCGTGATCACAGGCACGCTCCGGCAGGAAAGACAGGTGCAATCTCGGCCATCTCCCCCCCACAACCAGCACCATCACAGCCATCTCCCCACTCCCACCCCCCAAGTGGGGAGATGGCCACGATCGCAGTTGCATTCATGCAGGGAAGACATAGAGGAGCTGACGACAGAAGAACTTGCTGAACTCCAGAGTGAGCGGCAGAAGGCACTTGCTGAGGAGGATTCCACTGAGGAAGAGGAAGACAGGGAGGAGGTTATCCATGATGTGATACAATCCATTATGCAAAAATGGAATGAGTGCCAGGATTTCTTTGAGAAGCACCACCCCAACAGAACTGTAATGAACAGAGTGTTGAATCTGATGAACAATAACGTGCTCTCTCATTTCTGGAGGGTTATGCAGCGCAGGAAAAAACAAGTGACTAGAGACAGGTTTTTCACAAAAATTGACCCTGCAGCTAAGAGACAAAGAAGAGAGGAAACCCCTGAGAGAGATCTCCCCAATGTCCTTATGGTGGGGGACTCTCCCTCAAAATAATAACCTCCCCCGCACCTAGGTCAGTGCTCTCCACTGTACTGTACAGTACTTTGTTACTTTGTTGTTGTCGTGAGGCCATAGCACTCGTCCCAATTACTCACACAGATGCAGGCAATAAAAGTTTGAAGCCTTTTATTCTAAACAGCTACAAGATATGCAGGCGACAGATAGTACAGGAGCTGCCCTTGATAGTTCTAAGCTGCACAGTTGCCCCCTCCTTTCTGACCATCTGAGATTTACGACATTGATCTAACCCTGCGAACTCGCCCCTCCCCTCACTGACTAGATAAACTCCTCTCCCTCCTTCTTTGACTTTGCCTCTCTTCTGATTGGTCCAAGCCTCGAAGTCGTCTCAGCTGGGCATTCTCCCTGGCAACAGACTGTTCCACAGGCCGCCCAGCCGCATTACCAGGAAATTGTACAAAAACTTCAGTCAGGTGGCGAGGGGGAGGGGGGGCGGTGTTTGTGCCATGGACACCAAGTAGAAATCTTCCTGCTCTAAAGCCTGATCCTCGCTGGGGGCTCCTGCCTCGTTTTTGCATGCTAACGACTCCTCTGAGTCCTTAGGCACAACAGTTGTTCTTTGTCACTTTGTTTCAAATTTTTCTGATAAAAAAAAATAGTTACAGAAAGGATTACCTTATTTACATTGAACCTAATAGGGAAATTTGACTTGGCTCACGACCAAAAATTGGCTCACAACCACATTCAGAGGGGCCAGAACAGATTGACCTTGTTTACATTGAATCTTATGGGGAAATTTGACTTGGGTCACAACCAATTTGGGTCACAGCCAGAGTCGTGGAACCGATTAAGTTTGTGAGCCAAGGTACCACTGTACCTTCTCAGTTGTCTCTTTAAATATAAAACTAACTTAGGCCATGGAAAGCCAGGAAGAAGAGTGGGAAGGGAAAAGGCAGGGGGATCTATACTCTCAGTAGACCACTGGGAATTGTAGGATCAGATGGAACAGAATCCTGGGGAAGCTCCCTAAGATTCAAACAAATGCATGTCCTTCTTTTCTGCTGTTCCTCTGGAGAGCCCATGTGGTGTGGTGGTGAGAGCATTCGGCTGGGGACCTGGGAGTTGTGGGTTCCAGTCCCCACTCAGCTATGGAGCTCACTGCTTGCCTTTGGGCCAGCCACTTCCCCTCAGCCCGACTGGCCTCACAGGGTTGTTGTTGTGAGATTAAAATGGAGCTCTGTAAGCTGCCATGGGCCCCTCAAGGGGAACAAGGCAGGAAGTCAATGCAATGCAGTCATAATGACCACCTCACAGGGAAGCAGGATGGGCGTGGAAGCAGTCATGGCCTTGCTGGAGGGAACGCCAGACACCCCGGCGTGCGTCGTCAGTCTGTCCGGTAACCAAGCCATCCGTCTCCCTCTCATGGAATGCGTCCAGGTGGTAAGTGCATTTCTGCCTGTCCTACTGCCGTGTGGTGGGGCCGGCCAGTCCTCCTCAGGGTATAGTTCTCTTGCAGGCAGGTAGGGAATTTCAGCAGTCTTCTCCTCTTCTTGGGCAGTCCTGGGGGTTGCATTCTCTAAAATCACAGTGCATGGCAGTTAAGTGACCTACGACAGAAATGCATTTGCCAGGGTGCCAGCCCCCTTCGTGTCTTCTCAAGGGAAGTTTGCTTGCAGGCATACAGGAAGCTGGAAAGCTTGCCGTCCTTTGCAGTAGAAGCATAACACTTCAGGTGCCCATCTGTTCATCGCTGATGGGCAGACTAAATGCCGAACATCTTTGTCCTGTACCAGGAGCATCAGGCAGGGGAGGGGGAATACATGGCCCTCCTACCATTGCTGAGCTTCAGCTTTTGTCCTGGCCAGAAGTGAAGGATGTTGGGAGTTGCATTCCAGCAGCTTCCGTTGATCTGCTCGATGCCTGCCCCATGTCCCAGGTGAATCATTAGGACAGGGCAGGGTGATGTGCTGTCATAGGCCAGAAATAGCAAAGGGATTCCCCCCAATTCCTCTTGCCAATTGGGACACAAGTGGCATGGAAAGGAGGAGCCGAGTGATGTTTTCAGTGTGGAGGGAGGCATCCAGAAAGAAAATGGACAGGATGAGGTCAGATGATGGCACAGAATGGGGGGTGGAGCATTGAGACAGGCTCCCCCCCCCCCGCCCAGCATCATCTGCTAACTGGTTCAGTCCTTGGATCTCAGCTGCATTAGGAGACCATTTTTGCAAAATTAAGCTTTATTGTTTTTTCTAAATGGCATTTAAACATGTGTGCCTAATTCTATCATATCAATTTTGTGGCTTAAAAATGAAACTGCAAGCCATTCGTTCAACATAAGGAGAGACCAAAAGCAGTAGTGCAGGATACAACCCTATTTGCATCCAGGCAAGAGGAGAAGCAGCACAAAGAATTGCTTACTGCCTGACAGTCTGCACTGGTGCTATTTCTAAGTGTGCCAGTATCACATTTGGACCCTTTCAGCAGCGTGGACAGGCATAGAGAGGGTGTGTTGTGATCTAGAGAATAATGTCCGACATGCTTGGTGCTTGCCAGAACTTGAAGTTCTGGAAATGCACCAACTTTGGTTGAAGTGAAGCAGCAACAGCAGGAAAGGGGTTCCAGCAAGGACCTGTTAAGAGGGAAGGGTTGGCTGCAAGGAAGAGTAGAGAAGAAAGGCAGAAAAGAGTGGAGGTTTGCAAGTAACAAAAAGCCAGAAATCCTGGCTTAAGAAGCCATGATCAATTGTATGTCCGTGTATGCAGCCCATTCCCTCCTCATTTTGTGCTAGTGAATATATTATTTTTTTCTATAACCAAATGGTGCTTTTTCCCAGTTGAAAGCGGGACAGCATCAAGACAGCAGAAGCAAACCTTATTCCATTCCTGTAATCAGTGTATAGTGCTTTGATTGAATTGAGTTTAAAATGCAAAACTGCTCATGCTGGCTTTTCCTTTTTTAAACAGTCAGGGCTGGTGAGCAGGTGTTTGTGTGGGTTCTTTTGCTCTACTGTATCAGGAATGTAAATTGAAAAAGAATGTAAACACTGTAAATCATGGAATGGCAGAGGAGGACATGGGGGAAGTGAAGTGCAGCTGGACTCATACACTAAAGGAGCCTCATAATCTGATTATTAATGTCTTGCTGCGCTTCTGGCAGGGGTCAAATTTTTCCTGCAAGGGATTGTAATTGTTTCTACATCTTTCAACAGACGAAAGACGTCACAACAGCAATGAATGAGAAACGGTTCGATGAAGCTCTTAAACTTAGAGGAAGGTGAGAGAGTTACAATGTGACTACAATCTTCAGGAGATCTTTGGCTGTGCTTCTTTTTTCTTGGGTTACAAACTGTAAGAATTTGATTAATCAGCTGATTAATCAGTGATACCCAGTCTTAATTGATGTGGCTAAGAATGAGGGCCACACTTGTACATTTTTAAGGCCATCACGTTCAATGTTTGTGCTGAAATTAGAAGCAAAGTATTGAAATTGAATCATTCCTTCTAACAAAAAATGGTTGGTTTTCATTTCTTGTTGAAAAATTTGGTTGCAGACTGACCTATTCAGACTGAAAATAGATAAGTAACAAAAACCAAAATATAAAAACCAGGCTAGGGCCAAGTGATTTTTAAGAGCGGGGGAGAGGCCAGCTTTGAAAGAGATTTTGCAGTTCTTAGGAAATAAATTCATCCTGGTTCTGCATTGCTTCAAATCTTGCAGAATCTCTTTGACCAGAGGCAAGAGTGGCACAAAAGAAGCACACTTGATATTGTGCCTCTCTAACTATGTTTGGCTCTTGCTGACTTGTATCTAGATGGGTTTGTAGGGAGGGGGAAATTTTTAAAGTGCCACAGTGCTTGTTGTCCAAGCAGAAGTGGGCAACCTGCCACCCTTGGACTAATTTCAGAAGCCTTCTGCAAGCAATCAGTTCAGGCATCTAGCAAAAGCATCCTGCTACAAGGGGGGTGGGGGGAGAGGGGGAGAGAAGGGGGTAGTTGAAGGTGAGAGGGAAAAGAGGTGGGGGGGCACACCCTCCTTTGATATTGGCCCTGTCCACCGCTGGCCTGTAAAACATCAGAAGATGTTCCCTGAAGGAACACAAAGGTTACACACCCCTGATCAAAACAATCCTACATACACACTCCTAAAATGCCTCCTTGCATGCACAGACATTTTGTAAACTTTTCCTTCCAGCTGGAGTCCCTCGTTCTGTGTTGGGCATTGCTCCAGAAGGTCCTGAGAACTTGAGTAGCTGTTTTGGAAGCTGGAGAAAGGATTTGATGACGTGGGAGAGAAGTGTCTAAAAAATAAATACACTTAAATGCTTTTTTGAAACAAACCTGTAGCACTTCCATGTTTCAAGGACAGAGCAGCCCCCTTGACTCAGAAACTCTAGCAAATGTTACTGAATCCCCGCAGGAAAGGTCACTAATATCCCCACATCACAAGGAAAAGTTGCAGTTGAGAGGCAGTGGCACACCGAAGGCTGCCTGCTTAGCTCAAAGGAAGGGTGCCCTATTCAAGCTAGACTTGATCAGGTTCCCCAGCTCAGTCTCCTAGCTATGCTGTGTTGTCAGTTCTTTCGGTGCCTACATGGGAATCTGAGTATTGGAGGGATGCTAGCCCATGATTTTTTTCCCTTTTTTGCAGGAGCTTCCAGAACAACTGGAATGTGTACAAGATTTTGGCCCACATCCGTCCCCCCTCTGCAAAGGTAAAAGTCAGGACATACTTCAGTGGTAGAGGATATGCTTTGCATATAGAAGGTCTCAGTCAGGTTCAGTCCCTTACGTCTCCAGCCAAAAGGCTCAGGTAATGCAGGAGGGGAAAGGCACGTGATCTGCCCGAGAACTCAGAGCATTCCTGCTGATCGAAGTAGACAGTCCCAGATCAGGTGGACAAATAATCCACTCTAGTTTGCGGTAGTTTGAACATTCTTTGGCATTGCCCTTCTTTGAGATGGGAATGTAAACTGACTTTTTCCAATCCTGTGACCACTGTTGAGTTTTCCAAATTTGCTGGCATATTGAGTGTAGCACTTCTACTGCATCGTCTTTTAAGATTTTTAATAGCTCAGCTGGAATACTGTCACCTCCACTAGCTTTGTTGTTGCTCAGACTTCCTAAGGCCCATTTGACTTCACATTCCAGGATGTCTGGCTCAAGGTCAGTGACCACCCCATTGTGGTTATCAGGGACGTTAAGCTCTTTCTTGTATAGTTCCTCTGTGTAATCTTGCCATCTCTTCTTAATCTCTTCTGCCTCTATTAGTTCCCTGCCATTTTGGTCCTTTATCATGCCCATCTTTGCATGAAACATTCCCTTCATATCTCCAATTTTCTTGAAGAGATCTCTGGTCCTCCCTATTGTTTTCTTCTATTTCTTTGCACTGTTCATTGAAGAAGACATTTTTATCTCTTCTAGCTATTCTCTTGAATTCTGCATTCAATTGGGTGTATCTTTCCTTTTCTCCCTTGCCTTTCGCTTCCCTTCTTTCCTCAGCTATTTGTAAAGCTTCCTCAGACAGCCATTTTGCTTTCTTGCATTTCTTTTTTCTTTGGAATGGTTTTAGTTGCTACCTCTTGTACAATGTTGTGAACCTCCATCCATAGTTCTTCAGGCACTCTGTCTATCAGATCTAATTCCTTAAATCTATTTGTCACCTCTACTGTATATTCACCAGGGATATGATTTAGGTCATACCTGAGTGGCCTAGTGCTTTTCCCTACTTTCTTCAATCTAAGCCTAAATTTTGCAACGAAAAGCTCATGATCTGAGCCACAGTCAGTTCCTGGTCTAGTTTTTACTGACTGTATAGAGCTTCTCCATCTTTGTTATCTTAGCTGGGTTCAGACAAAACAACCCATCCATGCTGGACCTGACCGCAACATTACCCATCTGCCAGGATCCTCATCCACTGGTGTGCATAGGCACACTGCCTCCAGTAGTGGGGATAGCTTAGAGCCATCAGGACTTCCGTGCTAGTAGCCATGGATAGCTTTCTGTTCTACAGGCAACCACTTCATTCTGCCTAACGGTAGGGCCGGTTGACTTAGAAGCAGAACACCTGTGCTGCATGCAGAGGTTCCCTGATTTGGTCAGTCCGTGACACCTCCATAGATAACTCATCAGCAGCGACCGGGGCCAGTGGCTGAAGGGCGTCAGCCTAAGGGCGGTGACGCCGTTCGGGGCCGAGCGGGGGCTGGGCTGGCCAGGGTCTTTGTTGTTGGCCGGCGGGTGGGATTGGTTAAATTGGCCGGCGGGGTATGTTTTTAAGTGTTTTAATGTGTTTTTAGTTGTTTTAATGGATTCATCTCTGGCTTTGAGTAAGGGGTTGCCTGGGGAGCACGTGGGCGCCGACATTGGGGTGGTCACGGGCAATGGACGTTATGGCATTGGGGGTTTAACGAGTCTCCGTAGAAGAAGAAGGGACAGATGGTTAACACCTGTTCCTCTTTCTGGTTATTCCCCCAGCCGGCGGGTTCCAGGAAGGCTTGTCAACTGCCCCCCGGGCCTGTCAGCGCTGTTGCTTAATGCCAGGTCAATCCAAAATAAGTCATCACTTATCCACAACCTGATAGTGGATGAGGGGGCCAACCTGGCTTGCATTACAGAGACCTGGGCGGGAGAGGCGGGGGATGTCTTCCTCTCTCAACTGTGCCTGCCTGGGTACCTGGTCCCGCACCGGCCGGGCCGGGGGGGGGGGGGGTCGCTTTGGTTTACCAAGCCTCTGTTTCCCTCACGGGGCTTCCTGTTCTCTCGAGGTCGGGTCTTTCTTTCTTTCTTTCTTTCTTTCTTACTTACTTACTTACTTACTTACTTACTTATTTAGAGGAGCGGGTTGGGAGACGTCTAGAGCGTAGGTAGAGGAATCACAGGATGAATCTGACTGAACACACTTAAGAGCCCATTATCGGGCCTATGCTGTGGAGGTGAGGGCGGCGAAGAAGAAATTCTTCTCCGCTTCTATTGCCTCCTCACAATGCCGTCTGGTGGAGCTCTTTTGGGTGGTACAGGGACTGGTTCATCCAGACCCAAAAAAAAGATCTCGTGCCATCCTCGATGGCCCGCTGTGACGACTTCGCCAAGCCTTTCAAGGAGAAAATCACTCAGATTCGTCATGAGCTGGACTCCACTAGTGATTCAGAACCTTCTGGGGAGGTGCCAATGTTGCCGTCTGCTCCAAAATTGATGGATGAATTTCAGTTGTTGCGGCCTGATGATGTGGACAAGGTGCTTGGACAAGTACATCCTACCACCTGCTTACTGGACCCTTGCCCATCTTGGCTACTCAAGAAAGCCAAGGACAGGATAGGGACCTGGATCCTGGAGGTTGTCAAGGGACAGCCAGGTACCTGCCCCTTTAAAGGAGGCGATAGTCTGGCCAGTCATAAAGAAGGCATCTCTGGATCCAGAGATGGCTGCCAATTATAGACCAGTGGCCAACATCCCATTCTTGGGCAAGGTGTTAGAGCGGGTGGTGGCGGGACAACTCCAAGCACTCTTGGATGAAACTGATTAACTGGACCCATTTCAGTCCGGCTTCAGACCCGGGTATGGTACTGAATCTGCCTTGGTCACCCTGTATGATGACCTGTGCAGGGAGAGAGACAGGGGGAGTGCATCCCTGTTGGTTCTCCTGGACCTCTCAGCGGCTTTCAATACCATTGACCATGGTATCCTTCTGGATAGGCTAGCGGGATTGGGAGTTGGAGGCACTGCTTTGCGGTGGTTCCGCTCCTATCTCAATGGCCGATTCCAGAAGGTGGTGTTGGGGGACTATGGCTCTGCGCCATGGCAGTTATGCCATGGAGTTCTGCAGGGGTCCATTTTGTCCCCCCTGCTATTCAACATCTCCATGAAACCACTGGGAGAGGTCATTAGGAGGTGTGGGCTGCGGAATCATCAGTATGCTGATGATACCCAGCTCTACCTCTCGTTTTCCACCAATCCAGGTGAGGCAGTGGCTGTGCTGAACCAGTGCCTGGCCGAGGTACTGGGCTGGATGAGGGCCAATAAACTGAAGCTCAATCCAGAGAAGACGGAGGTCCTGTTGGTAGGTGGTTCGGGCTTCGGGGTGGGGGACCTGGACCTTGTCCTGAATGGGGTTGCACTCCCTCTTAGGGACAAGGTTCACAGCTTGGGAGTGCTCCTCGACCCTGAGCTGTCATTAGAAGTTCCGATGATGGCAGTGACGAGGAGCGCTTTCCTTCAGCTTTGGCTGATCCATCAGCTGCGTCCCTTTCTGGAGAACGACTGCCTGGTGACAGTGACACATGCACTGGTAACTTCCCGATTAGACTTCTGTAACGCGCTCTACATGGGGCTACCCTTGAAGACTGTCCGGAAACTTCAATTGGTGCAAAACAGAGCTGCCAGGTTGCTAACAGGGACTGGGCGTTGTTCTCATATAACCCCAGTCCTCCGTCAACTTCACTGGAAGCTGACGGAGGACTTCATTGAAGTCCGGGCCCAATTCAAGGTGTTGGTTATGACCTATAAAGCCCTCAATGGCCTGGGACCTGGTTATCTAAAGGAGTGCTTGCGTTCATATATGCCCTCCCGCCCCTTGAGATCGGCAGCAGAGACCCTTCTCCAGGAACCCTCCGTGAAAGATATTAGGAGGGTGAGTACCTGGAGGAGGGCTTTCTCTGTGGTGGCGTCCCATCTATGGAATGCGCTCCCCAGAGAGGTCCGTCTGGTGCCGTCGCTATTTGTTTTTCAGTGCCAGGCCAAGACCTTTTTATTTAAAAGTTATTTTAATTGTTAATTTATTGATTGTATTTATTGGGTTTTTATGTACATGCCGAGATGTTTCCGGTTTTTTAAGTCTAATTATATAATTGTTTATTTATGTTGTAAGCCGCCCCGAGGCCTTTTGTGAATGGGGCGGCATAGAAATGAGATGGATGGATGGATGGATGGATGGATGGATGGATAGCAAAGGAAGTGAATGACCCTTCTTGGCTTGAGACCCTGGAGAGCTGCTGGCAGGCAGGGTAGATGAGGCTGGGCCAGCTGGACAAAGGCTCTGACCTGGTGGAAGGTGGCTTCTTGTGATGCTCTGTAGAAGAGAGTTCTGCATTTGCGTCCGTGCAATTGGCAGCTGCAGCAGGGTCCCTGGTTCCAACACAACCAGTGGGGCACACACCTTTGACATGGTTTCTAGCTTTATCCCAATCCCTTTCTCTCCTGCAGAGCGGCTACACTTTGGCAGTGATGAATGTGGGCGCACCAGCAGCGGGCATGAATGCTGCTGTGAGGTCAGCCGTCAGGATTGGCTTGATCCATGGCCACAGGATGCTGGCTGTGCATGATGGCTTTGAAGGGCTGGCGGAAGGGAAGGTGAGTGATTTTCTTCTAATCTTCCATTCTGCTAAGAACATTCTTTCTTCCTTGCATACGCGATTTGCCAGGGGGTATTATTGCATTGCCATTCAAAAAGATCTGCAGTAAGAAACCCTGTTCCCTCTATTCTTTCTTTCAGATTGAGGAAATCGGTTGGGGAGGAGTTGGTGGCTGGACTGGAAGAGGTGGATCGAGCCTTGGAACCAAAAGGTATTGCCAGGCTGTTTCTACTCAGTAAAAAGATTAAATAAGATGACATTCTGAAATAGCTGAGGTATGCTTTCTCCCACCTGTTACCCTGGTCTACAATCGAAGACACACCCATCACTCTAGTGCCTAAAAATGTGGACTTCTAGAGTGTGAAAGAGTAAAAATTCTCATAGTTTTTGGAGGCAACCTCCTCCTTTCCTGCAAGAGTCGCTGTTCTGGGCACACTTCTTGATGGGAAGAGCAGGGGCTTATGCCAAACTGCCTCAGGTGCAGATGGATAAACTGCATCTCTGCATCAGGAGTAACTGAGTGCTTTCATCATATCCTCTGCTAAAATCCAGTGGAATTACCTGCACTAGTGGAGACTGATTGGAGAGAGGCAAGCCCAGAGCAGTTACTCATGCAGGGGGCACCAGGCAGCCTCCTCTGGGGACAGGGAATGCTCGTGGGTCTCCACACTGAGTCAAACCAAATGCTCCACTCCAAATCACGGCCTCTGCTGAAACATGTCAGAATGGCTTGGGCACTGGCAGATTGATTTATACCTGGGGATTACGGGGATAATGGGGCACCGGTGCTTTCTGCAATTGAACGCAAAGGTGGTATCCCAAGAAGGGAATGCTGGTGTTTTAAAGCTTGTTCCCTCACAGGACTCTTCCCAAGAAATACTTTGAAGAAATCAGCAACAACATTTCTGCTTTTAACATTCATGGGCTCATCATCATTGGTGGCTTTGAGGTAGGTCTTAGGCAAGCCTGGACTCTTTGGAGTAGGGGCAGACCTCTGATGCCCTCCATTGGTCTTGGACTAGAAGATTCCCAGTCCCTAACCTGCTGGCTGGGGCTGATGGGGGTTGCAATCCAAAACACCACTGAGTTATCTGCCCTTCTTTAAAGTAGGAGATAATGGAAGTCAGCCATCGTCTGGAGTATTGCTGCGTGTACTGTCCTCATGAGGAATGCCTCACCTCTCCCAGCATGAGAAAAGGCAAAATGCCTGGGGTGGGGGGGCGGTGGCACAAGTGCACAAGGGGGGTGGCATCAGTCCATGCAGCTGACACCCACTCATGACTCATGATGGAGCAATGTCCACCATGCATGCGCCTCCCTCCCTCCCTCCCTCCCTCCCTCCCTCCCTCTCTCTCTCTCTCTCTCTCTCTCTCTCTCTCTTGCATCCTTGGTTTATAGGGTTAACAGGCTGATGCAGCAGTGTGCACATTTTCGTGCTCCACAGAACTCTCTCCCGAGGCACAATGTCGCAGTCGTGGGCTGGAGGAAACACCCCCTGGGACAGCATCTCTTTCCCAAGCTAGTTCAGCCAAGGGAAGGGGGTGGGGGTGGGTTCAGTGGTTCCCTGGAGGCAGCCAATTTTGGGGGGAGACTGAGGCTGGGAATGGAGAGCTTGATTTGGGGTGTGGGGAGGAGTGGAAAGAAGCCTCAATTCAAGGGACCTTCAAGGACTCACACCTCTCTGCAGACATTAGGAGTGAACCCTGAGCACAAGTGGGTGGCTCGTGCTGCCAGCCGAGGTGATCCTTTCCCCTTTTCATAGGCCTTTACGGGCAGCCTGGAACTCATTGAAGGCCGATGCAAGTTTGAGGAGCTCTGCATCCCGCTCTGTGTGATCCCCGCCACTGTCTCCAACAACGTTCCTGGCTCCGACTTCAGCATCGGTGCAGACACTGCCCTGAACACCATCACATCGGTATGAGCCTCGCTGGCCTCCGAGCTCAGACTCAGTTGCTTTCCATATGCTCCAAGCTGCCCTTCCTGAAGTAGCAGTTCAGCATCAGGTTTGCCGCAGCCGGCACCTCCCTGTTCCCTCTTGCAGCTGCAGCCAGAGCTGGACCAAGGACAGAAGGGCCATGGCAGCCTTCTTCAACCTGGCAGCCTCCAAATGTATTACAAGATGGCAGTGTTGTGTAATGGTTAGAACACTGGACTGGACCCTGAGGACCCACATTCTAGTCCCCACTCAGAAGTGAAGTGCACTGGATGACTTTGGGCCAGTCAGTGATTCCCAGCTTCACTGAACTCACCAGCTTGCTGTAAAGATAAAACAAAGAGGAAGGATGCCTTGTTCCTTGTAAGAGAAAAAACGGCATTATATATATGATGTAACCAAACAAACCTGTGTTGGATTGCAACTCCTCTCACCATATTTAAGCTCAGCCATGTTGGCTGTGGAGGATGGGAGTTGCAGTCAAACATATTTGGAGAGCCCTAAGTTGGAAGGCTGGTCTGCTCGTATAGGCAAGGCTGCATATTTTGTAATATCCTGCAAATCTTGGCTTTTATGTTTGTGTTTAACATTTCTAGTCCATAAAGGTACAATACCAGCTAAAACACAATCAACAGCTGAGGAGCAGTGAGGTAGGAAAAAAGTAGTGCTTTCCTTAGCTAGTGGGGCAGGGCTTGTTGCTATTGCCCACAGCTGGGAGGAACCAATTAAAAGCTGTGGGTTTGCAGCATTGAAACAGGCTGCAGAAACCAGCTTTTCATGATGCAGAATCTAGAGTTTATTCCGTAGGCATCTCTCTTGGAAAGGATCTTAGGCAGCTGGACTGGAGACCCCTCTGCCAGAACCGCTGGGGGAGCTGCTACCAGCCGCCCTCCTAGTCAAGTGGATCCATGGCTTTAGGCACCTTCCTGGGTGCAAAAGCAGTGGGCAGAGGCCGTGGCTCTGGGACAGAGCATCTGCCTTGCATGCTGGAGGCTCCGTGTTCCCTTGCAGGAATCTCCAGCTAGGAAGAGCACCAAGTGCAGGGGTGTGCAAGTCCCTTCTAGGCCACAGAACCTTGGAGCTGGCGGAGCAGAGGCATAGCTGCTCACCCATCCTAGTGCCCTCTAGATATTCTGGACTACAACTCCCGTCATCCCTGCCCATTGCTCAGGCTGTTGGGGCTGCTTGGAGTTGGAAGTTGAACAGATCTGGGGGGCACCAAGTTGGCGCTGGCTGGGTGTGGATGTCTGAACCCATGTTGAGGTCTTTTTCTGTATGTTTATAGTCTCAGAGATGCCCAATGTTCCAAAGGGAAATTTCCCTGCCTATTTATTGTTAGTCACGAAGTCGCGTCCGACCCAGTGCGACCCCATGGGCAACACTCCTCCAGGTCTTCCTGTCCTCCACCATCCCCCAGAGTCCACTTAAGCTCACGCTGACTGCTTCAGTGACTCCATCCAGCCACCTCATTCTCTGCCTATCAGTTCTTTCAAAAACACTAGCCTCCTTATAGAATTGGCCAGCTTTTCTTTGACACGTGGTTTGTTTCATCCCCAGACTTGCGACAGGATCAAACAGTCTGCAGCCGGCACCAAGAGGCGCGTGTTCATCATTGAGACTATGGGAGGGTACTGTGGCTACCTGGCTACCATGGCAGGTTTGGCTGCCGGAGCAGATGCGGCCTATATTTACGAAGATCCTTTCACTATCCATGACTTGGAGGTGAAAACCGTTTGTGGATGCTCAAGAGACAGCTGCTTGAAAACCATGCCTGCTTCAGCGAGGGCCAGCACAGGGTGAATCCGGTTCATGGAGCTCCTTCCGTGAATGGGGAAGGACAGTAGCCCAGTGGCGGAGCCCCTGCTTTGCATGCAGAAGACCATGGCCTCTCCAGATGGGGCTGGGAAAGACCCTTGCCTGAAACTTTGGAGAGCTGCTGCCAGCCAGTGTAGGCAATACTGAGTTGGATAAATGAGGTTTTTATAAGGCAACTTCCTGCATTCCTTCCACATTTGCAACTTTCCTCATGGTGTCCTTGAGAGGGGGAAGGATCAATTGGAGGAAGACACCAGTATTCCTCTTGATCCAGCTCAAGGCTGCAGGATGTCCCAGGTCAATGCTCAGCATCTCCAGGTAGAGCTGGGAAAGAATCCTGCCCAAAGGGAAGCTGTGCCAGCCAACACTAACAATCCTGAATCAGAAGGACTGCCTTGATATAAATCAGCTTCCTGTGTCCCTCCCGAGCGGCCTTCGTGGCAAATATTAGAACAGCAATTCTGTTTGCTGGGGCAGCAATGGTAAATGGTTAGAGAAGCACTAGCATGACACAAGACATACATGAAAGAGAGGTTGCCAAATGTCTCTCTGCACAGTTCTGGCCATTCCGCCAACCTGCACCCATGAGGAGCAGGGCATTCTGTGTGTGTGGGTGGGGGGGCAAGTGCTCCAGATAGAACAAACGGAAGCCATAATTCCAGAGCAAAGCCAGCCTGGGCTAACAGACATTTGGGCAGCAAACACTGTATTGCAGTGTCAACACCTATGCTTTTCCTGCACACCATCACTAATTAAATGGATTGCAGTTTGAATGTTAGTAAATGAGTAGAACTACTGCTTTCATATCCACATTCCCAAACATGATTTCATAGGTTGGCTTTCCCCAACCTGGTGGAGTCCAGATGGTTTGAACTTCAACTCCAAGAGTCCCATCCAGTATGAACAATGGCTGGGAATCCTGGGAACTGAAGTCAGAAAGCATTTAGAAGGCGGCAAGTTGGGAAACGTGGTCACAGGCTTCCGTGCAAATATTAAGCTCCCCGCTAGCTGATAACCAATCTTGGCCTTGGAAAGTTTTTTCAGGTGCCCCCTGTGTAGAAGATATGGTTGGCTGCATGGAAAGGCTGGGAACTGGACTTGTGTAGCAAACTCGTGATGCCACATTTGGAATGTGTTTCTGAGCAGTTTTGGAGAGGGATGCCTGCTCCTCCTTTGCCTCAGAATCCTAAGAAGCCGCATTCTTTCTTTGGTTCACAGATGAATGTGGAACACCTGACTGAGAAAATGAAGACCACAGTGAAGAGAGGGCTAATACTGAGGTATGGGACTGCAATTAACCATCAGAAGTAGAAGAGGATAGGAGGCTTATGTAAGTTTTCCATTCTTTAGGAGGGTGAAGAAAGATGCAGCATTGGAAGATGACAGAAGCAGATCTGCTTCTCTTTTAACCATGCAAGCTTTTCATTCAAGCAATAAACCAGCCTTGGTTTGACACCTTTTCAAGCACAATGCTTGAATTGGGGAAATCTGGTTGTGGAAGGTGTCTGTTGCCTAGCATCTTTGCACTACCAAATGTGCCTTCTCTCTCTCACCCCCGACTTAAAATCCTGGTGCAGTTTGTGAAGTGCATGTGGAAAGTGAAAGAGGGATGTATAAATGAAATCTTAAAATAAATATTAGTCTTTTTTAAAAGCTTTAGGCCACCCATCTGATTCCTGGTGGAGACAGGCAAGACTAAGAGGCTGATTTTTGCATTTGACCAATGCATATTTAGGACACACTTTGTAGCATGAAGAAGCTGCTGTGGTTGCTCTTTAAACACTGTGCCTGTCTTTTACCTAATTTGGGAAGACGTTCCCTCTCTTTACAAAGGTGCTTTAAGAACTGTTGCTGGAGCCTTTGTGGTTCGGTGTTCTCATATTAAGCTGGAGTGCATATGAAGGTACAAGAAGGATTCTTGTAGTTTGATGCCACAGTGGTATTTTGCAATAATTTAAGTAGAAGTGCCCAGCATGATTATCTCAGCGTACAGCTTGTTATTCCTAATCCTAAACTTTGGAATTTTAACAATGTATATGTATTTTAAAAACTCTTTCATTCTTCCAAGTCTAGGCAAAGGTCCTGGCTGAAAATCTTTCCCAATCTAGAGCCATTTCAAGTGTACAGAATTTCAAGAGCAGTACTCTCCCTTGCTTCCCGGTAGTAAATGGCAAGCTACAGGTTGGTTATGTTAACCACCTTTGGGTTGCTCATTGAACTCTAGCTGTAGATAGCAAGGAATTACTGTGTAAAAAAGCAAGATGCTGCCACCAGTTTCTTATGGATTGATGGTACAATGTCTGATTCCGGAATATAAGAAAATAGGTTGGCTGGTTAAGTCAGGGCTTATTCTGAAACACCCCAAATGTCTTCCAGAGGGTCCCTCCAAATCAAGTTGAGAGACCTGATTTGCACTCAAGTCTCCCAACAACTACTTGCCTCGGTCAAGGTCAAGAAGAGGTGGGCTTTTGGGCCCAGTGCCAGCATGGTCAGGTGAATGCTAAGGCCTATAATGCCAGGAGAGCCCACTGATCTGGTAGGCAGGCGTGTTGCAAATGAAGCGCCAGCCAAAGCTGCAGCTGCTCACTCTCTTTTCCTGGAATGCCTCTGGGCCTTGATGAATGGGGACCCAGGGGAAAATGCATCCCCTGCCCAGTGCTCCCTGGTGAGCTTCCGGGGGGGGGGGGGGAGCACTGGAGTGGCGCAAGTCTCCTCAGAGGCCACCTTGCCCAAGGGCTCCTCAAGCCTGGCACAGGCTGGCCAAAATCAGATTGAAGTGGCTGCAAGTGCTTGGGAATAGTAAATGATACTGTTGGTAAATGATACTGATATTGGGCATTTTGGTTTTATTTGTTATAGTTATATCTTGCCTTTTTTCCCTGTACAACCCTGCAAGGTAGGGTAGGCTGAAAGTCAGTGAATGGCCCAAACTCACCCAGTGAGCTTCATGGCCAAGTGGGGGCTGTAATCCTGCCCCCCAGAATTTCCGTGCAAAATTCAAACCACTGTGCTGCACTGGTTCTCAGCACACAGAAGAGGGTTCATTAGTTAAAAGCCTAGGGCCCATCATTGTGTAAGATTCCTTCACCAGTTAGACTGTAAGTAAGGCTTGACAGAGGCAATGGTCTTAGTAGTTCACTATGACAAGCCATGTTTTCCTTTAATGCAAAACTTATGTACCAGTGTGTTAAAGCCACTTCTTAATCTCGAATGGCCCTATCTCCCTGCATTATTTATGCTAGATCTCTCTCTCTCTCTCTCTCCTCCCTCCCTCCCTCCCTCCCTCCCAGGAATGAGAAATGCAATGAAAACTATACCACTGAATTCATATACAACTTGTATTCTGAAGAAGGAAAAGGCATTTTTGACACCAGAAAGAATGTTTTGGGACATATGCAGCAGGTATGTCTGGTGCCCAAGTATACTTCTGGTGCACAAGCAGGCTTAATAACAGTGTTATTAACTAGAAGGAGTTGAACTATACCAGAAGAGAGACAGGTAGGCTGGATAGAAAATCGCCAATGAGTCGTCCTTCCCAAGTCCCCTGGCTGGAAGTTTTGTTGTAATCATTGTATGGTCATCTTGGTGGGCCTAAAAACCCATGTTCAAACTTGGGGAACTGTGACTTGTTGGAAGAAAGGGAGAACGTTGTTTGAGAGAACATGCCAGGAACAACAGAGTTTCAGATTCTAGCTTGCTCTCAGCTCTGCCATGCTGGCTGAATTGCCTTTTTTCAGCCCCCAATACATGGCACAGTACATTAGGAACCCGTGGATCACCCCAAGGTGGAGGAAGTGGGCAGGATGGCGATTTCTGTTAATTCCTTCTTCCCTCTGCAACCTCAGCCTATTCTGGAAGATTCCCCAACATTCCACAGCACATTTGGGAGAGTGTAGGAAGGCTGTGAGGAGGGGAAAGAAATCTCTAAAGATTTCTGTCTCATTGCTTTCCTCCAGCATAATCATCCAGTTCATGGAGTTTCATTCCCTGCAGCTCTCCATTCAGTTCATTCGATATAGCTGAGCATGTTTGCCTTCAGGTACTGCGAGTTCTTGTCACTTTCCCATGCAAGTTGAAATCTAGTAAATTTATTCAGTTTGAGCAAAACTGTGAAGCATTTTTAAGAAGCATTTAATTTTCATTTAGGGAAAAATCACTGCCTCTGTGGGGTCATGCAGGATCATGCTCTCAACCTCACTGCTTTAATTGGGGCATACATTTTAATCAGCAATCGATGTGACTGATTCTAACTGTATCCAATTTCAACAGCATCATGGCAATTAATCCTGTTGGAAGAGTCAAACCACTGAGCTGCCCACAAACTGCTTTGCCTCAACCATGATTCTGAAAAGAACAGCAAACCCACTCCTTTTCTCATTGCAGGGCGGCTCGCCAACTCCCTTTGATCGAAATTTTGGAACAAAAATGGGTGCCAAAGCAGTGGCGTGGATGTCTGGCAAGGTCAAAGAGTGTTCCAGGCATGGTATGTGGGAACCTGCCGCTTGAAGACCTATTAAACAGCCTAGGCTGCTGGGGATGGTGGTGTGTGGAATTTTCAAAAAGGAAAAGTGAGAAGGGAATCCAGTAAAGTCCCACTCTTGCTTTGTGCTCTTAAAAGGAGGTAACAGCCTGCAAATTTGCATAGGGTGCTCATTATGTCCAGGCTTGTAAGGGGTGTTTTACTGTCTGGCTGTGTGCTAATGAATACTTTTGCGCAGTGCCTCAGGGCTGCTTATGAATCAGCATGCAATGGTTTAAAAGAACAATTAAACTAGCAACATTTTCACACTAGAGATTTCACTACTACACAAATGCTTTTAAAAATAAGTTGGTTTCAATCATATGCCAGAAAGCTGGCAGTGATGCAACTTGGTAGACCGGTCTAGAGAAGACACTCACAGGGAAGGTGCCACCCCTGAAAAAGCCCTGCTGCTTTGTTTGCAGCTGTCAGGGCTTTGGTATAGCACACTTTGTGATATTGAGTTTCATATGATCTAAGCACTTACACAAGTAGGTGAAGGTTCTCCATGTGAGGTCCTGGCCCCAGTCTGTTTGGCACTTCAAGGTAAGAACTAGCTCAGAATCATGGCCAGAAATCTTCTGATTGTTTTATTCATAATATACCCTTATTCCAAGGTAGTTTGTAATATAAGCAATAAAAAGCTCAAGTTCCAATGTTTCAGAGAGTGGACCAGGTGAGCATTTTGTGTCCTTTCTTTTTCAGGTCGTATATTTGCCAACACTCCTGATTCAGCTTGCCTTCTGGGCATGCGCAGACGGGCCCTTGTGTTCCAGCCACTTGCGGAACTTAAAGAGCAGACAGATTTTGAGTAAGTTTCTCTTATGCCATCTCTGTGGGTGCAGTCAGCAAATAAGGAAGGACTTTGGTAACTTGCAGCTCACCAGATCTGCTAGACTCCTTAGAATTTTTTTCTTAAAAAAAAAAAAAAAAAAAGAATCTTGTCCTCATTGTTTGAAAAATTGTTTCTATTGTGATTGAAAAAGATGCTTTAAGTCAGAAGTGTTAGTACATGATTATTATGGTAAGCGCCTATAGCATAGCACATAGGTCAGCAAGTTCTCCCAGTCTATTTTATAAATACAGGAACAGTCAAAGTTACCTGCAGGAGCACAAGCTGTGTTTAGTGACTAACTTTAGTCCATTCACTTCTGGGTCAGTGCAAGCTTTCAGCAGGCCCTGACCAAGGACCCCTTCACCCCTTCTGCCCCCCACAAGCGTTACTTTACACCCGGACAAAATCACCAAGTGGCAGACATGCTGACAAGAGCTGCAGCTCCAGCCCAGCCACCTGCTGCTCCCTCAGCCCAAGGAAGGAGGCCAGAGGGCTGCCGGTACCATCTCTTCTCAACTGCTGTGCTTACATGACACACTAAGCCACCTTGTGCATAAGCTGCAGGAGGTTGGTGCTTCACAGCCCAAGTGTGCCCAACAGGTAATTGTGCTCACTGTGGACTGTTCTCCCTCACCTTCCACCTTGGTCCTTCAGCAGCTATCACAGTCCCCTTCACAGCAGGATCTGTTTTCTTTTCTGCTCCCTCTAATGATTGCTCCTTTTGCTGCCTTTTTTCAGCGCTACAGAATGTGGCCCCCCAAAATTGTGCATTTACAGTTATAATTCTATTACATTTTGTTGATTTTGTTAAAATTTTTATGGAAAGCCACTAGAGAGCTTCTAGGCTATAGGGTGGCATATAAATGCAACAAACAAACAACATTCATTAGTCTTCTGGAGTCATTCTGGGTTGATGCCCTTGTCAGTTTTAGCATTCAAAGCATATGAAGTGTAGTTGGTAACGTGGATGAGAATTACCAAGGTGATTGAACACAGTTGAATAGATCTAACTGGGCTGTCAAATTAAAATCAGTGGTGAAGGGGAAAAAGTACATGCACCTTTCACATTTTCATCTAATTCCAGAGAAAGGAGATATTAGCTCCCCAGGCTCCTTTTCTGTCTGTCCACATTTCTACACATTCCTGTGGAAAGCAGTGTAGGATGTTGGCATCTCTAGTTCCAAACCTTGGAGTGCTACTGATACAGGGAATGAATGACAGTTTTTGCTAATTAAAGGATTTCCTGGCGTGTCATTGATACCTTCCGTTTAGAACTGGTTGTTGGAAACTTCCTGAGTAACTTGCCAAGACCATGGGATGGATCACACTGCCATGGTGATTCTCACCTCCCCTCTTTCCAACAGGCACCGCATTCCCAGGTGTCAGTGGTGGCTGAAGCTTCGTCCCATCCTGAAGGTCCTTGCCAAGTACAAGATTGATCTGGATACATCAGAGACGGCGCACTTAGAGCATATCACTCGCAAGAGAGTATCTGGCGAAGGGGCTTTGTGAACAGCTTAGGAAACTAGCTCCAGCTCTCCCTTGAATCATGAAACTCAAGACCATTAAAATAAATCCATTAAAATAAATCTTCAAATTCCTTCAATTCCAGTTTCCATCCTAGTGTTTTTGTGTATTGGTTGAGGCTGCATGTTCGCCACAAACGGAAGCAAGAGGTGCTATGCCAGGAGCAGAGGGCCATAGCTCCATTTACAAAGAAGCAAGGCTTGGGCAGATCTAGTGCCATGTTCTTTAGCTAGCTTAGGGCAGATTACAGTGGGCTCCCGTGCTCTTGCATCTGAAACTGGCCAGGTCCACCCCTCTTCCTTTAGCCTTACCAGTGCTGTAAAACTTGGCCGTACATTGTGCTTCTGCAGAATTGTTTGGAATGGGAATTTCAAAAGCATTTAAATTGATCTTACTGAATTTTTAAAGTGACAGAATGAATTTGCTATTACCTCTTCTACATGAACATAAATGGAAACTACCCCAGAATGCAATCTTAGAATAAATTTACACTTGTGCCTTCATCACTTAAATTCTTCCAAGTGTTTAAGATAAAACAGGAACTATCTGACCAGAAGTTTTAAGGTGGATCCCCCTGCTTAATAGTATGGTCTTTTTGCCCTGAAGGAACATGCACAATATCCAGATGAACTGCAGCTACAATAGATTGCAGGAAGTACCTTTTGTGTGCCTGTTATATTCAATACATTTTAACGCACTTCTTGCCTACAAAAGCACTGGGGGTCCACAGTGCAACAGAACCAATTCTTTATCTTGTTACCTGATGGTTTCACTAGCAATAGTATTCCTCAAGTGGTAAAGGGTCCTTTCAACACCTATTATCAGTTTGTAAATGGGCATAAATGTGATGCATCTGTGACTGCTCATCCAGCGTGAGTAAATTCCCCAAGATTGTTTGGGTAATCTGCAACTTGCTGTACAAGCACCAGCCTCCTAAAGCAGTTGCCATAAAATCGCAAATGATAAAGTAACCCATCTTGTAAAATAAGAACAACAGAGAAGGCTAAGAGTGAAAAGGCATCTACTTGATGGCAAAAAGAACGGACCACTGGCAAACCTTTGTGGAGCCCAGTGCCACCATGGAAAAGATCCTTGAGGGGTCACAACCTGCCTGCTTGCTGCTAGGCCAGACAGAAGGTCCTCTGAGGCAAACCTGGCAGTAGCCTCCTTGGGCCACTAAGAATTTTTGTATTTGGGACTATCATATTTAATATGCATCCCACCATTTTTCTCTTCTTGTAAGGAATCTTAGGCTATCTCTATAATCCTCTCTCCATTTTATCTGCACAACAAGCCTGTGCTGAGAGTCTATGCCAGTCACCCAATGAGTTTCATAGGCAACTAGGGATTAAAACAGGTCTACCAACTCTGAGTACTACACTCTAACCGCTCTGCCACACTAAGTCCGATTGAATAAGCGTGTCCTCATCTCTCCTTTCCCTTTACTCCAGTTGTGATATTCTCCGGTTTCAGGCACAGCTGCACTTCAAGTTGCTACATGTCTCAACAGGCTTCCATTTAGGATGGCATCACCTGCCAAGTATTGCCCCCACCCCAGCAAACAAAGCACAAGCCCACAGGTCACAATGGTTCCAGGTCAGATGCTCTGGCCTAGCACCTCCCATCATCCCTCACCATTGTAGGTACCACAAGTTGTCCACCCCTGCTCTAAAGTTAAGTTCCTGTCTTTTATGCTGCAGTGCTAGGTTTGGTAAAGTTCCAGCCTCTTTCTCTATCTTTGCCATACAAGGAAATGACTTGTAAAGAAAGTCCCGATGAACAGCAACGGCAGCTGTGTAAGGAAGCTGTTCTTCCTACATGCCTTAGCTTTCCTATAGGTCAGTGGTTCTGTTGCTATTCAAACTGGGATGGAAGGAAGGGGAATTCAAGACCCCTTTCTCTGGGTCTTCTGCAGATGAGTTTATCAGCAGGCAAAATTAATTCAGCCATTCAACTAAAACATTAAGTCCCTTGTTAGGAATTAAGTTTATTCACAAAATCACTGATGGCCCCACAAGGGCAAGGATTAGCCTGGAAGATGTTTGTAGACCTGACGGTATTCTGGCTGTATTCTGGGCATATAGAAGACAGTTGTCAACAATGTAGACAATACTAGGGGTCCTTGAAACTAATTGCTGTTTCTAACCAGAAGGGAGCACTTCACATTCCAAACTCCTCCAACAAAATCCACTTCTTATTAGAAGGAAAAAATCAGTATTAGTTGCTGTACATACTGTGAACACCAAAGCATGGCCTGTCAGACCAGAAAAGTCTAGATGGGGAAACAAATCTGGTAAATGTCTAGAGGAGATATTTCAAGAGGCAACAATAGGTCTTCAGCATGAACACAGTGACAGCACTAGCCATGCTACAGATTATGGAACTGACATGCAGTTTGCATAAAAAATACACAGCAATATCAATGCTGTCCAATACACCAAAAGTTTAATCAAGAAAGTTTTAATATCCCACACAAGTCATTAGCTCACTGAATAAACCTTCCTCCATAGCAACCAAATTGGGGAACAGGATTCATGGAGCTTACAGCATGATTAGTTTCTCACATCGTGTGGCTTTCTGAATGCTTAGCATGTGATTAGGCAGGCCCAAACCTATGGGAAAGAAGAGATAGCAAGGTGGGATGGTATTGATTGCAATGCACTTAATTACCCTTATATAGAAGATGTGAAGCGAGGGAGCAGTTCTTCCATGTTGCCTGTACAGCACGGAAAGCAATGCATCTTTGTAAGTGCATCTCCAAATGGTTTGGACTTCAGCTCTCATCATTCCTGACCCTTCACCATTTTGGCAAGGGAAATCCAAAACATTTGGAGATTTACCACCTTACCTTGGCTTATGTCTAAATAGCCTCTATTTACACTATATAGCCTCAGAACAGAAAGCCATTGAATATAAGGTCACTCAGTGATGAGAGCAGTTATTTCAATATAGCCTTATTGAAACACTGTTCCCTCCCTGCCACAAGCCAGTATAGAAGTGTGGTATCATCCTAAAGGAAAGTGTGAGGGACTCTCCAGGAATCCCGGAGACAGCCTGTGTTAAAGAGTGAGGGAATCCCAGGAGCACCTTCCCCCAATTGCCAGAAGTCTTATTTCCATGTCTGGGTTCTGACTGGGTAGCAGAAAGCAATGCCTCTAAGGCAACATCACCTAGATGAGCCTGCATTTAGACACATGCTAACTCTTTCCTCTCATCTATGGAAATTCTATTCTCCTGGGGGGAAATAATGCTGCAATTGTAAAATCAGAGACAGCTGCACCAGCTATCAAGAATCTAAGGAACACTGGGAATTTAGCAAACCACTCAAGCCCAAGACTGTCTTGGAGGAGTTGTTAGAAACTTGTCAATAATTGCAGGATTCCATCACAGTCAGAGGGAATGAAACCTGACTGCGCTTGATACTAAGCAACTTGCTGTGCCTGATTTTTTTTTTTTTTTTTTTTTTGAGGGAGGGGGAGGCTGGGCACACCTTCAACTCACCCTTAAGTATGAAAATACCACCACCTCTACACATGTGGGCAGTTCTCTTGAAAAGGAAGAGAGGAAGTCAGCATAGGATGGTGGAACTGAAAGGCGGGAATGCCACTGAGCAGGCTACAGAGCAGCACTGCTAGGCTCAGCATTAAGGTGCTCAATGCCACTCTCAAGCCCCTAGGTTAAATACACACTGCAAGTTTTAAAGCCATTAATAAAACACACACTTTGGATAGAGAACTTACTCCCTTATCACTATACAAGGGAGATCAATACATGTACTTGGACCTATACATGTACTGGGATTTTTTTTTAAAAGGAGACAAAATGGAAAAATACACAATGAACCATGGTCTCCAGGTAGCCATACTGGCTGCCTTCTGTTTTGTGACTTTGCTGGGCCCTCCTTGTAAATAAAGTCTGGATCTAGGCATGCAGCAGAATGACGTGGGAACAGGAGGTACTCCCTGGCAGTACAGGATGCTGCCCACACATTTCAGAATCAGCTGCGCTAGTTTGCTTCCTTATATAATAAACAGAGGAAAGACTACTTATGAACTTCTCCCCATAGTGTTTAGTCTTCTACTAGCAAGGAGCCCCAGCCATTCCCAAATCATTCTTCACCCCTTCTAAAGTAACACAGTCCATCACCAGCTCAGGAATCTACTGCTGCACTCTGTGGCATGTGCAAAGCTGGCCAAAAGTAACAGCAAACACGATCCAGTCCTTTGGAGAGAAGTCCTCTTCTCCTACTACTTTGGCACCTCTCACTGATAGAACAGGAAAGAGAGAGACGAGGTAATGCAACAAAGAAGGGCTCTCTAATTCCTACAGGAGCAGATTATCCCGCCAGGCCTGTTTGTTCAAATCCATTACTCAAAGCACTGCAAGCCCTTGAAAGGAATGGCTTACCTCCTGATAGAAAATGAAATGGCAGAACAGGTCTGATGATTTGAGAGTGCAAAACAAGGAGGCAGGTTGGGTCACTAAAATGCTTTGGGATGTGCAATGACACTAAACCAGCTGTTGCCACCCCCTCCCTCAAACTGTTAAGCAGCTCCAGAAGGCAGCTCTACCTTCTCTTCCTGCGAAATTCCCAGCAGAAACTGGATTTCTAAGATTCCAGGGAAGATCAGCTGCAGGAGGTGGAGAGCAGGGCTGTTTCACGAAGCCTCCCAGCCATGACAGGCCGTAAAAAATTTTTTCCAGCCTCCACCATTGAATGAAATGTAAGTGCAGCTGGGAGAGACTCTAATGGAAAACCAATGCCAGAGCAAGGAGGGACCCATTTACCTGGGAGGTTACAAAAAGACCTGCCAAATCTGTCTCATGTTGCCATTACAGTCAGTGCAAAGCGCCAGGGAAGAGCTGCACAAGAATCGCCCTGGCTGCACTCGTAACAGACTCCTACGAAGCATTCGCTGTCACTTAAGCAGCACATATTCTTTCAACGACTCTGGCAAAGGCAGCTCCTTCACCGCATCTGGCAGGAACTGCACTCCTAGGCTCCGACGCACGGCATAGCGTGACAGCGTCTTTAAAGTGCCTGGGGCAGAGCACAGCGTGGTCAGCTTTCCGCAGAGCTGCTGATCACGCAGAACCTCCCGAGGCATGGCACCGTTCTTGCGCAATTCAAAGTGTCCGACAGCTCTGTGGAGGAGATCGAAGCAAGCCTCTTCCCTCTCAGTGCCAAGTCCTCTGACCAGCAGGGCAACCAACCTTGAGATTGGGGTCTGTCCTTTCAGGTTGACCACCCGCACTTCAGCCCCATATTCCAGAAGGATGCTCACGCTCTCCAAGTTCCCTTTCATCGCTGCCCAACTGAGAGGAGTGTCGTTGTTGTAATCCAGAGCATTGACAAAGGCCCCGCTTTCCAACAGTGTCCGGACACATTCCGCATTGTTCTTAAAGGCGGCCCAGTGCAGGGGTGTGTCCTTGTTACCATCCAGTGCATTTGGGTTTGCCCCATATTCTAGGAGGATCTCCACACAGGTCTCATCCTTTTCTGCTGCATAGTGAAGTGCTGTTCGGTTGTACCCATCAAGGGCATTGACCTGCAGCAAGAGAGAAAGGGCTCTTCAGAGGATCAGTCAGAGAAAACTGACCTGAAAATTCACCTAAAGACAACTGGACAGTGGAATCCCTTCCACCTCGTGTCTCCATTCACATTCAGGGAAACATCCCTGTCAAGTTAATGGGATTAAGCAAATGAGGCACCCAGAGTAACATTCTGGAACAGGTCTCATGGAGCACAGCAGTTCAGGTGGTTGCCTTGCTTTCACGTTTAGAGGCAGAGCCCATCTGGTGCAGGCAACCAAAAGCGGGTGGCTCTCTGCATCTTCCTCTGGCCTGTGAGCTTCCCAGGATTGATTGATTGATTGAAGGCTGCCCATTAGCATCACACTCTCTGGGCAGCCATTACAATAAAATGACACTGTTAAAAACAAAATAGGGTAGCAGAAGATGCCTTGCTAAAATCCAGCATAAGCAATTCTTATGTATTCTGGGCTTCTGCCTCCATTTAGTTTATTACAAATTCTAGGTTTGCTCTATTTAAATTTATTAGATAAGAACCTTTGAAAGTGGTAACTTTTAAACAAACACAGGCTGCTGACCTTGTCCATATCCTTGGAAACCAGATGTCAAGTTTCCCCTCCCCTTTGATAACACTTAATTCCAACTTTCTTGTGTCCTGGTGGTTATCGTGCGGAGCCATTCTGCTTCACTGGAAGCACAGTCAGTGGGACAGGGAACGATTACAATGACACCAAAGCACAAGCACTATGCATTACAGCAGTGGAGAGGAGAGCTTGAAAACAGGTTGCTTTCTCTAACAGGTGTGTGTAATATACATACTGTTCTACCCTCAAAAGCAATTTGTAACACTTAATGGAGGCCTGCTGCCCTAAAGAAAAGGATAAACAAAAATTGCCACTAAAGCACTAAAATAGCCCTTTAGATCTCTACCATTATACAGAACTGTGCTTCATTGAATTCAATATATATGCTGGGGACAAACTGGCTTTTTGGTGGCAGTACAGCCAATTGGTGAGAGCTCTCAACAGCCTTTCTTAGGATTGTGCATGTGTGCTACAGTTTGGATTATCATCATTTAAAGCTTCCCAGATAAAAGGGCACCTGATTCAAGGGAGGCATGAAGGAAAATTGCACTTACCACATTGGTTCCTCAGAGGGCAACCTTGCAGATGCTTTGGCCCCAGAACTCTCATCAGCCCAAGCCAACATAGCCAATGGTGAAAGCTGATAGGAGCTACAGTCCAGAACCTCTGAAGAAAATTGGCCACCCCCACATTAACACACAAACAGGATAATGTGAAGACTTTTTTTTTAATAAGAGGGAAAAAAACCTTTCACACTGCAAAAGAAAAGCTTTTTAAGCCTTTGCTAAAAAGCTAACGTAGTGGCTGTGTCAGTCCTCACTAGTTTTGAGATGTCGATCTACATCTCCTATCACCCCCAAAGGCTTTCACCTATGCCATGAATGCACTTGATGGCCTTTGACAAGTCATTCATGCTCAACTCATCCGCAATACAGTGGATGGGGGTGGTAAATATATTGGTCAACTGTTGCATTTCAGCAGTTGTATGGGTCTGTTCTTAAATTGTATTCAAACTCTTCTTACCTCAGCTCCTTTTTCCAACAGCAGCTCAATGCAATCGGCATCAGCAACCATGCAAGCACAGTGCAAGGGCTTCAGGGTACCGTGCATACAGTTGACATCTGCACCCTGGAAGAACATAAGGGGTGGGGGAGAAAGAAGGAGATTCAGCAAGTTCATCTATTCCTGCCTATCACTGGAACAAATGTATTGCAATGTAAACTTGTTGTTTATATTGAAAGATATCAGATCAGGATGCTTCTTATCTATCGTAAGTTCAGGGTCATGTAACTTAAATTTAAAAAGCTAGCTCCTGTCAGTCTCTTCATGTTCATTGCTTTTTATTTAGTTTCCTGAACATTCCAAACACAGTTCTAAGAAAACAGCAGAGATAAAACTTGTATCCCACAAAGTCTGCTCATTTCAAGAAAGTTGGGAGAGAAAAAGTTGCATCTTTTTTGCTCTTAGAATCCCTCTGTGGAACACTCAAAGGATCTGCACAGAGTTCCATCAATTATGTCTGGGCTTTGTAGGAACCTCTACCTCCCCCACCTGCCAATTATGGAGAAGGAACAACAGCACAAGTGGATGCAGGACCCATTAATTTGAATCCTTGCAGGTTTCTTTCCAAAAAGCAAACACTGTTCCCAATTTCTAGCAAATGCATTACAATAGAAGAACACAGACTTTCCCCACCAGCAAAATAAATAATCAATCCACCCCTGGCTTGTCGAACCTCCATTCAGCAATTGGCACAATTAAAAAAAACTTCCCTCCCTGGCCCCTCTAACTTCCGTGCCTAAAGCGGTCTTTCCTGTTGTTTGCACCCACTGAAGTAGTGGAGGCTGGCAGCACCCATGTTGGTGGGGTGGTATATCCCACTCTAGGCTTCAACCTGAACTCAAAGGACCTATCCTTGCTGCTGAGCCCTATTTCCAAAACAGGTGCAGCACCATGGATAGCTTCTTAAAAATTTAGGCTATGATCTGGAGCAGCTACACTGCCCCACTGATACTGCAGCCACCAGTCTAAGCACTTCATTAGTTTCCAGCAAGCATCTGGAACTTTCAAAATCAGGCCAAAAAATCTAGAAGACACCTCCCTTCCCAAAGAAATTTATTTTTTTCTTCAGTCCTGTCCTTCAGACCTTAAATCACCCTCCAGAGGACAAGAGGGAAGTTGGAGCAAATTTTTTTAAATTATTTTGACGTGGAAAGTGTGTGTCCATGCGGAGAGAGAAACCAGATCACAGGAGGGGCTGGAGAGGAAAAGGACACTGCAGAAGTGGAGATGCAGAAGGAAGAATGCAGGCAAGCACTAATGGACAGAAGCAAGTAAAAAGAAATGTTTGAAATGGCTGCAGCTACCATAACTTTATCTTCAGTGAGACAACTGTAGAGCCTTAAGACAAAGATGCAACATGGAACTTTAGCTCCTCAATACGATAATGGCAACACTTCAAAAATTTTAAGACATGTGGTTTCTTCTAGCTCAGACCTCTTGTCAATATTAAATTCGTAGTCAACTTTATTTATTGACTGCTGGATGTAGAATCCAGGTTTTTATTGGGGCCTGTTTCATATAGTTGGCATCTTGGATGCTGTCCTTGGAATCAGGATCCCTTCTTGAGTTGGTCATATTGAATTGCACTCAATTTAATGCTTGCAAAACATATCAGATGAGAACAGGATGACCTGGGGGATGGGTATGCTGATACGTGGTTTTTGCATACAGATCCACAACGTGACATGTACAAAGATGCTTATTGTTGTTGTTTTTATTCAAGCCACCAGAAAGCAAGACACTGGCAGAAAAGCATTGGAGAAAGCTGTGTGTGGCAAGTGTGTAAGACAAGCCCAGAAGAGATGTTCACATTAAACTGTCCTTGGTGCCACTGCTTGGATTTACCTTCTTAGGATCATCTATTTCTAGCCAGAAAAAATTAATGTCGAAAGGGTGCAGCACCCTGTGAGGAAGGCCCACATTGAGCAGGAGGGCACACGCTTTGCACACAGAAGGCTTGAGCTCAGCCTCTGCCTCTTCCCTTCAAAGGACCAGACAGGAGGGGTTAAGAAAGACCCTTTCTCCGGGACATCTTACAGCAAGGGCAGATAAGCTTGTGTCCTCCAGATGTCTTGGACTACAACTCCCATCAGCCCCAGCCATCATGGCAATTGTCATGGGTTATGACAGCTGTACTCTGAAACAGCTGCAGTTCATCAGGTTGTCTGAAAGCACCATCCACAGAGTGGTTAATCCCATGCTAAATGACTCATCTTGAGCTGATACAAGTTTGTACTTCTGCTATGTATACTTTAAGTGAAACACATCAGGAGAAGCCAGTCAACTGATCAGCCAGCTTCTGCTTTTCGCAGTGCTTTCTCCTCCCTCCAAGGGAGCTGTCTGCTGTATATTATGTCTAATGACCTGCCCAGAGATAATTCAGGTGATGAATGATAACAGCACAATGTTACCATAAGAACCCCAGGAAGTTATCTTATTTTATCTGGGGATTGGGACACGGCGGATAGCATCAAGGCCCATGTCAGCTTCCATGAGCTTTTACACTAACAGAAGGATTTGTCATATATCGAATGGGTTCTGGCGGATCAAATACCTGGCAATTAATAGAGCAAAGCAGCTGGCAGAATCAGTCAAGCCTAACATGGAACTTGCCTCTGTTAAGAGCTGAGTAATCGGAAACTGAAACAGCCGTAGAGTTGCCCTTTACAGCTCAAGAGTGTTTAAAGCTTCCTTTGACAATCAGTAATATCACACTGAAATAGGTTTGAGAAACAATATTCAAGAAGTGTCAGTCTGCTCTGCAAGTGGACTAAACCAGGGGTGGGCAATCTTCAGGCTGGTGGACTCGCCTAGCTTGGGATCAGAACCCCATGCTTACCACTCAGGGCCAAGTGCAGGCAATCAGATGCCAAAAATTAAAGGAACAGCATACTACTGAATACATCCTCATCCCAGGAATTTGTGATAGGTACCAGAACAAAGCACACAAGCCCTTCTACAAGCACAAACAAATATGCCTGGGTTTTTCTAAGTTTGTAAGCAATCAGTTTTTTCGCTGGGGAGACGGGGTTTTTTAGGTGTTGCTGTTATTAAGAAAATTGGGAGCTTAAAAATCTTGTCAATCCCTTGTAAGTCACCCAGAGATCTATGAACAGATCCTGATCTACATTCTGCCCACTTCTAATCACTGCCCTTTGTCTCCTTTCTTGATATGGCCAGAATCTGCACAGACCAGCTCTACACACCAAAATGTCATGTGGCCAGGAAAATTGTTTTACAACTCTTCTCAAGTCACACTTCTGAGAAAAGCTACTTCCTTCACTGAATCCTTTCTGTGATGCCAAGCACTCTAGATGAGGGATAGGGAAACATGTCCGCCCCACCCCCACCCAGGTGTTGCTGGAATGCAATTCCTTCCCTCACTACCAGCTATGTTAGTTAGGGCGGATGGGAACTGCAGTCCAACAACATCTAAAGAGTCACATGTTTTCCCACATCTGCTTTTGAGCTGTACAACTGCTTAGATGTATGATTTAGAAGCATCAGGGGCAGGTCAGCATACACAGGATAGTTGAGTTCAGGTCTGCTTTCCACATTAATTTTAAGCCTCAAGGGTTTCCATAGATGAAATATGATAACTATTTGCATAGCATGAAATTTAGATCTGTTGCAGAACTACTCTGGAGTAAGCATGCACTTTCAAAGATGGTTAACACTCAAGGAAAACCTTCTTCTCTGATGTCTAAGGATTATTTGATATTTTTGCAGCCAAGAAGCATTCACCCTTTGTAGATGGACCCCCAAGTTAGGGAGGGAGACAACTTTTTGCTTATAAATAAATCTTTAACATGGAAAAAGCTCCTCTCCCTTGGACCAAGGAACTGTGCCAGTTTGATGGTCTTACAAATTTTGAAAGCTCCAAGATTGGGCAAAGATAGAAAGGGAGGAAGCAAGAAATTTTGCCCATGATCTTTAAATTCTAAGAACTGCCTTGCAGAAGCAGTTTTCAACCCACTTTGTTTCACCCTTAGTATGTTTATTAAAGAAAAGTGCTACGTATGAAAAACTGTCAGTTAATGTTTCCATAGAAACCCAGAATATGACTGTACCATGTCTATGATGCTTGGCACTTAAGAAACTGGAAAGAGCCAAAATACAATAATAAATTATGGCAAATCATACTCACATTTGGCTGTAGTACTGTGCAGCCTTAGTTGGCCTAGACTTTTTCCTCTTTCCTCTAAATCTCTTTGGTAGTTGTTGCCATTTTTGATTTATCTGATAGGGTTACAGAAATCATGTGAAGAAAAAAAGGGCTGGGCAGAATAATCTTTTCTACAGGGGCTATCCCTCAATGGATAACTTCATATTCCCCCATGTTTTTAATTTCCATTAGATGAAATTGATGTGCCTTTCATAGAAATAGCTGTTGCAAGTCCTTTGGTATTTGCAGGTGTTTAAGGCACAAGAGTTTCAAAGTTAGTTGGGATATATTTTTGATGCTGCTGTTCAAAGCAGTGTGGAAAGTGGCCAACATTTCTTTGAGTGTGGTTTGGCTGTTTCAGGATTGGAAAGAAATAGGACATGTTCTTCAAACAGATGAATCAAGTGGGTAGCAGGCCCTATCACGATCCAATAGCTCAAGGAAAATGACTAACTTGAAGTCTTAGGAGCACCCTCTGCAGAGTGGGGGAAGTGATCAAAAGTTGCCTTGTACCAAGTCAAACTGACAGCAGCTTTCCTAGGTTGCTTAGCAACGGTCTTTTCCTAAGAGCCCAGATTTGCCCAGGACTGGACTCCAGACTGTATACATGTAAAAATGAGATCTGATGCAGAGTGACTGAGTTTAATCCTTAGTTTAACCCTTAGGCTGTTGCTTTAAAACACCCATGAGGTCTTATAAACTTGATACAGATTAAAACTGGCAATATCAACATATAGACAAATAAAGGTTGGATTCAGAGAGTTTCAACTGATGTTGTGTACAAGCTCACCATGCAGGTGTACCCTTTTGTGAGGGTGCTCAGATTTGTGAACTAAAAATCCCTAGCTACCTCCACAATCCTAGTGGAGGGAAAGCACATACAGTCATATCACTTAAAGTATTCTGGTAGATCGTGTTCTCAGCCTCAGTAACATGTATAAAAAATAATCTCAAGCTTTCTGTCACATTGCAGTATGACCAAGAAACAGACCCCAGTGCTGCTTAGGGTAGCAGCAAAGCAGCATCACTGAAATCTGACACAAGCTCATAGAGTTTCAGGGAAATAGCAAAATACAAGTTTTCAGAACACAGCTAACATTTCTTTGCCTCCTCACATACCTGCCTGATAAGATCTTCGACATTGTCATGTGGGAAAGATCGGATAGCTGCTATAGTCCGAATTAGACGCTCTGACAAAGAATATTTGCTCTGAATGCTCTGCATGATGTACCACATACTGGAACTTTAGTTTCCTTGGGTTTCTTCACATGCTCCAAATTGCCTGGGAAAAACATACACAAAATAACATTTAAAAGGTTTTAAAATTACAAATTTTCACCTACAAAGTCCTATCAAGCTTCACATAATAATTGTAAATAAGAAGATACTTGATGCCATGATACATATTACAAACAAAGAAGCAGAAAAGGTGACTAGAGTCAGCAAGAATGACCTGAAATTTAGGGTCTGGTTTACACATTGCTTCAACACTGAAGCATCAAGTAGAAATGTGAAGGCCCTGGGGGAAAAGAACAGGAAAATTAAGGGAAAGGGGGAAAAAATCCCTTCTTTCTGAAAATTAGAAAACATGTATTTCAGGAACTACATTTTTCCAGGAAAACAGTTCTTATCCCCCTGAAGATGTTTTTTCCCCCTGAATACTTGTGTGTATAGTTAAACTATGGAATTTTCTGCCACAGGAAGTGGCGGCTTTAAAAAGCAACTGGACAGATTCATGAGGGAGGAGAGTCTCAGTGGCTACTAGCCTTGCTGGCTGTGTGCTGCCTGCTTCACCATAGGTGGCATGCTTTCATACACCAGCTGCCAAGGAGCTTGGGCAGGCAGAGGTCTTGCACCCATCCTGCTGGAGGGATCCTGTGGACAGCTGGTTTGCCAGCATGTGTACAGATGAACCTTTGGTCTGATGCTGCATGGTTTTTCTTAATTCAAGACCCAATGCTGGGCCTTTCCATTTCCAGTAATGAGTAATGACTTGAAGATGCCATAGAAGCCAAAACACAATGCTTTCCAAAAAGGTCTAGTCACATTTCAGCTGGGGAACCATTATGTGATGGTGAATCTGCTCTAAGCCTCATATAGGATGCCATGAAAATCAGCAAAAATAAAGAGGTGGCATAAAATAATTATTCTGTATCACTCTCAGGACAAGGTTACAGACAAGCAAAGCACAAGGCAACCATTATTTTTTATATGGAGAAGCTGGTTGTATTATTTGGTCCTTCAGAATATTAAAAAGTGTGATCAAATTACATGGTAGATCTACTAACCCAGACTTACAACCTATGATCACCTTGTAAACAGCTATCTTGCTTTGCCTTCCATCATACCTGACCATTCTTTTTTCTTAAGTGTTCCAAATTCTAAAGTAAAACACCCATAATACACTGAAAATACTAAAACTGGAATGAAGTATACAATGATGAAAGGTTATGCCTCCCCTGATTTTAATAACATCATTTTTGTTTTTAATGTCCAAATTAAGCTATGCAAATTGCCATTTTACAAATGTTTCTTCAGGCTACAAAGTTACTGCACTTGTGACACAAGTATTACTTCACTCTTTCATAGCTGCAAGCAAGGTGAAAAGCTAGGTGGCAGAAGATGCAAGAGATTGAACTCAGATTGATGTTACAATCCAGTGCCAGGTGCAAGGCAGAGAGTGCACAGCTATGATTGCTACTAAATCCTAATTAGGAAAGAGATAGAACAAATATATACATAATAGACTAATTCTCCAATTTAAGCTGTAAGAACTGTGGAGCCATAAAAAAGTAATTAACAATAACCAATAAATCTTTAGCAATCGTTTTGCCAGTCCTTAAAGAACTAAATTTCCTGTATCTCATTACACCAGGCTCAAAAATGTATTTCAAGTGAAAGCCACTCTGCAGTCAAGATTCATGATGCTTTTCCTTTCTCTCATATAGACAGGTACAACATACCCATTACCAACCATAAGAAATAAGTGAATTGGAGACCTATAATAAGCAATGTAATATAGAACTTCATTTTTAATTCCTTCTATAAAAAGTGGTCTGAATAAACTTAACATAAACTAACTTAAGCTGATCTATTAGAATGTTGTTGTTGTTGTTGAAGAAAGGAGATAATTACTTTCTATTAGGACCAAGTAGAATTCCAAATAGTTATCAGCAAGCATTGGTGTTTTCCAGATGCTTAATGTCCAGCCTGAATAAAAGTTCTGAGAAATCTGAGATAGTTCACACTATTTTATAATGCTTTAGCAACAAGTTTTTACTTCACTATAGGGGTTAATGAACCACTAGTTATTATCACTGTTTTGTGAATGGTAATTCTTGATACTTTACATATGTTTATGCACTAGTATTTAAGGACTAATGCAGTAGCCATAGGCAATAAGAAATTCTAGCAAATTTACCAGGCTGGAGTAGGAGGAGGAATGGAACTCCATTGTAGTACTTGCCTGAGAGTAATTCTGTGGCTTGTTTATTTACACTTTACAACAACAGAGTTTGTATTTTTGCATTTTATTTACTTCTTGTTGCTAGTCATGTCCGACCCATCGCAACCCCATGGACAACATTCCTCCAGGCCTTCCTGTCCTCCACCATCCCACGGAGTCCACTTAAGCTCACTCACCGCTTCAGTGACTCCATCTAACTACATCTCATTATTTACAGACTTCTTCTTTTTACTGTGTGTGTTTGCCTGATCACTGAGGATTACACTTCAAGCATCTTTAATCCACAAAGTTTATTTATACTATAATAACATTTGTTAGCTTTCAAAGTCCAACGAAACTGTTTTAATGGGGTTTTGATATTGACTGGAAGTTATACAACTTCCAAAAGGGCAGGTGTTCTATGTAACTTTATGCATAAGGACATATTAGTATATCTATAAGTGCTACTTTCTCATGATATAAACGGCATCTTGTGACACCATTTATTTATGACTTTTTTACACCGACCATCTACTGGCATCTCGCTTTTAAGTCTAACTAATTTATTCTGACATCAGTGTTCACGGACAACAGCCACTTCCTTATTCTTTGTGATGGATATATGATGCATCCGTTTAAAAACACAGTGTTCACAAACACTTATGCCTTAATTTTTAAGGTGCCACAGGACTCTTTTTGCTGCAACAGATTAACAAAGTCATCCCTGTGGTACACAATAAAGCAAGAGTGGGGGCAGCGATGCTGTTGCAGAAAGAGCAAGTCCACTGCCTATGGCAATAAACGTGTTGGGAGGAAAAAAGCTGATCTAGAGAGACTGCTCATCGCTAGCCGAGGTCAAAAAGCAGAGCCTGGCCCGAGCGGGCGATTCAACACCAGGTGACATCTTCGCCCCGTAACCTTCACATGCGCCCCGCGCCAAGCAGGGCAGCCGCCCCCGCCGCCCACAGAGACAGGCTGGCGCGATCCCGCATCGTCCCAGGCGAAGGCCTGGCTCCTTACGTCACCACTCAGCCGCACTCACCGGCCCGGCGCCTATCGGACCCGCGCACCCTCCACCACCAGCGCGACCCGGAAGCTCAACCTCTGCCAACAGGACGCGAATATACCGACACGGCAGGCTCAACAGACACTCGCTTCCGGGCACGCCAGAGAAATATGAGTAGGCCCGCGCGCGAAGCCGAGACGCTTTTCCCCGCCTCCTCTGGAGACCCTGCCCCTTTCATAAGTCTCCTCCAATAAACTCAGAGAATCGTAGATAAAGCCCACCCCTCATGCCTCTTCCTTCCAATCCTCTCGCAGCTGTGCATATAAGGCCGCTGCCCTAGGTATGGTCTCGTCGGCTGCTGTCAAAGACTGGAATATTAAACATTACCCCGCTGGGCCAAATTGTGGATTCCGGATGTTTTGTCCTACACTAACTAACAGTCCTAGCCATCATAGCCAATGGTGACGGATCATGGGAGTTGTAGGCGAAAATCCAGGGGAGCTACGAGTTGTCTATCCCTGCCAAACACGTTTGCTAGAAAGACCCTGCCCCTGAATTCAGTGGACTGTCTTCTGGGTTAACATTTGTAGAACTAGTCTGCTCAGACAGGCTTAATTTTGCTCACTCTTTCAGTAGAGTTCAGGATTATTAGTCAATGCATCCAATACCACAATGGACATCATATAGCTCCACAGAGATCTATAGGGGGTGATATTTGCTTACACTTAACCCAGTGAGTTAAGTGGGGCCAATGGTCTAATTTGGATTACAGCCATAATGTAACAAATTAACGTAATATAAGATTGAGAGCATCAGAAGAACAATGAAAACGGCTTTGCCTCCTTAAAAAAAGAAAAGCTGTGATATAAATCTAATAAATAACCACAAGATCACTGGTGGAAACTTTTAATTTTCCTGGTAGTGCACTGGATGGTGCCTTAGCATTTGTGTGTGCCTGCCAAGATTCAATTCAAGAATTTAGAGGATCATGCAGGATGGCAGATCTCATGCAAATCTGAGGAAGCCTCAATGGCAGCTGCAACAAGGATAACCAGGTTCAGTTAGGAAAGATCCCTTTCACCTTGAACCTCAGCAGTTTTACTGAAAGATCACCCAGACCCAGACAGAATGTTTTATAGATTCTGAGTCACATGGGCTCAGCAGTTGGGCAGTTGATGACAAAATAAGGGGAACACAAAAGAAGGGGAGGGTTCTGCAGAGAGAGCTTAATACAATGTTATTTGATTGCAGGATATTAACATAAGGATCACTGAGGGACAGGAATTATTGTGAGTCTTGGCATGCAAATAAGGGTGACTGAAGTACTGTCAACCTGGCAGCCTTATCCATTCTTTCTGATCAGCAAAACAATATCCCTGGTGGCTTCTAGGCAAGCTATCAGTTCCCCCTTCTTAAATCAGCAGCAAATGCTAAACAGTAACCTGGCTTGAAAATCCGGTGCTTCCTGTGAAAGGGGTGCAGATTTGATTTCATAACACATATGAAACACATAAGGCACATATAAGCAACCTTTTTCTGTCAGGATTTATCTGAATTTTCCCAACACTAGCAATACTTTTAAAACGCACTCCCAAAAGGCAAAATCTGGGCAATGATAGACTAGACACAAGTAGCAGAAAATCAGGGCTTTTCTTAGTTGGCCAAACATTAAACCAGATAGCCCCTGCAGGTTACTGCATATGATCTGCTTCTCTCCTTCCCTTCATGCTCTCAGTAATGTCTGGATAGAGCTCATCTTAACCCCACACCCTCTTTACAGACAGAAAGATTTCAAACGTACAATAGTGCAATACCTCTTTTGAGCATTGAG